GCAAAGAACAATATTAGGAACTCTCAGTTTGGCTAAGAATAACACGAAATAAAGAGAAACACCTGCAGACGTTAGCCTTACCTTGTTTGCGTCAGGCAGCAGAAAGGCGTAAGAATCCGTAAGTTCCGCTTCAGTCCGTCCAGCCTGTTTGAGTTCCCTTTTCTTCTCAATAAACTGCCGGGATAAATAACGCAGGCACATTAACCCCAACATATCAGAAACATGTTTATCTAGAAGAGAAGCTTTGAGGACATAATCAGTGATCCAGACCACAAAAAGCACAGGCCATAATTCTCTCAAACCACACTGTGAAACCATGAACTCTAATTGCTATTTGTATGTAAGGGCCCTTAATTTTCAGGAATAACAGCAACTAACAAATCAGCCTTTACTACTGTAACAGCAGACAAGCTTGCATAAAAGCAACACAAATAAAATGCATAACAAATATATTTACCATACTAAGAATAAGCATGGAGGGCAGTAGTGCTATATCAGATCCTGCTTGGGTTCCCTGGACATTTACCAAAAATTCCTATTAACCACACCCATCGATCCAAGACAGATCAACGTTCTAATCCCAGAGCTTACCTCCTTCTCCAGGAGCTCGTTGTGAATGAGACATGCTTTGGTGTAGGTGAAGGCTCCTCGAGAAGAGGTATCCAGGTAGAAGGACGAGAGGAGCTTCACAAGCTCCTCAAACTCCCGTGAATCTGGAGCCAACATCTGGAGAAGTCCTGGAGAACCAAAAGAGAGGACAGGTGTTAGGAGAGCGGGTTCGCAGGGACACACAAATACTATCTAATCAACGATCAATGTAATCAAAGTTGGCAACTTAAAAAATGAGTCTAAAGAATAATTAGACAATGATATTTCATTTAATTGGCTTCCTAACCGTGAGTAAACAACCTGTAAGCGCCCAAGTAAAACAAAAAAAAGAAAAGTGATGACGCCTTAGAACTTTTAAGAGCTGCTCAGACAGAGAACAGGCAGCAGAGATAAGTCATTCTCCACAACTCTATCACTGTTACTATGGTGATACCCGAGTCTGGGCTGGTCAACAAGCGCGCTTATGCAGCTCACTGACTTACTGAAAACCACTTGCACATGCAACTGTAACTACGTCTTACACCTCCTACAACTGTCATGCCAGATTAAGATCAGTTCAAACAGTGCATGCAACAACACCAGAACCGAGGTACAAAATCCTAGTAATGCACAGCCCTTTTAATAGGCTCATGACTCGACCCTTAAACAGCCCCCTTACTTCATGACCCTTTGACATATAACACAAAACCACTAGGAGAACTAAACAACTACTCTGGGCACTATGTCCAAGTTAGTTTCGATCCAGATCAACGTGCAAACCTAAGACTCACAGTAAAACATCATAAGCATTTTATTACTGAGCCGGTAAGGGGCAAACCTGCACTGAAAGGTCACCAGACATAAAACTGGGGAGCTCATGAAGCATCCAGCGTTCAAGCGTTGACCTGAAGCACACTTCAAAGGGAATGAGCTACGAAGGGAGCCGAAGGACATTATACACTGACCAGTGTTGTGGTCTGTTGAGCCACATTACTACAGTAGCGCCAGTGGTGGATGAGGAGTGGCAAAACTGTGTCATGTGGTGGCAGCAGTGTAGTGGCGAATTCTGCTAGCTACCGTTGTAGCCAGCTAAGTTAGCTGGCTAGCAACCACTCACAAATACAGTGTCAGGCTCAAAAACGGACATGTTTACCTCGGAGACACGTGAACTAGAGCATTTAACCAAAGATATGTTGGTGCTTGGCACAAAACTCAGCTTCTCACGTGCTTCTTGCATTTTATTTGCGCATTAGCTAGCCAGCTAACGTTTGGCTAGCTTGCAGTTCATGTGGCGGCTACATAACATCAACATGCCGCTTCGCACAAGCAACACGAATGAAAAATACACAGACACTACAGATATAAGCTACATACAGGCACAGCGAGAGCTCGTCTAGCTAAAGCAGAGCCAGGAGATGGGTTACTAAAGAAGGCGGGTTAACAGGCATGCAGGACGGACTGGGTAAGAAACCGAAACAGAGTCCCTTTCAGCCTGAGGAATGCCAGTAAAGGGGACACAACCTTTCCGTTCCTTAATCTTCCGAGGAATTTGGAAATTCCTCCGTGGCAGCTCGTCGGTGGACCTGTGCAGCGTCGACGGGGAGCCGCTGCCGCCGCCGTGCTTAGCGTCTGACAGCGCGCTCCTCCGCCGCTCGGAAGCGTCTTGTTCAGACATTTGCTCGTCTTCACATCCAGCCTGATCGCCATTTTGCTTGGATGTGGTCGCGGTGGAGACTGACAATTGTTTCTGGCTCTCGCCGCCGTCCACGGACAAGCCGCCCGCCTTCACGCCGTCCTTGTCGAGCCTTCTGTCTTCGTTGAAATTGCAGGCCATTTTTTTTCCGGGGAGGGGGGAGGTGGGGGGAGGGGGCCACCGATCACCTCGTCGACGGGCGATGAAGTTGGGTTCAGCGCCGCTTCACGGAGTAATTCTCCTTCTCAACCAGCCTCCTCCGCCATTATGCCTCTGACGTAATGCATCCCCACCGCTGCAAAACTCTGGCGTCACTCTGTTTACAGGCGGCCGCGCGCCATCCAGAGGCCGCGGCGTCTCATAGCAACCAGACCGATTAGTTATCAGCGCTCATTTAACGCTAGGTTAACTGTTATTAGATTACGTCCGTTGGATGTAGTTCAAAAGCCCCGAGACCACTGCAGTAAAAAATAGTTATGAAAAAAACAACACTTTTATTAGTCTTTAACGTAATACTATCAATTCATATAACACAGTTTCATATATAAATAAGATAATATTTTCTAAAATATTTTTGTAAAACCATCAGGCTCAGTCACTGTCTGCCTGGCATCGATTCTACACGGAACAAAAATAAATGCACTTTTTGGTTTTGCCCCTATTTTCGCAGCAGTTTGATTTTAAACAAATCCTAGAAATGTGTATCACTGCTACAGACGAATTGTGGTCACATCAGTGTACCAATGGGAGTTCCGATTTGCAGGGTTTCACTAAAATCCTTTCTGAAGCGAGTGATGTGTTTATATTTTTGTTTGTTATATAGATGTATGCACACAGTTTTCTGAAATGTCCCATTATGCTTCACCATTTCTCCGTTTATATGTTCCCAGTTTCAAATATGTTAAATGAGTTGAGGCTAAGAGCTTCTGCATTGGTTTTGACCTTTTCAACTCCTTGGGACCACCGGTGGTTCCAAAACGCACTTTGTCATATTCTTCATAACTTTCATATTTCATATTTTCAAGCTACATTCAAAAGGTGGGTGTCGTATGAGAGCCGTAACTGTCTTCTTTCCCGTCAAATAGATGGGTGATGTAATTTTAAACCCTTTTAATAAAAGAAGCTGAACCCGACAATTTTTTTTTCTACTGAAAGTTGATCCATTTTTCCACAAATCTGGGCTATAAACTATAAACAGATGGCGTCTCATCAGTGATCTGCTCTGTAAAAATTATTTTTATAAAAAAATACAAAGAGCGTCTAAGATTTTTGGCTTTCAGCAGTAAATTGTAAGCATATAGAAAGACGTGTATGATCATAAAACACATGTTCTGTTCATTTGAGGGGAGCTTTTACAAAAAAATAAAAAATAAATAAATAAAAATTTACTTTAATTTCATGCAGTTACTGAATACTCTGCCTTACGATTTGGCCATGTAAATTCAAATGGACAAACCAAAATATACCCTGGAGAATAAGAGACACAATAAATGCCCTCAGGTAGCGACATTTTGAAAATAGGCTTAGAAAAATATACCGGGCCACATTTTCAAAAATCTAAATAGGAACTGTGTATGTCATATATCTGTATTGTGGTGTCCGCCACGGGCTGCCGTGAGGCGCTCAGGGGGTGTGGCCATTGAAATTAGCTCTCGGGGACGCTACGCTCCCGGGGTAAAAACATACTGGTGCTGCATTTTCATCAATGCTGTGTTTGCATGTTGGTTTATTCATTATTGCGCTCTGTTGTGGGTTAGTTAGTGTGGTTGTAGAGTTCACCGTCAGCGGATGTTTTATGGCTAGAGGTAATCTTCCATGCTGTTGGGCGTTTGATTCAGAAGCTCTGAGTAATTCTTAATGCCTGTTAAAGTCTCTGTATATTAGAATAGCATTCTATGCGCTGCGTTTTCTTCTATGCCGACACCGTAACACATACATATCTGTACAATGTGTTAACATTACAGAGAGATTTATCATTCATTGCTGTAGAGTTATGAATACAGACATTCTAGCTTAGTAGCCAATCATTGTCCTGCTAATGGTGCTGCTTTAGTTGGTCAACCAGCATCCAAAACTCAGCATATCGCTGCTGTCGGAAGAAAACCTCGTATCTCCATTTTTGTTCTTTTTCAGTTTTTGACATGATTTGAAAAGGCCTGTTGTCCTTTACGCTGTGTGCAAATTCCACAATCGATGGACCAAAAGAAACAGCCCAAAATTACTTGGGAAAAAAGTCTGGTTCCATTGACTTACATTAAAAGTAATGCAGGTTTTTTCCTTCTCCTGTAAAGTTCTCATTTTGGAGATATGAGGTTTTCTTTTTTAACAGCGATATGCTGGTTTTGCTGTGACCAGCTATGCTACCAGCAGGTCTATGCGGTTTTCTATAGCAGGGTGCCTAAACATTACACTCGTCTGAAGTACAGTAAATGCACTGTCATATATCGTTTTGACCAATCTGCTGATACCGATATGATTCTGATGTTATTGTGCGTTTCTAATATTTACTATTCGCAAAAAACTGTGACAGAACACACAAATCAGGAAAACACCAAATGCTGTGTAAAAATGTAATATTACATTGTACAAATCTTTGCCATAATGAAGAAATCATCCAAGAGCTATCGGCAGTACAAGAGAGTAACCAAAGACATTCTGAAACAATGAAAATATTTTAAAAGCATTTCAAAATAGTACAAACAATGTAAAACAATGAAAACGTGTTTTCAATTTTATTCAAGCTCCCCCGTGCTTCCTCTGCTGTAAATGTCGTACTCCTTGAAGCGAATGTAGTCCTTCAGACTGTTTGGTAGAGGCAAGAAACTGATAAAAACTGGTGCCCTGAGACGCAAGCGACCAAGGCACTCCCGGATCTTAAGCCGGCACAAATGCTTCAGGCATCGGGGGTTTCCTGCAAAGACAGTGTAATGTGAAAATATCCATTAATTTAAATACCTTGAAACTGGCGTTTGAAATTGAGGCCTGCATTATACTATTCATACTGTCCACGACATGATAAAGTTCAGAGGATCCCAAATTTGTTGATCACCCACCTTGAATCCTGCATATCTCTGGCCACTGTTTCTGTTCTACTAGGATGCTCTTCAGTTTGGAGCAGAAGGTGACACGGTCGACATAATCCAGCATTATTCTCACCACATGGCCTGCGATGTGCTTGAGCCAGGACACTGTGATCACCTCACAGAACTGCAGACAGAAATGCATCATTACTGCACTATAAATAATGTGAATTTTACTTTCTGGACTTGCATTACCCACCTCTGCTATTTTCACAGAACCATTTCCCAACCTCTCTTTTTCCTTATAACAGGGGTGCCCTGCAGATCTACCACCCTGCAGAGTTAAGCTCCAACCCTAATCTAACACACCTGATTCAGGTAACCAAGGCTTTCAGGAGCATCTGAATATTATAGTCAGGCATGTTGGATCTGAACTCTTTAAGGGTGGTACATCTCCAGGACTAGTATAGAGCATCCCTGCCTTACAAGTAAACAGCCTGTTTTTGTTAATGTGCCTTTAAGTGTGATAAATGTAAGCTGTCTCTGTTTGCACGTTGATCTCGAAACTAACTTGGCCATAGTGCCCAGAGTAGTTGTTTAGTTCTCCTAGTGGTTTTGTGTTATATGTCAAAGGGTCACACTCATGGAGTGTCGCTGGATCCTCTGAATTACAAGGTCATTTAGCAGTTGAAATACAAATGCTACTATATGCTACAAAGCTATATGCTAAAGCTTCTGCTCACTGAAATGACCTTAAAATCTACTATTAAACTTCAACATACAAACTGCAGCTACTCAAACTTTCAAAGCATAAACTTTCAAAAGCCTCTTAACTACCACATTTGCAAAGCTTACAGATTTGTGAGGTGTATTTTGGTGAGGTTGCCAGTCTTACAATGTCAGTTCAGTATGCAGCAGAGTGTATTTCAGCTTCTTAACAACCTCATAATTCAGAAGATCCGGCGATGTTCGGACGAAAAATATCCATACAGCAAAATGTATCAGCAATGGAGCATTTTAGTTTACCACAGGATGAGAGAGTGGTGATTTTTCAAAATGGCACTCTTTTCTGTCTTGGAAAAAAACAGCTTACACACAGAGTTCCTAATATTGGCATGATGCTAACTAACGACGACACGACTTCAGACGGATGTATTTCAATGGATATGTTTAATTGTAAACCTTTTGGATTGAAAAGTCAATAGTACATTTTAAAACTTTAGCAACGTTTATATACGACACAAAAAACTTTCAAATAAAAATTGAGGAAAATTCGGTTTTCCATTATATGGGCCCTTTCAGAATAACTGAGGTCAACACCAGTGTGCCACCATGGCTTTCCCACCTACCACCATGTCTTTAATGACTGAAGTACTCCAGCCTTCATAGTCCAATGGTATGTGCGATCCCTGTCCATAGGGGCAGTCGAAGCAGCGCTGCACATCATAGCCGTGGTTGAGGAGCATGCGCAGCATCACCTCGTCCTTGAGCGCGTGCTGCAGGGCCGAGGGGAAGTGCGTTGTGTTCACACGTGCATAGTAGTTGACATTGGCGCCATAGCGCAGCAGCGTGTTGATGAGCTCATAGTTGCCCAGACGTAAAGCCACCTGCAGGCAGCTGACGGGGTCCTGGTTGGCCATGGCACCAGCCTCCAGCAGGAGGCGTGCAGACTGCACATCGTTGTTGGACACGGCGAAGTACAGCGCTGACCTGCGCTCGTCATCGTAGTTCCGGCGCACACGTGGGTGTAGCATGAAGTTGGGGTCAAAGCCTGCACTCAGGAGCAGCTCCAGACACTGAAAGTGACCTCCTGCTGCCGCAGAGTGCAGTGGACTCATCCCGCTCTCCTTAATGACCTCTTTCTTAGTTACCGGAATCAGCTGCTCTAGTGCTCTGCGAAGAGAGGACAAGGAGGTCAAGCCCAAAAGGACAGGCAATTGTGTACAAAGGGACAGCTCATTCAACACTGTTTTATAAAGCCAAAAATAAGAAATTGAAGGCATGCTGCTTGCAGAAGTATCAAAACCTTGCAGATTAAAGCTACACTATGCAAGATCTGGGAATCTAGACATCTCTGGTGGAGCTGTGTAATTGTACACAACATGCAGAAGAACATTTTGTAATGTGGGTTGTGCTTTGGACCCCTTCCCTGAGCAGATGACTCTGCATTGAAAGAGTATTCAAACAGTATTATTGTTATCTTCATCATTATAATGTTGAGAGTTAAACATTGAGCCAGACGTTCATTTTTAAGCCTGTGTGTGACGTTAATACGTAAACCCAAATGACGTGGTCTGAAAAACACCTGTAATATCAAACCCGACACCTCTAAATTTTAAATTAATATTTCAGGGTTTACAAGGTCACTTGCAGCAGCTCATTTTAGCTTGTTTTTTATTGGCATTTGGAATTAAACATGTCCAATAGGAGATAATCCTACATGAAGTCACATAAGAACCCAGACGAACAGACACAGACAGGTCAGTGTTGATGATTCCACCATTTGAAAGAGATTGGGAAAAGGTGGAGAGTTGCAAGGCGAAAACCACTGCTAAATAAGAGGAACATAAAGACTTGTTGCATAAATGGCAAAAATACCTTGATGACCTCCAAGACTTTTGAAAAAATATAAGTGGACTGGTAAGTCGAAAGTGGAACTTTTTAGAAGACAGGGATTCTGTTACATTTGGCGTAAATCTAACACAGAAGTCTACAATAGGAGCATTATACCAAAAGTCAAACATGGTGGTGGTAGTATGATGCTGTGGGGATGCATGGGTTTTTCAAGGCCTGTCTGACTTGCCATAATTGATGGAACCAAGAATTCTGCTCTCTACCAGAAAATCCTGCAGGAGAATGTCCAGTCATCAGTCATCTAAAGCTCACTTGGATTATGCAGCAAGACAATGATCCAAAGCACAAGAGCAAGTCTACTTCTGACTCATTGGTCCTGACTGGGACTGTATTAAGATTGGACCTTAAACATGCAGTTCATGCTCAAAATCCCTCCAATGTGGCTGAATTAGAGCTATTCTGTAAAGACGTGGGGGCCAAAAACCAAAAGCGTTTGATTGTGGTTGCTCCTGCTAAAGGTGGCCCAGATAGTTATGAAGTTTAGGTGGCATTTACTTTTTTGTGTTGCAAAACATTTTTCCTTCAATTAATAAAATGATCAAATTAAAAGTGTGTTTTGTGCATCTTCATGTTCACCGTCTCTTATATTACATTCTGTATGAGGAACTGAAACCATTTAGTGAGCCAAACATGCCAAAATAGAGGAAATCAAGAGGGGCAAATACTTTTTCATGGCCCTGTACATATAACTACACTGAGATGTCAGGCAACAGGCAACACCTTAAGTGATATGGGTGTTATGGGACAGGACAGCTGTGTAACATCCATCACTCACAGCAGATGGCCACGATACGCAGCGCGGTGGATGGGTAGATGGCCGGTGTGTGTGGGAGTGTTGGGGTCAGCGCCGTACTCCAACAACACAGAGATGACATCGGGGTTTCCAGATGCTGCTGCCTCAAACAGCACAGATGGAGAATCTGGACACTGAGGGTTTGACCATACGCAGGCACCTGAGAGTAAGTTGAGATGTATAAAGGGTGAGACAAAGATGAAAAGAGCTACCATCAGCCCATTCAGATGTGAAATGCAGAGGAAATATACACTGAAAAAAAGTATTGTTTTGAATTAATCGTACATCGGTTCCATGTGAATAAAATGCATTCTGTCGACACAATTCTTACCAAAAGTAAGTAAAGTGAACAGCAGTAATTGTGTTGATGTAATATATTTGATTCACATGGAACCAATGTAAACATTTGAATCAAGGCATTTCAAAGCAAATGTGTTTTGTACCAATTCAGTCTGCCAGTTACCAATGTATGTTCCCTATTGCACATGAACACCACCACCATGGGTGTACTTCCACCAGTGCACATGATACTGGGCATCTTTTCAAACTCCCAGCTACACAGCTCAAGTGTCAAGTGCCTTGGTGTGCCAAAGACCCATTCTTCACCCCCAAGGTCTGTTCTGAAGGACCTCCAGATGGCACATCTGAATAGTAATGTTGGGGTTAGTGACGTAACCACCAGGCAGTGCAACTGCACTAGGGCTTAACGTCTTTGCTGTGTTGCTAACATCTTTATTGGATCACTTATATTACTACTTACATAGTTGTACATATAACTACCTCTTGGGTACACTCTTAAAAAGGATGGTTCTTCAAGGGTTCTTTAGTAAAGGAAATGGTTCTATTTAGAACTATGAATTCTATATAGAACCATTTCATACATAAATGTTTTTCTGCATGGTGAAATCGTTCTTCAGATTGATGGAGAATGTGTTGTATATGGTTCTATATAGAACCTTTTTGAAAATTGCTTTATCCAGCTCCAAAAAGGCATCTGGTATTGTTACGATGTCAAGATTGTAACAGTAGAAGAACCCTTTTTTTGGTGTTATATAGAACCATTAAAAAAATCCAAAAAAAATAAAACCCTAAGAAAACTATTTAATCATGCAAAAAACGTTTAAGCATGAAATGGTTCTATACAGAACTCATGGTTCCAAATAGAACAATTCCCTTTACTAAAGAACCCTTAAAGAAACATCTTTTTTAAGAGTGTAGCTATGATAGTAATATATTTCACACTTCAAAATAGTGGCCTACATTAGAGCACCAGCTTGGTTGAGACAGTAGCAACTAAATAAGCAAATCGCACTGTAATTTTTTTTCTTTATCAATTCAAGGTAGTTCTTGTATGGAGGGTCCATGATTGTTTTTGCTTAAGGGCCCATAAGATCCTAGTTATGCCACTGGATAGGACTAACCTCTTCACTGGTAAACTGTCAGGAGCTGCACAAAGTTTTACTTATAAATCCATATCTCAGGTTGCTGGAGCTCACCATTGTGATCTCATCCATTGTGGCAATAGATGGATTTGTATTAGGTATAAGTGCCACTAACATTAACATTACTAACAGTCACTGACATTAACGGTGCAGTACTGTGCAAAAGCCAGAGACCACCCTTCATTCAGGAAAAATGCAAAAAAACATTTATTTACCAGAAAATTACACAGCCTCAACAGCTTTTTTCAGACTTGCTTTTAGCTTTTTAAAGAAATCTGCAGGGATGTTGTTCCACACCTCCTGTCTTACACGTTGGTTGCATTTACATGCAAATAATCCCAAACACATTCAATGATATTGAGGTCAGGTAAAAATAAATATATAAAAATATAATTTTCTTCTTTTTTGTCTGTTTTCTTTTCTCAGTAATGGCTTCTTGACAGCTGTGCATCCTTTCAGACCCATTGTGTTGAGTTACATTCGCACAGATGGACAGAAACATCTGTGGACTTTTTCAGATCTGAAGTAAGAGTGCAGCTTGTTATTCTCTCCTCTCTCAAAGACGAAAGCTTATCTGATGGTGAGTTTTGGTGGTCTAGCAAGTCTTTTACTATTCCAGTTATGGAAACTTCTGTTTTTGCCTTCTATATGTAGGTGTATTGTCTTATATGTAATCTCCTTTAGAAATATCTGCTGAAAAATTAATAACTTGTATGTAATGGCTTTTTTGGCTTGAAAATAAAAAATGAAGAGTGGTCTCTCACTTTTGCATAGTATTATGAATGCAAACCGTTGGTAAAACACCACCCACATAAAAGTTACAATCACCTTTCTGTAGTAGAATTTCCACAACATTCAAATGCCCTGCCTGGGCGGCCAATCCTAAAGGGGTATGTTGACTGGCATCGCAGGCATTTGGGTTGGCACCAGACTGGAGGAGCAGGTACACGTACTCCTCCAGGCCCAGCAGAGACGCTTCATGCAGAGCAGTTCTCTGAAGGCTGCCTTTGTGGTCCACAGTGGCATTATAGCGTAGCAGCAGAGAAGCCAAGTCATACTGGTCATTCTTTATGGCTGTTTGGAGAGAGACAAAACAGGGAGGATCCCCACTGAGATTTCATTCACTACATGTGATTCATCATGTCGTACACAACAACGTGAGTCACTCCAAAAGAATGTATACCATAAAAGGCACCCAAGGTGAAGATGAATGCTCTCAGTGCTCCCAACTAAAGAGCTCTATGTCATTCAAAAATACTAACACAGGGCTGTACTTTAAAGCATAAGTGCACCTCTAATCTCCATGGACAATTCCTGAAATCAAAGTGGCTCATCACTCGAAATTCCTCTGAGGAATTTATACAACCTAAATCCAACCATATCCAGCTGTGTTACACACCTGCAACTAATGGAGAGTCCTCGTCTTCATTTGGACAGTCGGGGCTGCAGCCGTTCTGAAGCAGGAATGTTGCATTCTCTCTAAGACCGTGGACAACGGCGAGGAAGAGAGGAGTCTCCCCTCTCAGAGTGCGGCACTGACCTGAGCCCTGGGGAGATGCTGAACATCCGACACACATTCGAGCATCAAACTCTGAAAATGGCCTTGTCTTTTTTAACCTCTTAAAATGCAAGAGTCTGTATGTACACTTCAATTTCTCACTCTTACAACCACAAAACCCATTTACAGGGTTGTAGTACTTGAGTCTGACTTCGGTCTTGACACCATATATTAACGGTCTCGGTCATGTCTCAGTCTCAACATTGTTTGGACTCGTTCTTGGGGTAAGGTGCGAGAAATTGTTCCCGAGACCAGCCAAGTCCCATGTCCCCATCTGAGATAATTAGAAACTGAACTTTTTTTCTATCATTATTAAATGTCAAGAGAACCTTAAATCAGTCCTTTCTCTACATGTTTAATCAGGCATCAGAAAATAATTTATGACAAAATGAGGCACTATAGGGAAATTTACTAGTGTTGCATGAGTGCCATTCAAGTACATAATTATTAGAAAACCTTTTACTTTCTTTGGGTTCAACAACTGGATTCTTTGCTGTTGCTTACATCTTTTACTTTCAAGTTTTAGCCTTTTATTTTAGGCCAAATGTTCCTGAAAAGAGCAGAATATCATTTAACTTCCTGTGCTGATTGATGTTAGATATGCTAAGAAGTTTTTAGTTCTGTGCAGATAGCAGTTCAATGGGGAATTCAGCACTCAAGTTTCTTTAACCTACTTTACCGATTTTTTTTTCTTCTACACATTTTTGCTAAGCTATTTTTACTCAGTATTTCAATGAACTAAGTAAGTTTAGACTAATGTATCCAACTCTAGCATTAGTTCATTTAAAAAATAGAGCATACATTTTTGCATATTTTATTTAAAAACCTACAGTGGCTGAAAACTGATCCATATTCAAGATGGTGCAAGGAAAAGAGCTATATCAAACTACATCTGGCTCGCTAAAAGAACTGAAAAACAGTAATGCTCTAAAGACAATGTGGAATTTTGGTCATATAAAGTTAAATCAAATCTGTTTGCTTTTGGTTGAGGATCTAATCCCCTGAAGGCAGATGTTATTATTACTAATCTTTTAATTAATAATAAAAAGGAACATCTGATGTTTGGTTTATATTCAGTTGATTTTATGTGGTGATTCTGAATTAGTTTTAGAGAAGAAGGGACACAGAATAACCACACTATTGATTGCAAGAGTAACAATGCAAAGTTGAACTATGATTATAATATAATTATTCATAACATTTTAGGCTATGTGTTATTCAATGCTATATTTTAGAGGAAATAGTATATTATATAATATAATATATTATAATATTATGTAATATAATACAATATTATTTATTAATGCATATCATGTACCATGAATGATAATGAATTTACAATTAACTTCTTTTTATTTTTATATTCTTAAAAAAAAAAAAACTTAATCTGGTCTCGGTCTTGATTCGGACTCGCCTGCAACAAAGTTTTGGTCTTTGGTCGCGTCCAAGTTTCGGGATATTGATTCAGACTCGTCTCTAGTGATCTTGACTACAACATTACTCATTTATAACATGCTTATAGTAGAATCCACTGGGCAGTTGCTGTATTCTGTTGGTAACTGTTCAAGTAAAACATCAATTTTTATTCTACTCTCATGAATTCTTCAATTAAGCTGTGGAGTACTGTACAAAATTCCACACTCTCAGAAATAAAGGCATAAACTGTTACTGGAGCAGTACCTCTCTTGTCACTGGGGTGGAACCCTTAAGCGTACATCTCAGTACCTTTAGTCAGGGAACGTGATTGTATCATAATTCATTGAATTTACGTTTTCTAAGTCGTACTGACGCCACACACCCCGTCTCATCTCCAGGCTTTGATGTTATTGTTCTGTTTTAAAACATTAGGTTGTGAAAGTGTACAAATACATGTTTTTCCACTGGGAAAACTTATTTAAGGGTCACAATTGGACCTTAAAACCACTGTTGTACCTTCCATACTTTTCAGGAGACTTGCTTTCAGCTTTTCGAAGAAATCTGCAGGGGTAATTGTCCTCATCTCTAAAGTTTAGTCTTAGAAGTTGGTTGCATTTTGTGCTTCTTACAATCCAAATTACAATGTAATCCCAAACACATTCAGTGATGTTGAGTGCGGTCTATGACTTTTGCACAATACTGTTAATCTGTATAATTTGTTCTTGCTGAGACAAAACTAGTTTTCTGGAGGAATGAATTGGTAATTTGTTACCAGCATTGTTCTGTGGGCAGAGTCATTACAAGCTCCTGTTTGGTAAAACATGGACACTAGGAAACCTTAATGACCTACTGTGGTTTTGAAAGTTGAATAAAACTTCATGAAAAACCAGTTTTGGTGAAAGATTCCTTTAAGACCTGTTTTTGAGTGTAATGTCTGTAGTTTCAAATAAACTTACATATTGCAAACATGTATTCATAGAATTTAGCAGCTGCCCAGTGGCTTCTACTATAAGTGGATTTTGAGTCAGCAGGTTTTCAGCTCTTTGTATAAGGAAACAAAAATCTTCATTTGTTGAAATCAACAGTACAACACAGACGCTAGAGATCAGGCTGATAATGTAGACCTGAGAAAGTGATCTCCAGAATGCTCTTCTTCGGCTGAACCGCTGCCTCGTGCAGTGGGATCCAGCCCCTGCTGTCAGCCATGGACATTGCTTGCTTGTGCTGCACCAGCAATCGCAAGGCATCTTCATTTCCTGTGGAAAAACATGAGGATGTGGAGATGTAGCATTCAGAGCAGTACCAACAGAACAGCGGTAGTGGTTCAGCTCTCACCTGCCTGTATAGCCGTAAAAATCTCCTCATGGTCAATATTTTCCAGCGCAGGATCACTAAGGAAAACCACAACTGAGTATTTCTTCGCATGGAAAACTGTATCATTCAGACATAAAGGCATGGTTCATACCTGGGAGTTTCACTGCTACACTTGCTGTATTCCAGCAGACTCTGCTCAATCATGTACTGTGTGGCCTCATCTTCATCATCCCAGTCTTCCTCCAGAGCATCATACACTTCTGCCATCTTCATCAGTTTGTTTTATTTTTCCAATAAAACCACAAAATAAAAAAAGAAACAAAAGTTCTCTAAAGTAGCTTTAAAGAGGAAATCCACAGATTTTAAAGAACATCAGCATAATTCAGTTGTCGGGATGCAAACAGTGTCACAGTGGTCTGATGTGAAATGGTTGTAAAGACACTTCTGCTTCACAGTTGCAGTGGTATCAAATGTCTACCACTGTGAACAAGTCTGATTCTACGTTTCTCTACTATGGCATATATCAAATCAACCTGAATGACTTTGTTTACATCTCAACAACTGAATTAGTGCTGGATGATACTGATAAAGTATCCAAAGTATATCACAGTGTCACAGTAATAGATGACATTAATGTTTGCATTAATAAAATGAATACCCCTAGCAGTATGTCTACTCAGCAGTACTACTCAATGCAAAAAGAATGTCTCAGAAACCTAACAAAACTTTGTTTTTCTGTTCTGTTTTGCTTTGACCCAGAAGGATAAGCGGTTTAGAAAATGTGTGTGTGTGTCTGTGTGTGTTTTTTCCTCTGTTGAAAAATGAATGCAAAGTTTGAGCCTAGCATTTGTTTAATCCAAAAAGAACCACTCAAAATAAAGTGACACAGTTGTTACGAACATTTCCTCCGAAACAATCTGAAGCACTCAGTAAATGACGTGCATTGCAGTTATCCATTCGGCCCAGGACACCACCAGCAAACTGGAAAAACAGAACTTGAAAAGCTAAAAGCAACCCGCTTTGCAACAGTGACACCGCTACCCTATGGGCATTATGTTTAATATATCGATAAAAATATTGCTGAAAAGCATAATTATACTGTGTCAGTATCACATGATATCAGTATAGATGATATATTGCCCAGTACCAGATTAAATAATGCCAAAAAAATCTAAAAATCATTGAAATTCCTCTTTAATGGTATTTTAGAAGCACAATTTTTGGGGCAATGTCTGTTACAGGTTAGGAAAATTATAAATGGATTGAGTGATGGTTGTCAACAGACGGTCCACTCTTTTACTCTATCCTCATGTGTTACAAGTTAGGTTGGAGCAAAAATGTGGACTGTCTGCGAGACCCTGAGGACCAGTTTGAGATCCACTGGATTACGGTGATTTTATTATCAGATGGCACTGGTAAGTAGGTCATTCAGTTTATAGCAAACACAGAGTTGCATGATGTGTAATAATAACTTTGCTGTAATCATTATGACTCATGCAATGAGCCTTTCAGGTATTCACCCTGTACGTAAATACAGGGTGTAGTTAGTACACAAATAAGGCTGAAACTTTCTGCCGTTGGTGACGTCTTAAATTACAGGAGAAACATAGAAACGTGTGGTCCGGTTTAAAGGACATGCTGTGTTTACACACAGTCACTGAACACATATCAGTCTGAATTAGTCTGTTACTGATTGTGTTGCGGCTTAGACTGAGGCGACTACTTTGTATACATGCAGCACTCCATTCCATGCAACACTCCCTTGTTCTCTGAAGCCCGTCCAGGAAGTTTAATCTTTTCAAATATGCAGAATCCATACGCAAATGTTGCTTTTACCTTCAGGCAAGAAGCGCTGCAGTTTTTGTTGCACTTGTAACCTCAGAGTGTTTCAGGCTCTTACCAGTTACACAGCTATTAATATCTTGAAAGTTAAAAATATACAATCATGGGACTGGCTCTGCTACCCCCCCCCAACCCCCACACCACAACTTGGATCACTCTTTGGAACTCAACTCTGCAACTCTACTCGACCACCCAGTCGACACATACTGGGGCTTTAGGCTGTCAAGGCCAACAACAGGAAACAGTCATCATGCATACCTGCCATGGCCATACCTTACAGAGGCATTCGGGCCTAAAACTAGCAATCACTATATCATCAGCATAGAATTATAGGGTTCTGTCTGCATTCAGTGCAGTTCTCAGACATTATGGGTCGAAGATTTTACTTGCAAAACTCTGTAGTACAATCACCTTTCATATCCAAAGCCTTGTTTTGAGACACTTCTGACAGCTGAACGTTGAAATCGTGCAATACTTGGAAAGCCTTTTCCAGAATGGACCGAACTCAGATAGATCCTTTTAATTCTGAGAGCTCTTTTTACGTTATAAGGTTCTATCTGGGAATTCTAAATCTAAGCCCACAGTAATAAAGTAATAAGCCGTTACTGTGATCTTATCACAGAAAGGGTGTTCTTAAGCAGGACGCAAAGCAGAGTACCTAAAACTCCCTTCCCTGTGATAAAATCGCAGTAACGGCTTATTACTTTATTACTGTGGGCTTAGATTTAGAATATACACGAATGAAACATACAAATTTTCCGAAAATAATTTTGTTATTTTAGTAATAATCAACAGAAACAAGTATTCCGCCTTGAAATGTAGTTCCTTTAGAGTATGGTATTGTTGCCACGCAGCCATGGACTGCTGATTGAGGAGAAAGTTTGGGCGCCCATTGCTGTATATTGCTAAGTTTTGTACGTTTCTGTCATATATCAATGAACACCTGATAACACAGCACTGTTTAATGCAAAAACGTTTGCTTTGTAAGTATTTTTTGGTCACCAGATTACCATCGTGAGACTTATTTGGCACCAATCCACCGGCGCCCCTCTTCTCGTGCTGGGGCTGAATCTCAAATGGCTCCCTGCTCCTTTAATTCTGGATCCTGCATCCCAACGGTGCAAAGTACAGCTAAAAAATAGTCATCTGGGACTCAGCCACATCCATACTCGATAAACGATGCACTATTTGGCTGAAGAGGTTAGAATGTCTAAATTCATAGCTAATCACACTATTTAAGGAAGTGTGGAGGCGTTTGAGATTCAGCCTGAGTTTAACAGGACTTCTGACTGAAATACAGACATGTACAGTGCATAATCCATTCAAGTGACATTTTTAGACTTTTATACTGCTGCCTTACAGTTAATCACACCATAAGTACTTTAAGTCAAGTCTGTGATATTAATGATGAGTTTTTTAGACTGTTGGCTACCTTTTAGCCTGTTAGCTAGCTGACCAGCCTAGATCTAGTTAAGAACTTAAGTCGCCAGCCCCTCAGTTAAACAAAAAGTGTGTTCTTACTTAATCAGTATACTCGGCGGTCCATGCGAGCAGCATGAGAGTCAAATATCATTTCATCAACATCACAAGGGTAATTTGGTGCAGTTTACAGTTCAGTTGTTGTGAGGCGGTCATAGGAGCGGTATATTGTGGATTTTACAACGGCTTTGAACACGGCTCAGCCAATCAGATTTTAGGACCGGAACTATCCACTTTATAAATCATGTTTTGTACTACTTAGTGCAGCATTGCATCTCTCACCCTCATTGGTTTGGCAGAATGGTAATACCTTACTACAGAGCATTGTTCATAAGGCCCCATGACACATACATAAACTTGTCATGATAACTGACATAAACCTACATAAACATTTATAAAGGCTTATTCCGAAAGCTGTTATGTGTTATAAAGTCTACTTTAATCAACTTTGACATCAAATTGACAGAGCACCTATGTCAGATAATACGTTTTTGAGTGAAAAGACATAGCATGTTAAAATGGCTTTGTAGAACACTCTCCCTCTGCTAGCATAGCCACTGATGTAGAGGCTAACAAAGTCATGAAATTTCAAGCAGTGCTGTTTTGCTGTGTTGCTTCTGGATCAGCCAGCTAGCAGAAACAGATTTCAAACAGCCCACAGTCAAGTTGCCACCCTGAAGTCGTTTTTACAATTTCAAGAAAATCTCACTCTTAAGATTATAGCAGTACCACTACAGAAGGCGAGTTGGCAGACTTTACAAGAGATGTAGCAATGGTTAAATTTTTCATTTAGCCGAAGTGAACCTTTAAATGAGAATTTAAGATGCATGTGTGGACTTTAAAAGGTCAAAAACACAATTACAAAAGCACAAAGTGTTGCGAATGAAAAGTCTGCTTTGCGCAAAGAAGTATTTATGAGCAGATCACAAAACATTCATTATGTCATTTCTTTATTAGACACGATGCAAGGATTTATATTTTTGCTCACACACTATTCAGTCCTTGTGAAGCAAAACTGGATTATATATTCAAATTTAGGGCATCATTAAATGTAGAGCTGCAGCATTAAATGTAAAGGTCCAGTAAAGTGCATTTTCATAGGATGCTATGTCTTAATTATCCAGCTGGCAGAGCATGGCCACACCTCTCTTGATCCAGTGCTGTGGACGCTTGCTGGTGGGCAAGATAATGGAGATGACGAAGTTAGTGGAGTGGCCCGTGGTGGACAGAGTGCCCTTACGTTCGCTGGTCTTATAGAGAGGACAGACGTAGATGTTATGGGGTTGCTTCACAACACGCTTATCCGCTAGGAGATAAATGAATGACAGCATGATTTTAGAACAAGTCACAGTGACAAGCTATTTTCATGTTTAAGACAGGGATGTTCACTCACTTGGTTTTATCCAAATGATGGGCACTGAATCAAAGAGAACTTTTGGGTACTGTTCAGCTAAGACGCCACTGCAGGAGAAGGAAAAAAAACATTTCTTTAAAAAATGAAAGGCGTTAAAAAAATTCAGAACAGGTAATAATGGTACAAATTAGAGCTGGGTGATATGGCAAAAGTGTAAGATTGTGATACCTAAAGAACTTTTCATAATACATGATATGTCACAATACGTTTTCTGACATCTGATATGCTGCAACCGATTAAGCAGTGCTGTCATATTGCCCAGCCCTAGTACATATTCTTCTATCATATAAACAAACCTTTTCTTATCCCATCGCGCTCCATCCAAGAAGAGGCCATGAACATACACTCCATCCTCGGGAGAAGTGGCTGAGGTGTCGAAAGGAAGCACCTGTGTAATGTAATCAGAGTAATGAAATCAATATTCGCTGGACTGCACTGAACTTATACGTATTTTGACATTTATAGTCGTATGCAAAAGTTTGGGCGCCCCTGGTCAAATGACAGATTGTGTCGATTTTCCAAGTGAGAGACGGAATTTGGCACAACACCAGCAAAGACAACATCAGAAGAGAAAGAACTATGTTGACTTACAAGCTAGCATAATAGCATAATTACATACTGCTATAGGAGGCGTTCCAGGCCAGAATGGCAACGACAGAGACGCCATTCTCCCCAATATAAGTCGGTGTACTGTCAGAAAGATTTCGAAACTGTTATTTAAAAGTATAATTGCTACATAATGTTGCTTTAACAAATGGGAAAAAATAACATAAATGTAGCCTGTGTAAAATTTATGGCATGTTATACTGTATGTTTTATTTTTTTAATATGTTTATGCCAATATGTACTTCAAAATGAAGAAAACTACTTTCAAACTTGTCATTTGACCTGGGGTATTCAATCTTTTCCACACAAATGTACAACATGTTGAGAGTATATGATATTCCTCTACTTAGTAGTTGGTACCTCATATTCAAAGCCAAGGAGGTCAATAGGGATGGAGTATTTCCTGGCATAGTTCTGCATGGCTCCTGTCAGGAACGCTTGGGTGAAGAAGAACCCAGACAGCCAGAACACGTGGGGCTTCGTTGTGTCATACCAGTCCTAAAAATGCAAAAAACTATTCACTCAATACAGACAGCAGGCAGACCAGGCATTAATATGATCCATCTAAGCATTTATAGCATACTTAGCTTTATATGATGAGCAATATTAGTCAAAAAAAGAAAAACATACTATGATTTATGATAATAAATAATTCTTTTTGGAAAAATGTAATAACCCGCAGAAACTTGAGCCTAGCGAGGAAGTCTGTGATGTAGCTGCCCAGGGGCTTGAGGCTGGGGTAGGAGCGCTTGGCCCACTTCTCTGGCACTTTACCCACTAGCAGGCTGCCTGCTATAGCCTCCAGTTCTGCATCCATCACCACCAGCCCCTTAATAGCCTTCAGCAGGTTCTGCAGACTCACACGGATGGTGTTGCACAAACTGAGGACAGAATATAACACAATATACATAACATATACAATACAAAACACAGTATTAGCTATGTTAGATATATTATATTATATTGTATTATATTATATTATTTTAAGATATCTACACTGCCTGTGAAAAGTGGCAAGACATCTAACTTTTCAAAATGAGTTATTATTTATACTACTACTATTTATACTACAATACTAGTATGAATAATGTGAATATGTATGAAATATGTTAACAATTATATTAACATATAATTATATTTTCATTTTTGCATTTTTCGCAATAATTTAACATGTTAATGTTATCAAACCAAACATCTTGCTAGTAATACATGCAGAGACTTTTGCAATGTTTCCTTTAATTCACTTAATTCTCCTGCCAGAGGAGTTATGGCATGTACATGTCATTGATAGTCACAGAAAATAGTATCAGCCTGTAGAACAAGAGCTGTCAGTGAGCTATGATGTTTTCTGTCACTATATAAAAGATGCAAAAAGTTTCCTTTATTGTTGGATGTATGTTAATTTTTTTCTGAGTGAGCATGTGAGCTCATTCAGAATGCAATTTGGACTTACTTTATTCCATCGAAGTAATGTTAAACAGCGATTGGTATTCAGCTTATACTTACTGTGCATAAATGGGTTCATATATGTGTGAACAAAATTAAACTTGTGCTTTGCAGCAGCAACCTCTGGTCCAGACAATATATGGGCGCACATAATTTTAAAATAAGACAATGATTATCTAGTCTCTCAGTTAAGGTTTAGATACAACTCTGGACTAATGCAAAATGGAAAGCAATGGATTGACTATTGATTAAGTTTTGAATTTAGAGTGTTGATTAGCTGGGCATACTGGGCAATATGGATGCACATCTCTCAGCCAAGCCATAGTAGAAACAGCTTTACAAATTTTATTTTTAAAATGTATAAAAGGAAATCTGGGGGAGCCAGTGTGAATGGGCCTCATGCAGCTGATAAAATTAACATGTCTACTTATTTTTAAACCGACAGATACTGTTTTAAAGGAGGGAGGATTATATTGGGAGCACTGGAATGTCAAGTGGGACGGAGTGGCAACTGCAAACAGTTTACATGGCTCATGACTCAGGCAGGAGAGCCCCTTTGCAGAATTTTGCTTAGGGCCGCAGGGACGTCAGGACCGGCTCTGAAATCCACTATATGTCTCATAGGTTTATATTCTTTTATGCTCTGCAGTTGATCTTGGGACTCACTTATTATATCGTTCCATCTCTTGTACAAGCACTGTGTTCATACTCTCTTCGTATAGCACTGGGAATTTTTCAAGGGCAGACTCGATGTTAAAGTTCCCTGGAAGCTGGAATAAACCAAAAGGTTTAACTGAGACAAGCATAGCACTAAGGACAAATTAAAATTGTACAATAATGTAAATTTATAAATATTTGTTGGTTAAAAATATGATGGTTTGAGTTGTGTTGAATCAAGGAATTTGCATAATATATATACGATACGATATACTTTAGAAAGAATGTCGTTGGCAATGTCCAGCAGTGTGTTGTCTCCTCCAGAACTGCCTCCCCCCTTGGAGCCTCCCCCCTGAGTGAGGATCAGTGAGTCAAACAGGAGTTTGGTCTGCTGCAGGTCTTTAGAAATGTCCACATTCTCATGCATGCCAAACACCTCTGGATGCTGGGTAGCAGGCAGATTCTGTATACACAAAACTTTTATGTACCATTCCTATGTCACATGGTTTAGCTCAAACATCATGGTGTATGTATCTGCTCAGAATTCATCATTCTCCTTCAGACTAAACTGGTAAGTCTCACCCTGATAAACTCCACATAGTCTTCATAAATGGACTTCGGAGGTGCGTAGTATTTGCCACTGGGGGAGAAGGTGTAGCGAAGGTTCTCTATGATGTCTTTATTGTAGAAGTCAGCCAGCATGGTCAGGAGAAGGCGGCGGTCCCAGTCATCTGTCACTCGCCCACCGTAGTTACACTCTCCTGTCAGATAAGTGATTGCCTCAAATGGAACCTCTTCATACTCATTCACAAAGAGCTGCAGCAGAAGGAGCAAGAAGAGTGCATTAAGAACAGTATATAGTTTCCACAACAGGTGATTTCAAGATCTGTCACAATATAACTATTGACTGTTAATAGTGTGTTTACCAGGCAGAAAAGTTCTGTAGTTTACTAGTAACCTCAAGCCTGACCTATGCAGTGAGCCAAAATGGCATTAAGGAATAGCTTCCTACAAATACCAGCTGCTCTGAGTATGTGTGTAACTATGACCTTCATAAACAATTTTTTAGGAACAGGAAAGAAATTTTATTGTATATTAATGTAAAAAGATTGCACTCAACTAACTTTCTGTATTGGACAAAGTCCATTACTTGAATGAATGTAGAGATACCCTTAGTAAAATATCACTCAAGTAAAAATATAAGTGCTCTATTTATATTTGTACTTAAGGACCAGTTCAACAGTACTTGCTTTTGAAATATACTTAAGCATCAAAAGTAAAAGTATTCTGAAATATCCAGAGTTACCTGGAACTAGTTACAGTAGCTATGCTATGATTGGACATTCTGTTTTTAGAGGGAGGGATTTAGTGAAAGGTGCACTATGGTTGGTTGAACTTACGGTGAATGTGCATCAAATTATTTTGTATATTTTGGAAAAACTACTTTTATCTTCACAGTACTTTGAAAAGTGGAAGAGTAAAAAGTATATTTTACTGTGAAATATAGTGGAGCAAAAGTCTCAAAATAAAGGAGATGAAAGTACAGAAATTAAGTTCATAGGGTAGCTGGCTTTTCAAGCTAGTGTTTCCAGAAAAATTTAGTTTTGCTAAGACAGCAATGTTATGCAAGAACATTCACCTGCAACTGCCTGATACTAATACGCAGATCTGATTCATTGAATCCATATGGAATGTTCCAACCCAGCGGTCCAAACTTCTTTCTCTCTTGGACAAGGGCATGGAAGAAGCAAACCCCATATAGGAGCTTTTCCCAAACCTATAAATACAGCAGCAGATTACCACATCTGGAACATATTGATGGAACAATGTGTGTGTAATTAAACAGGAAATCCATCCTCTTACCAGCTCTTTGTTTGGACATGCAGAGAAGAACTCGGGATCGGAGACTGGGTCAGACAGGTAGGACTGCAGAAGATTTAGCCTGAGGCCTGTGGGTGGCTCATTTGTCATCTTCACCCCATTCTGCAGGATGGTCACTGGGAACTGACATTATAAACAAAATAGGTTATGAATTGTAAACAATTCCATATGACAGAGAATGCCACATAATAAGCAAGAAGTAAGCCTGTGTATGAATAAAAAAACTTAATGCATCACTTGTTGTCAGTGTACATAGATACCATAGGGGAGGGGTAGCTGGTGAGCCAGAGGCGAAAGTCTGGGTGGCATGTTTCTGGGCTGAAATCCTCACAGATCTTCTCCAAGGTGGACATCCAAGACACAGCCAGGTGGCAATTCTGCAGACACACCCATGTGCCCTCTTTCATGGCTGAGTGGATCATCTTCACAGCTATAGGACCCTGGCCCTGACCCAGAGAGATCGACTTGAACTTAGCGCCACCCATGTTCTTGTCGTTGGCAAACTTCAGCAAACCTTTGAGGAACATTTCAGTGTTCGGTCAGGAGTGTGTAAGAATAGATCTATTCATCAAACCGAAAAACAGTACTTACAGTAGAAGACAATACTTACTGGCCATAGGATCAGCTCCAGGAGAGAGCACAAAGACTAGTGGGATTGTGGAGTTAGAATCAATGTAGCTCTTACTCAGATCAAATGGCGGTGGTTCAACAAACTTTTTGCCCAGTTTTTCAGTCACGTAATTACTAATTGCTGGTTCAATCTTTAGAGAAAGAGACAAGGGATAAGAGTGTTGAAAAAGGTGACAAAATATAATTAAATATCATTGGGACCTGTGCAAAAATGGATGATGCCTCACTTTGTCTGGCCGAAGGCAACGGTAAATGATCATTTCCTGAAAGTCACTGAGTTTGTCGCACCATGGTTTTGGCAGGGGAGTGTTATAAGGCTCCTTACTGTCATAAATAGGTAAAAAGCTCTCAGGTGTCTTCATGAAGCTCTCCCTATTTTCAAGCAGGAAAAAAAAAAATAAATATAAAACCTGACAAGAGTAAAAGGAAGTGAAGTCTCTTCGAGGACAAATTATCTTACAAAGAGAACAGAATAGAACCTGTTACTAAATATATTTTAAAGCAAATGCAGCTGGCAAGGAGGCACATACTTGAGGCCCTGCAGGCCAGGCAGGTCACTAGCTCTACAGATCTCATCCCAGCTCTTGTCTTGTAGCCAGGTGGGGTCAGGATTGGGGACATCATTCTGCAGACCCACACCACCTGTGAGCAGGAACATGAACTCAGAGTACTCGATTTCCTTCTTAGCCCTGAAGGAAAGTGAGACAGTTAGACATCAAGGGAAGCACTGCTGTTTCATTTGGTTATGAAGAGAAAACGAACACTGTGCAAACTTGTTTTAATAATGTTCGCTCCTAATAACAATTATTGATGTAGTTAAAGCTAACTTACAGAAGCAAGTTGGAACAGAGGAGGAAGGAGAACAGCAGTTTGTCCTTCTCAAAAAGAGAGCGGCACACATTGCAGTACAGGTTGTAGGTGAAGTGGTCGATCAGGTATCTCAGTCTCCTCTCTAGAATCTTTGACTTGTTACTGAAACATACAGTACATTGTAATGATAGTATTCTATGTGGACAAGCAGAAGGTTAATTTTGTAACAAATATGAGCTTAACTTTCTTTGGCCTCCCATGACATGTATGCCTTGAAACCCCTTTTTAATGGCCTATTTTTTCAAATCAATGCACATTTGAGTATTCAGCTGTAAAAAGGTGGTGCAAAAAAACAGCCACTGGACTATAGAGGAAAAAGTGATACAATGAAATGAGTCATCTTTCACCATATTCTCCACAAACGGTTGTGCGGCATAAACCAAGATAACAGTAAAATCCCGAATGCTTGTCCCTTACAGTCACTCGTGTCCTATCCCTCCAGTATAGTTCCAGAGACTAGAAGAATCTATGCCAAGGGCACTGAAGCCATTCCACTAGCTTGTGGTAGCTCATCACTTTATTGAGACACTTTACCTTGGTTTTCCTGACTACAAAACCATCACGTTTTTGCAATCTTTAAGTCACAAAAAAAGTCTGAAGTACAGACCCAAACCTGGTGTTACAGTGCAAATCAAATATAAACACATTTCACATAACTATGTAAGTAACTGTGTCAAAACATTTTAAAAATTATGTAATGTAAATCAAATGTATAGAAAAATGACAATAATACGGTTAAACAAACAAGCGTATAAGCATTTATCTTTTTACCTGTCCTGTATGGAGTTGATGTAAAGGTTGACAAACCAGTTGAGTGAGTACTGGTACATGGGGTCAATGTTGGCTAGGTCTGCAATGCTAAAGAACAGGATGGAGGAGTGCTTGGCGATGGTTCTGTAGCCTTCTCTCGACTCTGCTATCTTAATTTCAGTCTTCTCTGCAATCTGAAAAGTTCGCACAAAGGAAGAGAGGTCTAATCACTCACTGTCACTATACTGCAGCGTCTTTCAAATCGGCTTTTCCCAGCCCCAGACCTGCTGTTTCTTGGAGATCTCATTAGACATTATCTTGGCGGAGTCCAGGATCTGGATAGCACTCTCGTCCTCCAGGATATTCCCCTCCGAGGACTGCAGCGTCTCCAGGATTTTGTCCTCAATCTCTTTCAGCTGCTTCTTATTGGCAGCAGATTGCACTATCAGGGCATTCCTCTCCTCCTCTAACTCTGGCCTATTAAATATAGGATGTAAAGCACATGGAATAATATTCCAGAATGTAGAAGGGGAATGGTGTAACAGCACAGAGCATATTAAGGTTTGTCTTTTGAGGTTTTAAATGATTCTTTCAAAGTTAAATAATTTTATATTAATATTATATTAAGCAAATTTAGAGGCTTGTGTGTATGGGCATGCATATATCATCACCTCTCCTTAGCTACCACAATGCCCAGCAACTGGTCCTCCAGGCCCTCTGGAGTGATCATGAAGTTGAGCAGGGAAACTTTAGTGGCCAGCTCTGGCAGATAATGAGGGTTCCTTAGCTTAGTTGTTATATAAAACCGGAAATCGCTCGAGTACTCAATCACGCTCTCGCCCAGCCTGATGCAGTCCATACCTCCTACACGCAGAAAACAGGAATTATTCACATAATCATAGTTCAGCCACTGGCCTCAGTTCCTATACTAGGCATTACCACACGTCGAAGGAGTGGTTGAACTGATTGCTGGAAATGTTATGTTACTATATTGGAGTGTAATTTTCCTTGACACTGATTTAGTCTTAAAGGAATAGTCCAACTTTTTCTCCCAAAAAGCTTATTCTTTCCAGTTTTCAAAGAATTGTAAAATGATTTGGTCTTTTTCAAAAATGCATGCCACTAAACTAAGATGCAGCGGAAAAATTACCTCCCATAGGATCCCAAAAGATCAAAATTGCTTTTAGCAACGTGATGCAGTTTAACATTTATTTTCAGCTCATGGTAAGGAACATAGCCTAAGAACAGAACACAAGTAATCTTATAACCTGTGTGAAATTATTTGAGTGCTCTGCACTCATCAAAACTGGATTCTATGCCCAGTAAAAGGCCATAACAGGTTTTTTCCACACCTTACTTCAGAAATGCGTTTCACAAAAAAAACACCCAAAATCATTTTTACAAAACTCTTAAAGCTGGAAAAAACAACACATAGACCAGTTAACCTTCCCTTTCTGCCTTGTACCTTGTTTGAATATCTGTTTGAGCAGTAGGGGCTCCAATGAGGGGTCCAGTTCTTCTCCCACATTCTCCAGCAGTAGAGGAGTACCAAACTGGATGCAGTTCTCCAGGGTCCTCATGTAGTCTGCATCTGTAAGCTTTATTACATTCAGGTTGTTTTCTCTTTCTGAGTTTTTCACCCACTTGTTGGCCTGACCCTGTGGGTCAATCATCAGAGGCCTGCAAATATATTTTAAAATGTATTAATTTATAGCCAGATTCTTAAAGATTGAGACTTAATTTGTTTTTTTTTTTTTGTATTTGAAGGTGTGATTATGGAGCTGTACCATCTTCTGGAATTGCTAACAATGACTCCATTATCAATAGAGAAGCTGTCAGTGGGCAGTCCAGAAATGTTCCAGGCCCTGATCTTGATTGGATCTCCAAGGGTCTTACTCAGAGAGTAATCATCTGAAGATGGGATGCTCTTGGACTAAAGATGACAATAAATGTCAGGGCAAATATAAAATATGCAAATAGATATGGAGTTAATAAGATATGGATAAATTAACCCTCTATTGCACGATGTTGCCTCAGGGCAACAAAAAATTTCCTGACTTTACAATGACTTTATACATATTTAAGGACACTGAAAGGGTTAACAATAAAGGGCGGAGTTTGAGTAAGTCAGCGAAAAAGCATGTATTTGGTCATGCTATCTCTTAGTGGGCACTCCCAAACCTCTTTTTAACATTCAGTATCATTTTTCAGTTATGTTAATTTGCAGAAATATGTTTGTTGCCCAGAAGCAACATTGTGCGACAGTGGAACGTATTTAGCCAATCACAAGCCAGGTCTCACCACTTCAGGGAACATGGATCTATATCGTTTCGTCCCATTGTCGCACAATGTTGCCTCAAGGCCCCTGCGCACATTATTCGTTTAAAAATTTTTTGAATTCAATAATCAGGTCAATTTTATGCAAGAAAAGTGAATCGGATATATATTTTTAAATTGCTTTCATAATGCGTGCAGTCGAGGGATCCTACACGATTATTAATATATTTTCACTGTTATTTTAACTTCTGCTGCCAGTTGAAACAACATTTGTTGAGTAGGTACTGTACCTTACAGAGTTTGGTCCACTCTTTAGTGCAGTTCTGACGAAAGCCAGCAGTGAAAGCTCCTAGGTAAGCAATTACACCAGCAGATATCAGCACGTCACCTGTCAAATTGTCATATGTGTTCTGAAGGTCGTCGGCTGCTTTAGACCACCTGTAAGACGCAGAGAAATACCTCAGAGAACATTCCACAACAATGTTTTTATTCACAATTCAATTCAATTTAAAACTCCTGGCCCTCAAAAGAAAATGTATTTGAACGAATATCATTCTGACCTAGTCTTTTCTCCTCCTAATCCCCCAATGAGCTTCTCCGCTCTCTCCAGCTTGCGGGCACAGAGGTCCACCTGGAATTCTAACTGAGCCTTCTCCTCAGTTTTCTCTTCAAATGTTTTCTGCAGGGCAGCCAGGCGGTCCTCCACCTCCTTCAGCTCAGCTCTCTTCTGGTTCAGGAGGGCCATGGTAGTGGCCAGTGACTGCTGTGCCACAGCCAGGTTAGCCTTTTTAGGAGCTACTACCTAGAAAGCCAGAGTTAACACAGGTGAGTAAAGATTAGAGGTGAGCAATATGACAGTATGTAATTATTGTGAAATTACGTTACACACTTTTCTGAGTACATTGCAGGTGTCATCAATACTTCTAGAACACTGACCGACTGCATGCATCATTAAAAAGACCAATTATATACAGCCTGTAAAAACAACAACCTGGGAATAGTAACTGCATACAGTCCTATGATAAAGTTTGAACATTCCAGGGCAAATTACATGTTTTGTTGATGTTTTGTGAAATTAAGCACACATCCTTTACAGGGAACTTAAATATGGTATTTGTCTGTGCATTTTAGTGCACAATATCTATTTACTTTACTGTGTTTGAAAAATTTATTGAAAAAAACTTATTTGCACAGACCACATTTTATGTTTTTCCCCCGATGTGTTAAATTCAGCAAATAATTCACAACAATTGTGCATTAAAATGTGCAGAAGTCTGTTCATTTTCACTTAGAAAATCAACAAAACATGTAACGTTTTTTTGCTTTTTAAATAAACAAAAAAGGTTAAAGGCCAAAAAAAAACATGGCCTTTTTGAATGCGACAATACTGTTGCATTAGTTCTGTCTTTTGCCCATTCCAACTTGTTTGCAAATCTTGGAAAAACCTAATATCACAACCATAATTGTGTAAATTGTGTATTAAAAATGTCTTATTGCACACGAGATTATATTTTTGCCATGACACACACCCTTAGTAAGGATGTTTATATCAAGAAGAAACAATTGGCTTGCTTAAATAAAATGGAATAAATGAATCACTTGCAAAAGACATCAGTTGGAATGAAAAAAAGGTCTGTATGTCTCTGAGATGCAACAGACGATTTGATTCAGTGATGCAATTCTGCCCACCTTTGCCACTCTGTCATAAACCTCCATGGCAGTGATCCATTTGCACAGACCCTCAGCTGCAGAAGAGGCCTTGGCCACTTTGGTGGGGTCAAAGTCAGGGTTGGTCATATACTCGCTACGGATTTTGTGCATGACTGGTGCCTGTCACAAAGTGGCATTAGTACAATATATTATCAACAGATCATAATGAAACATCAGTCATCGTGACACATGGCTCCACCTTAACCTATTGATACACTTACAGGAATGTTGTCCTTGTCATACACTTTCAGGTCCCTGAGGAAATTCATGTCTCCAAGCAGCTTCTTGCTTGGACCCCAATAGTCAAGAATCTGTAGATATGGAGTAGAAAGTTAATATAGCATCCAACAGAACAGCTTATCATTATTTAAAGTGCTGAACTCATCGTTTCACCTTCTGTCCTGTTCCTGCAGGATCACTGATCTTCTCAGGTTTGATGTCTTTCATCACACACACTGCTGCCATCACTAGCTTAACTCCAGATGGAGGATTTTTCATAGACTTTACAATTGTAATATCAGAGGGCTGGAAAAAAACAGGTTTACCAATAGCAACTTTTAACTTGGAGGAAAATCTAGATATTACATTACATATTGAATTGGGGGCTCAACATGACCTTGACTCTGACCTTCAGTGTGTCGAGAGCAGAAAGAGCAGCCTCCAGAGCAGGGATGGCCTCAGCGAGGTCACTCTCACACTCGTTTTTCAGAGCCTGTGCTTCGTTTGCCTTTTGAGTAGCCACCTCCTCATCCACACGAACAACTTTACTCTTAGCTTCAACCTGCACTGACTCCACCTCTATTACCTGCAATACAGCAGCACTTTAGCATCTGGAGGTTTTTGTTGCCCTAGCTTAAACAAAAATATTAATTTCTCACCTGCATCATTTTAGTGTTGTCAATCTTGGCCTGCTCCAGTTTGGGCTGCAGGTCCACAAGCTCCTTCTTCATTTCACCTACCTAGAAAAACACAGCTAATCATTCACTTTCCTTATAGCAAAACATATTAATGACATACAGTACTGTGTCCTTTAGGTCGTACATGGAAAACACACATGCTTTCAAAGTACCAAATGCAGCAGTAATTCCAGAAAAAGAGCAACAAAATAAAAAACACATTCTGAATAAACACGTTACAGTGCAGAAGTCAGAGATGACACTTTCATTTATTTAATTTCAAGTCAAAGTGACCATTAAATACAAGTTATTTATTTCACAGCATCGGGAAAAATACAGAAAACATATACTTAACAGATAACTACATGGATGCTTCAACGACTAAATCTAGTATCAAATGTTTCAGTATTTAATGTGACCAGCTGTTCCTTTTATTACCGTTTCCATTCTTTTCAGTGATTTGGTTTCTGTTTACAAACAAATCAGCAGGTACTTTTTCCCCACACCTTCAAAGTTCACTCTCAGAAGCTGGTTGCATTTTCTACTTCTCACAATCCAAGTAATCCCAATTACAAATTTTGACTCATCAGTCCATTAAACCTTACTCCACATTTCTAAACCACACTACAAACCCGTTCAGACCCCTAGTGTTACACTGAAATTATACTTAGTTTTTGCAGCTTTTGTGCAATTTCCTGTTAAATATATAACTGAAAATCAAATAAACTGACTTTTGTACAATACTGTATGCTTCAGTGTGTAAACAACCTTGTTTCAAAGACAAAATACACTGTGAGAAGAATTAAGAACATACAAAAGACAGAATAACAGACAGAAAAATGACCTGAGATTCAGCAAAAGCCAGCTTGTCCAGTCCATTAGTATATCTCTTCTTAGCCTTCATTACTGTGTCTCGTTTCTGAGTCAGGAGCAGTCTAAAAGCAGCTATGAGCTCCAAATAGGACGTAGGAGTCACATAGTTGTGGCGACCAAGCTCTGACAGAAACCTGGAAAAACATCAAAACATCACCATTTAATTCATAGCAACATATGTTGATGACATGCCCAACATTTTGTGGTACTAGAACTCATATAACAAAGTGTCTTATTAATGATATGATTATAAAGTGTATTATGTTTAATACCTCTTGGACAAATCAATTGCAGATGTGTGGAAAGTCTTGCAGATCAGCATAACTTCTCGCCGCTCATGATCACTCATCTCCAGCGTCTCTAAAAACTTGTTGGCTACTCGCTCCAGTGCTTCTTCAGGCCATGGCTGAGAGGAACAACAAATTCACACATCTAAGAAAAGAAAACTTCTTGCTTACACATATTGACTGAATGTCTGCATCAGTTCTGATCCACTAATTATAATCATTACCACATTTACTGTGTCTGTATTCATAGTTGAAAAAATCTTGCCAGTCTTACTTGGAACCAGTTGATTGTGCAGCAGTTGATCAGAGAGGGAAACTGTCTGAGACGGTTTCTGAAGGCATCTCCAATAGGACTGAAAGCCACCACTATGTGCAGGTTCTCTCTACATCGATTGACGAAGTATGCAAACAGAGCCAACGGGCTGAACTCCAAATTCTTATTACCAGCCTGGGCTATGGGCCGCACAGCCTGAGGAACAGACAGGAGTGAGAGGGATTCCACTAAACTTCCTTAATGTGTCATGGAGAGGCACAAGCCTCTAGTACAAGTTTTCCATCATAACTAATAGGCCTGTGAAAATTATTGCATAATCACCTGATTGCAATTATTTAATCTAATAGTGATCTAAATCTAAATAGTGGATCGCAAATATTTTCCAGAGTGTATTTTCATCATTTGGATTGAGGCAAGTATGTGTAATTAAAAAAAAAGTAGAAAATGCATTTACTGACATGATGAGTCTTGAAAAAACCCCAAAAGTTCTAACTTCTCACTGATGCCTTAACTCCTTTAACTGGCAGCAGTGAGTAACATTTGTTTATCTGAGCTTGAGCTGCTTTTGTCGTCAGTTGGGAGCTAATAACTATTTTTAACTAGTAAACAAGAAAGCTAATCAGCCAATTTGGCCACTTTAGGTTCAAACTTCAACAGATGCTTACAATGAGCAAAGACTGTCCGTTAAATTGTTCATTGTGATTATTTATATGGCAGTTAATCACTATCAAATACAGTGTAGAGCTGTTCTAGTAGCAGGTAGCAGTAGCTTAGCATGCTACACCACAACACAGGAAATCTATGTTTTAGTGTGTGGAGCTGTTATGTAAGCTACTCTTGCACCACTACCTCGGTAGCACCAGCGGCTACTGTTAACTTAGCGAGCAGACTAATACAGATACACACCATATAACACAGCTTTAGAGGATAAAGACTCAAATCTGAATGAATGAATTTGGGTGGCCAGCGTTAAGGTTTAAAATTTAGTCGGTGATGAATTGAAAATATCACTAGTTTATTTTCTGATTGTTGAGGGTACGTTGGGAGCTTATTTTAGTTTCTGTTGTGCTCTGTCTCATCTGCTCAGTTTGTTTCAGATTGTATTCCAGATTCAGCAAATCTAAAGAACTCTGCATGCCTGGTGGTGAAGGGAAGGGATGGGGTTTGGAAACGGGAGGAGTTTACAATTTGCACAGTTGTGCATATTTATAAATCTTCACATTCTCAATGAGTGTTAAGGTTTGGGGGTGATCTTATGCCATTTAAAGAAGTTTCCTGGGTATAACAATACATACAAATATTTGACAAATTATGATTCAACATAGATATTTTTTCATGGTTTAAATTATGACTTAAAGGGTACTTTAAACATTATAAAACATACAGCACCTCCATGATCTCTTGCTTTTCATCCACAGCAAATATATTTGGAACCTCCCCTGTGTTTAAGACGCTGTCTACGTCCTCTAAGAAGGCCTCTTCTTTTATCTGAGCATCTGTGAGTAGGAACACTGTCTTCTGGCCCTTCACCCCTGCTTTCTTCAACAGAAGCTGAAGGAGGAACAAACAGACCTTATTTAATGAAACACCATTTATTTCAGCAGCTTTAAAGCAATGTGTCAGCCAAGTTATGTTTGGTGTCCAAAGCTAGTTTTTTTTTCTTTGCACTGGAGCTAAGAGACTAATGCAGGTAATAAGAAATGGAAGCTTATATCTACTAGTTTTGCATTATTGGTTTTATACTGTTATTTTTAAAAATGGGCAAAACTGTGGACAAAATTCAGGCTTTAAGATATTTGTAAGATTCAATATATTTTTGTCAATTTTTAGTATATCATACAATGTTAGAAACGCACAACTGTGTTTGATATTATTTAACACCTCTACATGGTTTGAGGCAAGTGCGTGATGATTTAGACATGCAGTATGCATGATGATAATTGTTGAGACAGCTTTTATTACTTATCCAACATGTTTCTTGTCTATTTAAACGTCCACTTATGTTTAATGATGTTTCTGTGGTTTTATGTACTAAATCAGTTATCATTTCTTTTTCCATGACCATTTTCAACCTCTGTTTATTACTTAGAATTAACAGGCTGTTTTGTTACTGTGCATTTAAGGCTAATATATGTAAAAATCTCAGTTGTGATTGGCTTTCCTATATTGTGACTCTGTCAGAAAGCTATCTTTCTTACTTCAGCGTGAATGGGTGGGGCTTAACTGCTGCAGTCTAAATACATGGAAATGTGTAAATGCACTGTTTTTTGCCACAACACAAACACACTGAATTTCAAAACAGGCTGTCAGACTGACAAGTGAACAGTATGTTTTTTTTTACTTTTTAATGACATTACATCAAACTTTTAATAAAAAATGAATGAAATTTTTGTTTTTCCATGATATGGGTCCTTCAACTCGTAGCTCCAGTGTAAAACTAAAGAAGCAGTTTCCCAGACACCAAACCTGTCCTGGCTAATCAAGTATATTTTGGGTAGGGTGAAAATTTAAGTAGCAAGTTTCAGTTTCAGTGAAACCAAAAGCGAAAGTTCACGCAAATTACTGAAACTTCCTATCAGAAGGAAATCACATAGTACCTTGAGGTCATCTCTCCACTCGTTCATGCCATAGTTCTTGGAGATCTCAGGCTGGAACAGAGTCATGTCGGCCATGAAAGTGGCCAGCCTCGTGATGGACTGACGGCCGCTTCCTCCAACCCCCACCAGCAGAGCGTTTCCCCCAGGCTGCTTCAACACACGGCTGATTCTGGACAGGTGTTCCAGAACATAGCTTCCAGAAAACAATAAAGAGCTTTAGGAATTACATCCCTCACAGTAAAGTCTATTAATGTGACTGCAGTAACACACACTGCAGTGAGTAAAGGAAGTATCAGTTACCGGAAGATGACCAGGTTCATGCGGTTCTTATGAGTCTGGTTGTACTCCGTCAGATAGGACTCTACCACTTGACTGAAGCTTTCCATGCTGGGAACCTCAGCATATAACCTTTCACTGGCGTCGACATCAGGGGTCATGTAGTCTCCAAACAACAGGTTCCTCATGTCCTCTTCACAGAGCTGGAGTGGAAAAAGAAAATTTGACAGATGACACCAATTTCAAAAACGGTGGACTAACGAACAGATTCTATTCCTTTTCTGATACTTACAGGCTTTTTCTCAGCTTTCAAATGCTCAAAAACAGCGTCAAAACTCTCCTTGAAATGGTCCTTCACAATGTCATTCATGAGTTTATAGAGCCAGGCTCGGTCCTGGTCGTCTACCAGGCGATCATAAAAGACACGAAACACCTCGTGAACGAACAGGCGGATCATGGTGCGCTTGCTCTCCAGAGATTCCTTCTTCAACAGCAGGCATCCCTGCACCACTCGGGAGAAATCTCGCAGGTTGAATGTGTAGTGGGACTTGGCTGGGGTGGGAAGTAGGTTTTCCATTGCCTTTTTATAAACCTAATACAGAAAAACAGAACACAGGAAGTTACCAGAATCCCCAAGGAAATATATACAGTCTTCTCACATTAGACTGGGACTGGAGCCATACCGAAGCTCCAGTAACTCTAGACCTGCACAGCTTACCTCCAGGGTAGCAGTAACTATCTGGTTGCCAATAGTGAAGCAGTCAGGTGGAAAGCCATTGTTACGCAAGTAAAAGGCTACCACGTTAGTGAAGATGCGTGACATGGTTTCATCACTAAATGCATTCATACTACAGACGTTAAAGTGCCGCAAAAAACGAGGAGTTACTGCATTCCGCCCACCACCAGGGGGCCCCATGGCTGAAATCAGCTGCAGATCAACCAGAGTGATTTTGGAGGTGTCCTTTAGGTCATACCTGGAAAACAAACATGCTTTCAAAGTACCAAAATGCAGCAGTAATTCCAGAAAAAAGATCAACAGAATAAATTAACATTCTGAAAAGGAATAGTACAGTGCAAAAGTCAAAGCCCACTCTTAATTTTCATGCCATTAAAGTTACCTATTTTTCAGGAAATATTACTGAGTAGATTAGATATAGTTTAGACAAAAACAGAAGTTTACAAAACTGTAGCTCAAAAAACTATTAAACAGAAAACATAACTAACTATTGCACAACTGTGACCATCAGATAAACAGTACTTAAACCTTTCATCTTTGAGAGAGAGGAGAAAATCAAGCTCCACTCTTGCTTCAGATCTGAAAAAACCCACAGGTGCTTATGTATATCCTTCAACTGTGAGAAGACAACTTAACACTAGTCTGAATGAATGTGGAGCTGTCAAGAAGCACTTACTGAGAAAAGGAAATAAGACAAAAAAGAACACTTCCAAATCAAACAAAGAAGCTGCTGGTGTTCTCAGAACAATGGACTGACCAACCCAGAACAGTGCACTCTCCAGCCAAGAGCTCAACATCAATGAATGTGTTTGGGATAACTTGGACCGTGAGGAGCAGAAAATGCCACTAACTTCTAAAACTGAACTTTGAAAGTGTGGAAAAAATATCCATGCAGATTTCTTAGAAAAACATTTTTTTTTCTGTTTTTCCTGATGCTAGAAAATGACTAACAGCCATTTTGACTGTCAAATTAAGCAAACAAAGAGTGGCCCCTGACATGTGCGCTTTACTATATTGTGTATACTACTAAAATAAGTACATTTCTGGACCAAAACATACCAATTTCCATGGTCAAAATACTGACGAAGCAGCTCAATAGGAGGCTGTGCACCGAACACTTCCATTGCTGGCATGTTCATATCATCCACAAAAATTATGCATTTCTTTCCCATGGGAGGTCCAAATACCCCCTTTCGTCGTTTATCTAGCCTGGACATAATTATGTTCTTCATAGGAAACAAGAAGATTGTGTGTTAGAACATTATTCCTCCCTACATTTGCATCAACCTACAGGAAATTTGATATTAGATAAGCTACTTTTAAGAGGCTTATCCTTTTAATTACCTGACTCTGGTTGGCGCTAGTGCGTGCTGAGAAGTTGATAAAGAAGGGCAGGTAGCGATCCTTGTCTAGATTGTTCATGAGTTTCTCCTTCACATAAACAGACTTCCCAGTGCCAGTGGGACCAACAAACAGAAGAGGCCTAATTGAAAAGCAAATGTTCAAGAAAGCGATATAGTTTAAAACATTTGAATCCCCCCATTCTTAGGAGAAATGTTCTACAAATATGTAATATATGTAAAATGCATACAATTCAGATTTTAAAATATAGCGTCCATAAGCTGCATTATATTCCATTTTTAAATTGGATGAGATGTGGGCCACATTCCTTTTTCTCCTTTAGGGACTATAACCACTCACTTACACTCCAAAGTTAATACAGAGGTCCATTAGGTAGGTGTAGCGCACTGTGTCAATTGTAGGAACAATGATGTCCTGAACTTTGGTGTTCTTGTCCCCTAATGTGACGTTCTTTATTGCTTCATTCCAGTGAACCCAGCGGCCTTTTCCTTTGAACTTCACCAAAAAGAGCCATTGGTCATATTTCAGAGTGGTATGAAAAACATGAAAAGCATGATTATTGTGTGAACTGCAACATATACCTCATAAGAGTAGTCATAAACAAGACCCTTGTCATCAAAAGGGCATTCCCACTTTGAAACAGTGGCAGGAATGGGGTGCTCATCTGATTTTCCTGATGTGATTTCCTTCAGAAACTCATCAAATCTTCTACGACTGTCTCCATCACAGCACCCACCAACAGACCACACCAAGGAAAAGGCAAAAGCTGCCTGTGTAAAGCAAAACTGAGTATGTTACCAAGGTTGGGGAATATTTATAAGAAGATAAATTAATATTTAAAATATAAATGTAAAGCAACACAATTTCATTAAATGCCAGTAAACAAGTTATAGATACGTTTGAAAAATGTGGTAACACAGTTAACATAGTTTAACCCATTTATGTCCATACTGGGATTTTGAAATTTCCTATACTACAGCGTTTCTTAGAGCTCCACTGAGCACAAATCTGAAAGCAAAATCGAAGTAGGTCAAACAGTTTGGCCACATCGTCCAATTTCCTTACTGTACTTTTAAAGGCTTTAAGCATAAATGGGCTTAAAAAACAACTTTTGGCCTCCAGCAGGGAAGCTTTCATGCTGAATGTAAATGCAGTTTTTCATATTACAGTGTACAGTCTTTGAATGGACACCAGCTCTATAACTGCAAAATAATTTGAGCAGGGTATTGAGATGTGTGGTCTTAAATATTACTTTACTGATTGCAACAGAAAATCATTTAATTTATAATGGAATACATCTGAATTTTTTTTTTCTGGCCTTTTTTCATGTTATTCAGATAAATAAAAATAAAAACAAGGTTCAGAACGAATTTCAAACAAATGTGAAATCAATGTTTACCATGATCCACGTGCGTATATTCTTGCTTCCAGGTTCTTCAGTTACAGGTTCAGTAAGCAACATTCCAAAGAGTCGTGTAAGAGACACAACTGTATTGCTGTTAGTGGTGGAGACAACCTCCTATAAAAGAAGAAGATGATCAAAGTTGAGGCTGGATTATGATCAATAATCTGTCTCTATTCATTCTTTAGAAAAAACCTTCAAAATAACTTCAAATAATTTAAAACACAGGAAACACAGGAGTAGGTACACCTACTCTACAGTTTTTTCTTAACATCTTAAGTGCCGGGGGAACCAGCCAATTAAACAGCTCCAACAGTAATGTGGAATTCTCCTGAGACTGAAGAGGCTGGGGTAGAGTGTTTAACCAGGATTCCACAAGCGGATGCCATCCGAGCTGAGATGGCTCCATGTAGATCATTCCACAACGGCTCACTGTTGCTGGCTGGGAGAGAATACCAGCATCGTTTAAAAGCATGTAGCAATAAACTCCCAAAAAATAATAGAAAATTACCTAGGTCAGCAAATCTGCAGTGTAATATTGAACAGGTCCATTTTAAGGTGGTGCACAAGACAGTAAACTGAACAGTAACATGATAAACAGAGTGACTGTCTTACTGAGGCCTGCGACAAGTCCATGGCTTCAAAAATCAGACTCATCTGGTTGGACATCTGGATAATTTCTCCACTCATTAGGCACAGCTGCAAGAGAAACATACATCATCTGATGATACAGACTGGCAGCAGATGCAGGAAGTTCATATTATATTATATTATATTATATTATATTATATTATGTTATATTATATTATATTATATTAACAAAGAAATATTACATTCAAGGCTGATAGGAAATCAATTTTAACAAGCCGAAAAGCTTGCCTTTTTGTTATCATCCAGCACAGTGTTCATACTCTCAATCCAGAGTGTGTCAATGGGTCCATCAAACACCACCCACTTCCTGTCTGGGGTCTCAGATGAGGCAAACTCCCGAAACGTGTTCGCCACAATTCCATCAGTCCACTTAGAGAGAAAAAAGCCTTAACTGTTCAAGTACATACTGATAGACCTCTAATCATACCAGGTGCATTTAGTAATTTAAATAGATTGGCAGCAATATACCTAGCTGAAACCCACCTCATGGGACACAGGGTCAAACTGGCCGAAAAGCTGTCCCATTGTGATGGATTTTGGGTTCACTGTGCGGTACTGGACTTTCTCCTCCTCATTGTAACCCCTCTCATTCATGAGTGTGAGAGTGTCAGCTAAGACATGCAGCACTTTGGTTTTACCCGCAAATGGTTCACCAACAAGCATGAACCTAAGGAACGAGAAATAAGGGCAAAAAGGAAAACTTTCCTCATAATATGTTGTAATAAACACCTTTCCTCATAATATGTTGTCACATTTTGGTTGCTTTCAGATTTTGTCCTTTCCAAGGTCTCTCCTAATATCTCCTCCTAATTATAGCTCAATATAATCTATTCCTTATCACTCAATAAAGACAGATTTAGGATAAAAAGGCTAACATGTGCTTCCACTTTTCAATCCAATGCATTTAGAGGATAACGATAACTGCTCTGTCCTATCTGGCTGGTCTCGACCCCTCACTGTAGGGTGAGGAGAATTATGCCACTCTTCTCATCCAAAGAATGAACAACTAGTTGTTTTTGTGAACTCTAGGCCACAGAAGGCGATCGTGTCGCTGGGAAACAAACTGAGAGAACATGCACTAACCCATGACGCACAATCATCATCTCATAGGTCTGGATCATTTTATCGAGGAAAACTTTCACAGGCTGAACATTGTGGTTTTTGCAGCATTCTTGAGCACAACCCAGGAAGAGCTAAAGAAAAAGAAGAGATTGTGTGCAAAAAAATTACATATAAATTGACATGTTAAGCTGACCTGAGATTCAAAGGCCACAGTTCTCACCTGATAGTCAGCCACAGGGAGAGAGATGCCAGGGAAGAGATCACTTGTGATTCCATTAAAGAGAGGAATGTCGTGGGAGAGAAACTTGGGTTCATTCACATCTTTGATGGAGCGTAGGAGCTAACCAAAGGAACACAGCATGTGTCAGTTTGAACATAAATAGCCCAACTTTGCAACTGAAATACTTTAATATTGCGCTTGAAATGTTTTAATACTTTAATATTTCTTTTTTTCTCTTACAAGAATATCTTCATTTTCATTTGGAAACTTGAGTTTGAGGTTTCCTGCTGCCACCAGTACTGCTTTGACAGCTCTCATTCCATAATCGTAGTGGAACTGGGAGGACAACTGCTCAGAGCACAGCCTGTAGGTCATTACTATCTTCACTGAAAGTGGCTTGGCATTCAAAAAGCCATAAGAGTACAGAGAAATCTCTGCTATCAGAGCATAGTTAGGGACCATCATTGCAACAGTTCTGAACAAAACCTAGAAAACATACAAAAGAAATACTCATACAACAGCATTAATTCATACAGAGAGTGCACTTTCATTCATATCACAGGTAGCAAGTAACAATAGTAGTATACACTATATAATGTGTATAAGGAGCAAATAATAGTAGTAGTATACACTATATAATAGTAGTAACACTATATAATGAGTGTTTTAAGTGGAGTGATTTTTTTCAAAAGTCTTCTAATCATGGCAAACGTGCATGTAGGGTGTTGTGACGCAAAATAGCTCATAAAGAAAATGTGTTTTGCAGACTTACCACCATTTTACCGTTATTAACATTACATATGGATAGTAAATTAGATCAATATTTGTGTTGTAGACATTGTGAACCCTGGTTCCTTCCTGTGACTACTGTAATATGTAAGTGGGAACATTTCTCTGCAAAGCACTATTTTACATAACACCCTGAATGACTTTATTTACTTCTCAACTCTTTATTTATTCAGAAATTTTGAAAAACTTTTATTGTTGCAAAAGAATTGCGTTTCACATGTTTTTACCTTAAGGTTGTCAGGAAGCTCAGATCTTCCAGCATATCCAGGGTTCATGGTGATGGCTACAAAGCAGTTTGGATTGAGGCGAAGCTCAGTACCCTCAAAGTCAAAAACCTCCAGCTTCATCTCAATAGCTCTCTGAATGCACAGGATCTGCTGTGCCACCACAGACAGTACCTCCAGCTCAATGCGGTTAAATTCATCAAAGCATGCCCACGCACCTGAAGATGCCAGTCCCTTAAAGAACTGACACAGATAACAGAAACCGTAAGTCAAATCAAAGTGACATTTACCAGTACGGAAGAAGATATTCTTTTCTCTAAAATTCATCATCATTTAGGTTTTAGATTAAGGATCTTAATCTGAGAGCAGCTCTCCTTACCTTTCCCATGGCTAAGTAGTCAAGTCCATCAGAGCAGTTGAACACTACACACTGCACAGCAAGGGCTTTGGCCAAGTCTTTAGTGGTCTCTGTTTTGCCTGTTCCTGCAGGGCCTTCAGGAGCTCCACCTAAATTCAGGTAAAATGCTCCAATCTATGATGGAGCCAGATTTTTGGAAAAATTACGGTGTTAAAAAAGTCATCAAAAGTTGTTTTCACTTGTTGTCAGTTGTTGTTTCAATGTTTTAAATGAATGTCCAGTCTGATAATGATTAACAAAGTGTAATGGACCTTTCAATTTACCAAAGTTCGGTAGCATCGATCTGTTAAAGGTGTGATGACCAAGCGAGGAGAATTCCCTAAGTACTCATAAGCATACTTGACATCACAGTTGATGATGCAGACACGGACATTGTCATTATTCCAGTAATAACGCAGCTGGGCAAGCCACTGGAAGTCTGTCTCATGAGAAACGCCTGAGAGATACAAGGACAAGTACAAGACAATACAAAGTAATGCAGCAAAGCAAGCCGCTACCACAGAAAGTAATGCAGCAGACCTTAAAAATGTCAGGTAATGCAAAGTTAAACTAATGCTACAATATTACCAGCAGTTAAGTTCCAGAACTAACAGCTTGTGGGACTATATTTAATATCATAAGAGCATAATTTTGCCACATATAATTTAGTAACTCAATCAAACAACCTTTCTGGATCATTTCCATGACAACATCACGGGCATGTACATCTATAGTGACCAACGCTCCTAGAGTAGTGCGAGTCTGCTTGGGCAATTTTCCTCTGACCAGCTCAACGATGTCATTCAGCTGGCTCTGTAGTTGATCATAGTAGTTCTTCAGACCCTGCCAATCAAACAAAACCCTTATTTTCATCACTGCTACCCACAATGTAATGATTAACATGTGTAATACTGTGAGTGTTTACACACATCAGCTCCACTCCTAATGGCTTCGTGTACTTCTAGAGTCCAGTACATTTGAGAGGTACAGAGAACCACCTGGCCAGGCCACTCACGAACCCACTGACTCCTCTTTGTCTCTGGGTATGCCTGTGATCCAATACAAACAAGCAAGAAGGCAAGCAGGTCCACATGTGCATGTACAAACACAGTATGTACAAACTGAATTCCTGAAACACTGACACTCAAGCGCAAATACATAAAAAAAACTTTTTTTAAATATTGTCATTAAGCCTACTTTGCTAAATAAATGCCATTAATTAATTGCCAGAAGCTTTTAATAATACTATACATTTAGTGGACATCTTAGATCTCCAAGTGGTTTCTTTTGGAGAACTTTCTTTTCTTTTTGTTCAGGTAAATAAGAAAAAAAGTGGATTACATTCAGATACAGCTATGTCTAAAATCTATGGATGCAACTGAAATGAAAAAGAAAAGCAACAATTCTTACTAAGCTCGATCTAAGACAACATGATTTCCTCTAATCACATAAATTGTTACAGGTTTGTGTATTTGAGGGCAAGTATAGAGTCTCACCAATCTGGAGCGGTTAATAACGTCCCTAACGCTACGCAGCATCACGTCCTCCACTTGCACCAGCCACTTCTCTACCGCTCCCCGCGCCTCTGAGGTGGAGATCAGCTGGATCAGGCCTACACGCTCCCCCTCACTGCTGTACATGGCCTGGATGTCCAGGTTGGGCAAGAAGTCCAGCTTGGCAATGCCCTCAAAACACTTCTTCAGGTGAGGCTGCACACGCAACGGGTCCTTGGTCTCAGACAGAATCTCCAGCATTTCATCATTCGAGAGGAAGAAGAAGCTGAGGCACAAAGGAGTCAAATACCAGTAAACTACAAGGTGTTTTTTGTGGACAATAATATTGGCTAAAATTATATATCAGCTGAACCTCCACTTCACACAAAATAATGCTGTTACCGTGGAAAGAATAGTCTTTTCTTCTCAAGGTAAGCATTCAATCCTTTCATAATTTTGTCCAGAAGGTTATTTGAGTCCTGAAGCTTTTCAAGTAAGCCAGGCAGTGAAGTTGCAGGTAAAACCTGTAATAAGACAAAAAGCTTTCACTGTCTGCTCAAGTTTAATTCACATTTAAAGCACTAAAGCATTCAGCAAAAATCTAATTTGTACAATTTTGTCTTGCTTATGTGGTTTCTGATATTGTACTGCATAATGTGGCCTAAATAAATAAATCATTTACATAGCTAAACACAGTAAAAACAGACATCTCTGAAACCAAAACCTGAATTTTGTCTGCAACTTTGTCCACTTTTATAGATAAAGTATGTTATCCACTATGAGAAACCTCATAAGCAAGTCTATTCGTATCTCCAGTGCAAAAGAAGCAAACTTTAGGTACCAAACAGGTCTTGGCTGACTGACTATACTGACAGTGAGGGGAAAATTGTATAAAGATTTTGTAAAAGAGAAAAATAGCATACATGACACAATGTAGACTAAATATTTTTGGAAACAAATCTCAACAACACTATTTGATCATAAATGCTCTTTTGGGGTGAAACCTCCTTCATCCTTTCATCACGTTGTCCATACCTTTGAGTCCTTCACACAATGTCTCATGACCTCCTTCCAGTGCTTGTCCACTGTCTGGAATAGTCGTCCCTCCTCAGGCATCTGCTGCATGATGTCTTGAGAACTAAAGATGGGCTCCAGGTAGAGCCACTGGGCCTGCACCCTCAGCCACTCGTCTATGGTGTCCTGAATACGAATCAGGCGCTCCTCCCATGCCTAAGCAAAATAGGTGTGATTTATAAGTATTTACTGAACATGTTCCCAATAAATAGAGACAATCATTAAAAAAGCATGCAACAAATCATTTTCAAACAAACAACGACAGCTCTTACACAGTGTACAAGAATCAATAATGTAATAATAATGGTCTCACCTTAATCTCTGTTTCAAAAGGCTTGATAAAAGGGGAGCCTCTCATGGTTTGGGTTTTCACTATCTGGTCATCTAGCATAGTCTGAATCTCGTCCACGGCGGTAAGGATAGACACCCCAGACTCTCTGTAGGCATGATGATTGAATGATACGGCATCCCAAGCCTCCACCATATTCTGCATGGCCTTCTCCAGAGAGAATTCCTGTGTATTCAGAGGACAATTTTAATTATTCCAGCTCAACTAAAATACAATTAGGATTAGGGATATAAAAATGCACTGATGCATCATGATGCATCAATGTAAAGGTGTCAAATCAAGTGCAAAATCAACTGATAGTGGAATCTTAAAATTGATAAGAATTCATTGCAACAATACTCAGTAAAGTATGCTCTCATTTGTTGGCTGAAATAAAATTCTAAAACTCTAAGAAAATTCACTAAATCCATTTTTATTTTTACAGTTTGGCATTCTTAAAAAATACATGTGCTGAAAATAGGCGTAAAGCGTGGTGTACTGTTTTATTGTCCATTGTACTAAATAGTTCCTCTAGCCCCTCATGTGTACTTATTACATTTTTTTAATAATTTGAAATCATACTAAAATAAATAAACTTCTAGCGAAACTTCAGGTTTTCTAAAGACTCAACTGAAATAATGTCAAACTGAGTTAACATAAATTTACTCTATCCTTGACTAAGAAGCATGCTTACTTACTTATTCCAAATAAACCTTTAAAATGAAAGTATTGTTACAACGCCCCCTTCAGTACAAAGTTAAACTTCCCCAATGTTTTATTTGAGAATATCAAATTATAGATTTGGGAAACAGAGTTAGTAAAGACACATTACAAATATGGCCACTTCTTACTTTGCTGGCAGCAGCACTGATAGTTTCAAACTGCTCCATGTAAGAGGTGAGATTCTGTTTGAGGACTTTGCGCAGAGTGCTGCCTGAATTAGGCGTCAGGTCATAGTTCACGATCTCAGACATCTGTTCCCAGTGCCTGGCCCTGATGCCTGGATTACACAGTATGGACACCATCGGGATGTGTTCCTGTGAACAAAAAATGGTCAAACTCTTGCACACATGATGCACACAGTACACATGAGCGAGCAATAGCTAAGGAATTAAAAATACAACATGACAATCAAAAATAACTTTTCTTATTAATTTGTAAATTAGCATAGCTTGCAAATTTAGACCCAGCAAAATGATACAGGATACTAAACAATAACAACAAGTAACTAAAGAAATTATTAGTACAACATGAAATCCAAAATATTATTTTTGTAAATTGGTATACAGTTGAATACAAAAGTCTGGGCACACCTTGTTAAATTACATCTTTTTTGATTTTTGAAGTGAAAAGAAGTAAACACAATCTCTGCATCAATATATTTTTTGCCTACTAATGTTAATGCACAGACACTCTATATTTGATTAATCTAAAAAAACAAACTAATAGTAATTGAGCATGTGCAAAAGTTTTGGACACCCTGCAAGTTGTTAAGTCTCAGAACTTGACAAACTCTTTAATCCTTTATTGACCCATTAGGACTGGTTAGGCAGGTTAAGAACTGTCATTGGAAAATATGTTATCAAAGCATTTCCAGCTTGAAATTTCCACCCTTCAATATATCATTAAGAAATGGAAGGAGAAAATGTGAAAGTCAAGGCAAGATCTGAAGGACCAAGAAACCTCTTATATAGAACTGCTAGATATAGAACTGCTCATAACTTCTGCAAAACAAAATCTAGATCTTAACGAAACATAATTTGACTAAGGATGCCCAAACTTTTGCACACACCTGTGAGTGCATCATTGTTTCATGTACCTTAAATTCTTTGATCTGCTCTATGACACTTAAACAGATGAGAACGGTGGGACTCTCCTGTTTATCTTCATCTTCTCCATGTCTTTGCCTCACTGCTACCGTTTTCTCTCTCTCCTGCTCTGCCTTCTTCTGTTTCTGTTGGAAAAACTTCAGCATCTTGTAGACTTCACGGAAAAACTCATCCACTTCGGCCTCCATACTCTCACCATTTAAATCTAAAAAGGACCCATCCATCCATCTAAAACAAGGTCAAATAACAGACAATGGAAGATGTCACTTTACATACAACACAGATATGTACAGTACTGTGCAAAAGTCAGAGACCTTTCAGTTATTTAATATCTTGTCAAAATGGCCACTATGTACTAATTACAATAATAAATAAATTATTCATTTTACAGCATCAAAAAAAAAAACATTTTCTGCCTCTTGAGATCCATGTTAAGTCTGAGCTCTGGGGTGGTCAGTCTGTTGTTCTAAGAACAACAGCAGCTTCTGTGTTTAATTTGTAAAATGTCTTATTTTTTGTCTATTTCCTTTTCTTAGTAATGAATTCTTGACAGCTACACATCCTTTCAGACTCATGGTGTTGAGCTGACCTCGCATAGTGGTAGGATGGACAGAAACACCAGTGGATTTTTTAGATCTGAAGCAAGAGTGGAACTCTCAAAGATGAAAGCATTAAGAACTGTTTATCTGATGGTGAGTTTTGGTGGTCTACCAGGTCTTGCAAGGTTGTCAGGAGTCTAATTTTCTCTGAGAAACAGTTTTTTCAATGTTTTTCCTCAGACATTTCTCTTTCTTGTGCAAGTGTATTATCTAATATCTAATCTCCTTAGAAATACTGCCTGTAAATAAATGATTTCCACTTAATTATTTTTGACAAGAAATTAAATAAATGAAGGGTGGACTTTGCACAGTACTGTGCATCAAAAGAGAGTTTTACACTAAATCTTCTTGACATGGAACCTAGAGAACATGATCTTACACACCAATAATCCCACAAACCTCTTCTCAGTGCGCTGCCATTTCAGCACAAGCCCAAAGAGCTTCTGATAAGGCTCAATGTTCTCCTTGATAACATTCACTTCTGGATAAACAGTTAGGTCCCATTTGTAGAGGGCCTCTTCTTTGTTGATGAAGACAATGGAGTCTTCAACTTCCTGAAGCCTCTTCTGTACTGTTCTGACATCCGTTACATACTGCAACAGAGGAAAGGGACAAATGCAGTCACTATACTTTGAGGTGAAATAAGACACACGGATGTATAAGGTTATATCTCACCTGTTGCATCATGTCCAGTTCTGAACACTCTGCAAATTCCTCCATCCTTCGACTAAGTTTCTCCAGTTCCAGCATCAGTTTCTCCCTCCTGCCCTGCAGCTCCTGCTCTCCTTTCTGCTTGGCCTTCTCCAACACCTGCACCACAGAACCAAGACAGCCACTTTAAGAGATAATGCATGTAACATACTTTGAAAAGTAGAAGAATTAGAAAAATAGGATAATGCCTGGACCATCAGTGATGGTCAAATGTTACCTCATCATTGAGTTGAAAGATTGGACTGATATTTTGTGGCCACAGCAGCACTGCAGAATTAAGCTCCAAGTCTTCTACATCAAATACGTGCACATCTAGTAAGTAATTTAACCTACGATGTGTTTCCTGAAAGAAAGTAAGACTAATTTATACTCACTGTTTCATACTTTGGTGGTTGGCATACTGTAAAGAAATGTTATAAACTCACCATTATCTTATTGTTGAGCACCTCTATTCCCTTGGTTTTTGCATGAACAATGTAAGCAATCATTTCTGTCATGTCCTCGGTTGTATCTGGGATTTTTAGAGCCTTATTGCGAATGGTCTCAAACTCCTTACAGATTCTTGAAAACAAAAGAATTTCTTCTCACTTAAATGTACTAATGGAAGCAAAAAATAAATATTCCTTAAAAGGGAAAATCTGAGATATAGACATCATTTACAGTGTTGTGGTGTGAAATGGTTAGCTGTAGAGAAACTTACTGACTCCAATTTTTTATAGTGGTGGTGACAGGAACCAAGATCACGATGTATTTAATGCAAATATAGCCATTTTATTTAGTGTCCAAAATAACTAGCATATCCACCGCTGTCTTCTGAGTTTTATATGTAATGCTGATAATGTTAAAATAGTGGTAAATCTGAAAGAATTGTTTTCTTTGGGAACTGTTTTGCCTTATATATGTGTTTTAGGCCAAAAATAAGTACGTTAACATAGATTTTAGGCCAAAACTACATTAAAACAGCCTCTAAGGTATCAGACAGTGTATTCATAGCCATTTCATGTAACAGCTTTCTGGGAGGCAGCTTTTAGAGCTATTAAACATTTTAGACATCTGGTTCATATCACCACCACTGTGAACAACTCTGATTACGTTTTCTAGAAATGTGCATCAAACCACTCTATGTGGCTTTGTTTACATCTTAAGGATTTAAGTATGCAGATTTCTTTTTTAATCTGTGGACTTAACAGAATGCAAATAAGCCAAAATACAAGAACAAAAATACTAGGCTCAAAAATCTAAAACAAAAAACAAAAATACTAGGCTCTTGATCTGGGCTTACTGAAGACAGTGTTCACGGTGCGTGTTGATCAGTCGTTCCAAAAGGATCTGAGCGAAAGTTTTGGCTTTATTTGCCAGTCCCTGTTTGAGCTCTTCACAGTCCAAGTGGATCATATCAAAATGAACTACTGATTGGAGGCTGGAGATCTCTTGGTACAGAGTCTGGAACTTCTCCACTTGCTGAGATAAAACAGCATATTCAAAAGCACAAATACAAAAGAACACGCTACAAATCAAGCTATATTACATGCACAAGCTTACCTGTGTATACTGATCAAAACTGTGCTCCTCCAGCATAAATGTCTCTACCTGTGCCTGTGCTGTCCCATTGACTAGCCAATCATAGTTGTTAGCTATGAAAAATTACAAGTGTGAGTAAATCACCAAACAGATTATCATTAGTTTGCATAAAAAAAATCAGGAATATAAGAAACTCACAATAATGTTGAAAGTGCCTGCCAGGTGCCTCCAGGTTTTTACGGACAGCGTTCTGCAGTGTGGTCCGTGCTCTTACAAGAACATGGTCTGCAAGTTTAGCATCAACTACTGAGCTGTTGGTTTCGGCCAGCCAGGACTGAACAGTCTGAACTTTCTGTAAAATGGTGAAATTCATTACATACCACCAGTCTTATCTAACAAACTGAAACATGACCCTGACCATGAACCTCTTCTCACCTGCATGGTCTTAGTTATCAAGTTGAAAATCTCTAGCACAGCCTCCTCTAGATCCTGAAAACTGGGATAGAAGTCCATGTTCTCATCATCAAAGGTCAGATCCATCCTGAATATGAGGAGCTTGTGTGTATTGAGGGGATCAAACAGGCTTATGAACGCCTCTACGCTCCTCTCAACCAGGGCCTTCAGCTACAGGAGAAACAGAGAGAATAACTGGCACAGCTATATTTCAGCAAGATCCCATCAGCACTGATCAAAAATTCTTGATAGTTTCCAGAAGAAAAAAAAATCAGTCTGATGAACAAAGTGAATACCAGACTCACCTGGTTGGACAGAAGTGTGGAGGCACAGTTGTAAAACGCGTCCAGCTTCTCTGCTCTGATTCTTTGCACCGTGTCTTTGCTGGTGAGCAGGTGAATGACTTTTGGAAACCAAGTGTTCATGAGCTTCTCCTCGATTCTCTCACACTCCACAGCCACTTTGTTCTTCAGGTTCTCACAGTCCACAGGCCCAGTGGACCTTCACACCATGGACATAATTTAGAGAGCAACGAAGTGATAAAAAGTTTAAGGGGACAATAAATAACTGGACATTACACAAGCGTCAGCATCACAAACCTTTTGTTAACCTAAGACTGGACACTCAAACTGTGAGTGCACATGAAAGCATGACTTTTAAGATGTTGTGTAAAAGTCATTTGGCTTTTTTAATAAGAAGGAAAGGGAAAGCAAATGTAGACATTGACATATTTATAATAGTAAAAAGCAACACTGTCACCTCTGCCAGCAGGTTAGTGCTTGCAGGAGTAATACTTGCTTTATATTCTCTATACCTATATTGAGTAATTTGGTTTCTCCATTAATAAGCTTTATTTTCCACATGCTTGTTGCCATAAACATCAGGAGACAATAAAATCAACCAAAAAGGACTGGAGGGGACATCGTCAGAAACCTTAACCTTAATGTGATCCAACGTGATAGGGGCAGTTGTGGGCTGGAGGTTAGGGAACCAGCCTTGTGACCGGATCCCCTGAGCTGACAGTACATGATTGAAGTGCCCTTGAGCAAGGCACCTAACTCCCCAACTGCTCCCCGGGCGCTGTGGATAGGGCTGGCCACCGCTCTGGGCAAGTGTGCTCACTGCCCCCTAGTGTGTGTATATGGTGTTTCACTGCACGGATGGGTTAAATGCAGAGGTGAAATTTCCCCATTGTGGGACTAATAAGGGTTAAACTTAATTAATTAAAATTCTGGACTTTACCTTCCCCAGAGCAAGTTAGGCATGTAGCATAGGTTGCTATGTTGAATTAGCCCAGTAAAACATAATCTTAAACGGGCTTAAAACTAGCTGGCTAGTCAAGAAATTCTGCTTTATCAGACAGACCCCATGTACAGATGTCTACTGTTCCTTGAGCAAAAGAGAAATACTTTGTATGTACAAACCTTGTCGGCCTACAAAGCCTGGTTCTGACTCTCTCTGACACATACAACACTTAAAATGTACAAGCCATACATTTTAGTGTCTGCAATTTTTGCTCAGAGTTGGAGAGAATAAATATATATGGAAACTCTGACAACAACAAAAATAGTATAGACTTATTGATTCTTACAGAATCAATAAGCATATACCATACAGTAACTTTACCAGAACTTAAATATAAAGTCAGTCATTTATAACCTGCAAGTAAATGTTTATATATCTCATGTGCAAGTTGTAATTACTAAAACACTGAAAGAAAAACAGAAAAGCAGTACCTGCAGTCTGAGAGGTCGACGAGGAGCAGTTGAGAGAATGTTGTGTGACAGATATCCAAAATAATTTTCATGACTGGATGCAAGATGTGCAAATTTTCCTTTATCACCTTTCGGCTCCTGATAAAGCTGTTGTGCCAAGGCCTGGAGTAGTCAAGAGCCCTGAAAGGAGAGAAACCTTTTAAAATCCTGTGAGTCTCTTGGAACTCTGAGAGCTTAGACGCCTGTCCACTCACTTTGTTCCTGGTGCGCTTTTTAAGGCAGGGAGCGTGTCCTTCATTTCTGGGTCTCGGAGAACGCTGTTAACTAAAGAACAAACCTATTAACAGTAGGAAACACGTACAACAGTAACGTACAAGAACAACTTTCTATGCTAATCTCTAAAGTGGTGTTAAATGGAAGAGTAATAATCTACAATATATATGCTACAAGTTCGGCAATGGACGGATGCTAACAGCATCATCTAGGTAGCTAAACAGACATAGTTAGTCCCTCTCTCACACAAATAAAGGTGTCAACAATAGAGGTTGATAATAGTAGTAGTCATATACATTATAAAATGTTTATTACATAAACAGGTAACACTTGTTTGATGTTTGTTAGCAGTGTTAAGGCATACCTCACTTTTAGGTTCAGGGACAGCTACAGCTCTTATTGTTCAGCATCTAACTGGAAGTTATGAAGCAGACTGACAGTGAGCTCACCTGTGTGTTTGACCATGCTGCTGAGAAAGTTCTCGCTGACCTCCTTGCAGAGCTCCTCCAGCATCTCCTCTCTGCCTTGGCGGAGCTGCGGTGAAACACGGGTCAACATGTCATCCAGCCAGTGCTGCTGAATAGGCACGATGGGGCTCTTTTCAACACACTGCTTCAGGAACATGTAGTTCATCTACAGAGAGAAGAATAGTGAACAGAAGTGTAAAAGTGAGATAAAAGAGCACTAGTTTGATACACGCTTTCTCAAAAGATTTCAAAAAGCACTTACTCGCTGCTTCCTTGCCTCGCTGCTAATCTGTTGAAGAAAAAGGACTTTGTGTTAGAGAGCACTTGAAAAACAACTTAAGTGCACCACTATATGGCAGATTACTTAATTAAAAGCATCCAACACCCTTAAAGCTCAGATAAGCATTCAATACTGTCATGAGAGCCTTAGCATCTCTGAAGAATTGTCAGATTATTAAAGAAAAGCATTCAATACCGTTGAGGGAAGCTCAGATTCAGGGTATATTGATGCCACTGGGGTTGCATCCTTTGCTTGCTTGTAGGCTTGCACTGCAGCAGCGACCCTGAACAAAGCCACAGGGGGTCAGGATAGCAGATACATGGGATCATATGCTGAAGACACAGCGGCAACGGCAAACTCACATGACTCCATGTAGCTCCTTCTGCTGCTGTTTGCTTCTCCTGTGGTGCAGAAGTTTCCTCCGAACTGCTCTTCTGTGTTCCGGCAGGCAGGAGCCACTGCCGCCCGCCTCACCTGGCCCACTCGGGATGGGCGGGAGGACGCTGTACTTTTTCAACCCATCCTCCACGGGAGACTTTAAAACTTCCCCTGAGGTCGGCATTTCAGACTCCTACTGATATAGGAGAGTGTTCAGTCTTACTGTGTGAATTTTAAGTGTCTGTTACAATGAACGACGTGCTTTCCTAGTTAGGTTAGGTAGCCTGTCACAACACCAGCTTAAGCCAAGTTAAACTAACGTTAGCTTGCAAATTTAACTGTTTACTGAGTTAGCTAGCTAGCTAAAGACACCCGAAATCTGAAGATTACTGAAAGATATAAACTGCCCAACAACCTGTCTGCACCGCTTCATTGTATAGCCGTATACAAACTCGAATAAACTGGTGTAAATAGTGTTTTCTTACGGTTTCTCTTCACTGTAAGTGCTTCAGCTTCATGGCTCGTTCGCCAAAGTTTGTTAGCTGAGCCGTAGCGAAACAATTCGGTTGCTATGGAAATAAGACGAGGTAGTGTAACGGCGCCTGTTACCGGATAGCGGCGCTGTTAACACATTTTAAAAGGGTATTCTTCGAATTTATAAACTCTGGATAATTAAACGGATGTAAATTAAGTCATTCAGAGTGATTGGATGTGAAATGCACCTTCCTAGATAAATTTAGGGAGCCCAAATTTAGGATAGTAACCAGGCGTTCCACCTATTTCTCAGAATTTCCGCAAAATTTAATGGTTGAGATGTAAACAAAGTCATTTTTAAACACCTCAGTGTCACTTGACAGCTGCACTGAGAGTAGTTCAACAACCCAAAATATCCAGCGTCTCAACAACGTCCTGTGGGCACTGATGAAGGACTAGAGGATGACCAACACAAAGTGTGCAGCAACAGATGAGCTACTGCCTCTGACTTTACATCTATGAGGTGGACCAACATGGTAAGTGTGAGTGGACAGTAAGTGGACACAGTGTTTAGAAACTCCAGCAGCACTGCTCTGTCTGATCCACTCAGACCAGCACCACGTCAGTGCCACTGCGGTGCTGAGAATGGTCACCACCCAAATGATGCCTGCTCTGTGGTCTTGTGGGGGTCCTGACCACTGAAGAACAGGCTGGAAGGGGGCTAGCAATTAGAACTACAAAGTGCATTTATATGGTAAGTGGAGCTGATAAAATGAACAGTGAGTGTAGAAACATGGAGGTGGTTTTAAGGTTATGATTGATAGGTGTACTTATGCTCCACACAGCCAATGAGCTGCAGAAACTGCTTAACCCTGACATTATAAAATCTATTATGTAGGCTAGATTTATGTTTGTAGGAGGATTTTCCTGGCCCATGTAATGATGTGGACCAAGCTCGGACAAACTACTTAAGAAAGATCCTTAAGAGAGATGGTTGAACTGGCATCAAATCAAAAGGGAAAGGAAGAAAGAAATATTCAGAATTTTCTTTTTTCCGATCTGAGCTTACTTCATATATTAGTTGTATTTTAGTAGTTTTATACAAGTAGTTTTAATAGTTTGTTTTTTTTGTTTTTTTTTTTTAAACTAATTCATGGTTAGGCTCAGGAGATATCACTGTCATCCTTTTTGCCTTGAGATGTGGAGCACCAAAGTAAAGGAACTGTGCACAGCTGAGGTGCAGATCATATTTGTTGAGTACAGGTGCATTGGGTGAGGCTGGTGGTGTTGTGCATTTAGGCAGCCACAGGGGGGCGACATTTCTTCATTAAAATAGCCGTTTGCTTGTATTGTTGAATTGCGTTAAATGATATTGATGCAAATCATTAAATGGGTTGTCGCTTTTTATCATTTCTAATTATTTGGGTGTTTTTGAGGGTAAGGTTTTTTTTTGGATGTGAAATAGGTACTAAATATGTCATAATGAATATCTCCCTCAGGGTGCCATATAACTACAGTTTTAGGTTCAATATGGTCTTGTACAATCATAAACATAAACTGCAATTTTGAATGAATATTCTAAAGTAATCACTCGAAAATCAGAATTTAATATAACCTTGATAGCTAGTATTATGGATTCAAATGAGATCGGGTGAGTTATAAAATAACATGCAGTCTGTTCTTTACCAGGTCTAAAAAAATAGAAAAAAGATCATTTACCTAAACTGATATCTAAACTGAAAATGACTTCCACAAGTTTCCGTTTTACAGCAGTTTCACAGCATTCATAGTGAACAACACTGGATTAGTTCAGGCCTAATCGATGAGAGGGAATAAATAAAGCTGCTCTCTCTTTTGATCATTCAAGATTTCGTTCTTACATTATAATGCAAATATGTGAGCTACTGTAAAAGGCCTGTCTTTCCCAGTGAAACCAGCTGACTGATAGTTGTCACCCAGCTTGTCAGTCACACAGTATGCAAGTTCTTGGCAAGGGACAATGACCTACTTGGCTGACTGAATTCACAGCACTGCTGCACATTAGTGCTGTCTGAACCTAGATTAATGCATTTTACAGTGAGTTTATCCGCCTTTTGGGTCACATCAATGTTGACGTTACATATACATTTACATTTATTCTGTTAGTGGATGCTCAAAATGTGCTGGATTCTAAAATGAGGCTATTGCCAGTGATTTGCCCTTAAGCCAAGATAACTATTTATGCCATTCACTATGGCCTCCTCTTAACCAGTATACTGTCTACTGTCCTAGCAGCTTTGGCTGCAAATGATGGCCCTAACAATTCATTAAGATTAGTTAAACCCTTCCCATGGGTGAGATACGTTGGAAGATGATTCAGATACTCTTGCCTTTCCTTGCTTTGACCTTATTCACAATGTTTCATTATTTAGCTTCATTAAACAATTCTGTGTGCTTAAGGGGTTTTTCTATATGTGACACACACTTCTCATGTGTATACATGCCAGATAACAAGATTACGGGGTGTAAATCTAGGTCATGTTGTTATGTTATGTTGTGATGGCTTTTTAGGTCTATTTTTTCCCCAATTTCCCCAGCACATAAACAGATCTACAGATTATTACACATCTGAAGTGCTTATAGGTTTAAACTGTGTTCTTGGGATAAGGGTTTAAATGCGTAAGCCCCATGTGCTACAGATTTGCCAGGCAGCTTTGTTTGCATGAGAGAGAGAGAGAAAGAGAGAGAGAGGAAGAGAGAGAGAGAGAGAGAGAGAGAGAGAGGGAGGGAGACAGAGAGAGTGCAATATGGGACAGAAAGAGAGCTGCACTTCCTTCTAAACTGCCCAAAATATGAATCTATCAGAAACAAATATTTTAATCAATGTGAAAAACGGATAAATAGCTTCAGGACGTTGGGAGGGTCTATCAGCGTCCACTGCAACCAGATATGTGTACGAGTGTCATACACTCCGGGACAGTGAGTGACCACCAAACCACAACCTTTTCTTTTACTCACTGTTATATATGTATATATGGAATTCAGGAGTGCTTTTTTCATTTTCTTTTCTTTTTCCCTTCTTAATTATACAAATGTATTTCATAATTAAAGTTTCTTTCTCTCTTATTATATACTACAGACACATATCAAGCAGGTTGTTTTATTATTGAATATACTTTTATGTTATTAATTGATAATTAACACCTCTTTGTTGTATTGTTATATATCCATCTTAGTTTTGTTTTTATTTACTTTTAATGCATAGATAACTGTTGCAGTGCTTTGACAATACAAATGTAAATGTCAATAAAGCTTAAACTGAACTGAGAGACAGACACAAGGTGAAAAAGAGAGAGAGAAAAACAGCACAGAAATGGAGAGAGACAGAAGAGAGAGTAGAGAGAGATGGTGAGAGCAAAACAAGAGAGAAAGAAAGAGAGAGAGAAAGGCTGATGGGACAAACATGAAACAGACAGAAGGAGAGAGAGAGTGAGACTATAAGAGATGCTGAGAGTGAAATAACACAGGACAGAAATAAAGAGACAGAGTGAGAGAAAAAGAGATGGAGAGAGAGACAGATAAATGAGACAGGAACAGAGAGTAGAGAGAGATGGCAAAAGTGAAAAGAGGGAGAAAGAGAGAAATGAGATAGAAACAGAGAGAAGTAGTGGGAGCGAAAAGAGAAAAGCAGATAGAAGAGAGAGAGAGAAAGAGACGTGATCGAACAGAGATAGACTAGAGAGAGAGAGAGAGAGAGAAACTGTAGGAAGAGAGATGGTGAGAGTGAAAAGAGAGACAAGACAGAGACAGAGAGAGAAAAAAGATGGAGAGAGACAGGAAGACAGACGGAGAGAGAGAAGGAGACAGAGGGAGAGAGAGAGAGAGGGAGAGAGACTGTAGGAAGAGAGATGGTGAGAGTGAAAAGAGAGACAAGACAGAAATAGAGAGAGACCGAGAGAGAAAAAAAGAGATGGAGAGAGACAGAGGGAGAGAGAGATAGATAAATGAGACAAACGAGAAAGATGATGAGAACGAAAAGAGAGAGAGAGAGACGTGACTGAGCAGAGACAGACAGCAGGGGGGGCAGAGAGAGAAGTGAGAGAAGAGACAAAGGAGAGAGCGAGAGGAAAGAGAGTAGCAGGAGAAGAAAGGGGAGAGGTAGGGCGAGCGCGTGCTAGCGCGTGAGAGGGGGAGAGAGAGAGAGAGGGAGGAAGGAGGGGGGAGCAAGGCTGCAAGAATGAAGCCTGCGAGGATAGTGACGCACGATTATCTCCTCGCTGCTCACTCATTGGCTGCCGGGGCCGCCCGTCACTGAGCTCAGGTTTAGGGATATGCCATCAGGGCAGATTATGAAGCAAGCCTCGTCTCTGGCGGTCCCCTCTGCTCGTCTCCATGGCTGAACGCAGGCTCTACACGCTTTTCTCGTTGTTGCTTTTCGCGCTGGTGCAGCCGTCTTCGCCCTTCAACCAAGTGCCTGCGATCCTGGACAGGAGGTAAGAGCAGCTCTTTCAGCTCCAGCGTGGTGGGGTGGGGTGGGGTGAGATGGGGGGGTGTTGGAGAGGGAGTGATGCTGTTCAGCTGAGGCACTGCCTTATCCAGTGAACAGCTCTGTAATTAAGGAAAAAAAATGTTGAAGTACTGTGGAATCTGCTTGAGCTGATACATTTCTGTGTGAGAGTGAATAGACTCTGTATCACCTGATTGCAGTGCAGCTGTTTCCCCCTCTGTAACTGCAAGATATTCAAACATGGCTATGACAATGGGACATGAGGCAGACCCCGTCCGGTGTTATGTCTGAAGGAATCAGTTTACAGATGCTACACTCCTGAGTGCTGGGGGAAGAAAAGGAAAGGGCCGAGACTGAAGCAGACCAGGCAGAACAAGCAGCCATAAACACACAATGAAGCACAGCCTCCATAGATTTACTGCAGTGTTGTTTACATGTTTGGCTGGCATTCCTTTACTAAAAACAAACAAATAAACAAAAAATCTGGCAGTCAGTTTAGAGCTTGTAATCAAATTCAAATGCATGAATGTTTCCATATTTCTAGACTAGCCTATATACAATACTGTATTTCAGACTAATGAACAATAGGTAATAATGAGTCATGATACAGTAGATTAGAGATAAGTCAAACTTCATTGAAAGAAATGCCCTCTTGTTTCTTTTCTTGGCTCTGTCTGGTACGCTTCTTTTAGGCTGTCAAGTTTTAGGTAAACATCATCAAACTCCTGCAGACATGCCTATCCCTGTTACCACACACTGCTTTCGCAATTGGTGTTATTTTTGTGAGAGCGCGTGGCCTCGTGGGACAAAGATGGAGGTGTTTTGATGAAACTGGGCTCAGGGTCCAGGTGCATTTTGGTGTTTTGTTTCATAACTGAAAGAATCACCATTTGGGATCTAGAGCATGATGGTGGGATTTAATCATGCGGTTATTGCTATCAAAATATACGAAGCAAGATGTGGCTGTAGCATTTTAGTGTAAAATGCTTAGACTTGAACTGCTGAGAAGTAACTCAGTGCTAATCTGGAAAGATATACAAGTTATTTGCATTACCATTGTTAAATCCACATATTCACTTTACAACAAAACAACATCAGAATGATCACACCAGATCTCTTCCACTGTGTCCATTCACATGACCACCAGTGTGAAGGGACAGAACGTGACTGCAAGGCCCTATAATCATCACTTCTGCTGTCTGTTAGACTGGGAACATGGCAAAACTGGTTCACTGGTCCACGGCCCTCCTCAGGTTACTTAGTGACCACGTCATAACCAAAACAGATGGACCAGAATGGCAGCAAGTGGAACTAAACTGAAACCTTTAATCTTAATCCGATCTAACGAAGTAATCTATTATTAGATATCATGAGTTGGTGCAGTGCTGCATCCTTGGAGACTCGGGGAGAGAGAGAGAGAGAAAAACAAGCTGACACTTTTGTGAGCGGTGAGGTGAAGATGTGGTGGGGAACGCTGCTTTTCATTACATAAATGCCCAGTTCAGCACTTAGGCCACTCTGTCCAGCCATAACCAATGACAGCAGCACAGCGCTCAGCTGCTGACCTCGGTAAACTGGCATTAGAACAAAGGCAGGAGCCTGTTCACTCACACATACTGTCATGCAAACCCAATCAGGGCTATGAGTATACATTTGTTGTTTTTCTTTAAAATATTCTAGAGGGCTGTCTTGATCAGTTGATTAAACTTAATTACTCTATTAAAAAAAGAATTCCTTGAAAGTTACCGTCTCGATAAACGGGCAGTGATTAGTTGCCAAGTTGAACGATGATGATGTATATACTAATTCTCCTACTAGTGTCTCTAGAAACAGAGTCTGAGTGGTTGCATTTTTTAATTAAGTCCTTATAAAAATGGCCTTGTTTATTTTTTTCCTAAAAAGTATTTTAGAATCTTTGAAAGGCTCTGCATGGTTTGTTTTTAAGCAGTTTGGTGTACCTGTAAGCCTGTATTTATCATAATTTAATAAATTATGTCACAATAGGCATATTACCAGCATCATATCATCAGTACTTAAAAACACTGACCCTGTTTTATTACAAAGAGAACACAATTAGTTCTGCATAATTGGATTTAGAGCAGTGCAGTATGTGAAATGTTGAATAAAAATCATTGCACTCATTCTAAGGTCCACTTCTAACATTTGTGTAGTTTTATTTACCAAAACCGGCCTAATTCATTTTATATGACCATTTTCAAACTTCTCTTTATCCCTTACTATTAAACTGTTTTTGTTACTGTGGCCTTAAGACTGGTGTATGTAAATGACCACTAACTGGCTGTCCAGAATTGTGCTTCATTCAAAAAGTAATCCCAGCTGCAACAGTACTTATAACTTCAGCAGAAATGGGCGGGGCTTAACTACTGGGACTAAACTATGAAAGAATTGATGGATATATGTAAATGCATTAGTTTTAATGACATCACAAAAAAAAATCCGTGAAGTGGTTTATTTTCTATAAATTGATTGTTTGGACTGGGAGGCGATTTGTATGGTTTGAAACTTTAAACACACTCCAAAGTGTACATATTACATTAAACTCTTCAATAAAGTCTTTCAATAAGGCAAAAGAAATTTGCTGTTTCATGATATGGGCCCTTTAAATGTGGCACAAATGGTAATTTTTTGTTAGTTAAAAACTATTAAACCTTAGAAAAACTAAATATCGAGATGAAAATATGAAAATATCTTGTGATGTTACATCTTTTCCATATCGCCCATCCCTTGCTCACTGCATGTGGCCTTTTTTTTTTTTAAAAAAAACTCCCCATTAATTGATGGATTTTTAATTACTAATATAATCAGTAGTGGCAGCTCTAATATTCTGGTCTGATATGGAAAGGCTGTGTCTCTGAGTTGTTTACAGCTACAGTTATGAATTCCTTTTATGTAATGCCTCTGGTCCTTGTCCATGTATTTACAAATGTGGTACACACATTTCACGGCGGCCTTGATTCACTTGCAGCATTTTACTGAATCAAGATGTCGCTCTGCTGTCGGTTCAGCGTTTCTGTTTCTCTTGGGAGATGAACTGTGGCATACAGATGTGCTCTCCGCTATAGTGTTTTTCTCCACAGAGCTGGGTCACACTGAGGCCTACAGTGCATAGAATGTTCACATTCCACCTCTGCGTGATAAGAGGGGATTGGCATGTACGACAGCGGATGAATTCCACAGTGCTGAATATGAACCCAGGGTCACCCAATGCTCTCATTCACGTAGTGCACACACACGTATCCAGTGACTTCATCTCAGGTGGATTGGTCGTAATTTAACCCAGGCTTAGTCCAGGTGGAGGATGGCAGATATAGAAAGAAAGAAAGAAAGTATATATATATAGTGACAGTGTATGTACACAGTACTGTGCAAAAGTCAGACCAGACCACCCTTCATTCATTTAATTTCCAGTCAAATCAACCATTAAGTACAAGTTGCTAATTTTTCAGTATATATGCTATGTAGACAGAAGTATTTGGACAAACCTCCTAATTAATAAGTTTGGATGTTGTAGTCACACCTATTGCTAACAGGTGGATAAAATTGGTGGAGGGGTGTAAACCACTCCGCAACTGGACTCTGGAGCAGTGAAAACGTATTCTGTGGAGTGATGAATCACGCTTCTGTATCTGGCAGTCTGATGGACGAGTCTGGGAATGCCAGTAGAACATTACCTGCATGACTGCATTGTGCCAACTGTATAGTTTGGTGGAGGAGGGATGATGCTATGGGGTTGTTTTTCAGAGGTTGGCCTAGACCCCTTAGTTTCAGTCAGGGGAAATCTTGATGCTTCAGCAGACCAAGACATTTTGGACAATTGTACACTTCTGACTTTGTGGGATCAGTTTGGAGAAGAACCTTTTCTGTTCCAGCATGACTGAGCCCCCGTGCACAAAGCAAGGTTCCTAAAGGCATGGCTGAGTGAGTTTGGTGTGGAAGGACTTGACTGGCCCTCACAGAGCCCTGACCTCAACCTCAGCAAACATCTTTGGGATGAACCACTTCAGAGATTGTGAGCCAGGCCCTCTCGTCCAACATCAGTTTGACCTCACAAATGCTCTTCTGGATGAATGCGCAAAAATTCCCATAGACACACTCCACAATCTTGTAGAAAGCTTCCCAGAAGAGTGGAAGCTGTTAGAGCTGCAAAGGGGGTCCAACTCCATATTAATGCCTATGGATTTAGAATGGGATGTCATAAAAGCTCCTGTGAGTATAATGTGTAGGTGTCCCAAAACTTTTGTCCATATAATGTATTTCTGATGAGATTAAATAGAAACTAATCCACTTGCACAAGGAAGGAAAAGGTCAGTGGAAAATAGTTATTCAAAGATGTAGAGAAAATGGGACTCCTAACAACCACGCAAGACCTGATAGACCGCAATCAGATAAACACTATTCAAAGATCATGTTTGAGAGATAATAAGGTGGTATAAGAATAAAGAAAATAAAGCTCTTTAGACCTGAAAAAATCTGCAGGTATTTCTGCCTGATTTTCCTGTTAGAGAACAACTCAACACAATGGGTTTAAAGGAAGCCATTACTGAGAAAAGGAAGTTTAGCAAATCAAGCCAAGAAGCTGATGGTGTTCTCAGAACAATGTTCAGACCTCCAGAGTCCAGACCTCAACATCATTGAATGTGTTTGGAATTACTTGGATTGTGAAAAGCAGAAAATGCAAGCGATTTGATTATACTGAGGCTTTTTGTGTAATTTTCTGTTAAATATATGTTTTCTGCTTTTTTTCTAACACTGAAAAGTGAATAACTTGTACTTAATGGCTGTTGTGACTTCCAGTTAAATAAATGAAAGGTGGTCTGACTTTTACAGAGTGCTGTATATACTGCGTGTATAATACTCTTTGTATGTATATGTACATTTGAGTTTTTACAGTTACGGATTAAAAGACTGAAGTATGATAGACACATTTGTATTCTTTTGTAAAAGCTTTTTTAAGTTTGAATTTGAGGGAGACCCAGGAGTCCCCTGCTCACCCACATGTGGGCAAGATTCCCGCCATGTAGGGCAGCAGATTCTTAATAAGGTTTTAGAAGATCCTCCGTCAAGCTCATTATCGCGGTGATTAGATGTTTACATGGTTCGTCTTAGGATAATCCTGCAGGTTGTTGTGCTGTAGGGACAGTCAGAAAGGGACAAGGTGGCGCTAGGTAGACTCATGCTTACACAGACACAAAAAGTGCCTAAAGCCAGTCTCACCTCAGTCTGTTGATGTAGTCAAGGTGCTAAGCATGTGTGGACTGAAGAGCGATAGTGTGCAGCTGTGTTAGGAAAGCAATGGACACACTAATCTAGACATGTTGAAATCACTGTTAGATCCAGCTGAGTGGATCAATTGGATTTCTGTCACTGGATTTCCATTCAAGATTGATATGTGAGCCATTGTTTAACATTGTTAAGTGCTCTATTCCAACCCAGAGTAAGACATAATTTTCTCATCCCTATCTTGTCTTTTTTGTCCCTTAAAGCTCGGAGGTCCCCCCATATCCTGCTATCAGAATCAGATCAGGTCAGTATTGACTTTAAAAGTTTTCATCTGACTTTACTGTGTTTTACAATGAATTTATTTCAAATTCTGTTGTGTTCTCAGTGTTTTATATAATACTGTATGATCATAAATCAAATGTGCAAAGGATAATTTTGTGGTGTATCATGCCTCATTGACATGAGAAAACATTTCTTGCTTTAATTTCTAAAGGACAATAGATTTTATGCACAACAGATGCAAATTTAATCTTTATTGAATTTCAGATTGTTTTAATGTGTCCAGACTGCATTTGTGCAAAATGCAGCTGTATTACTGGTAGTAAAATCCCTTAATTTCTTACTTTCCAGTTTTTTTTTTATCTTTTCATCGATGTAGCTCTATATATAAGTGCATGATGTAAGTCAATGCAACGGTTTTCTCTAATGCTTGAACATGAAAAAGCATAGAGTACCTGATCCAAAGGGAGGCAGCAATTGGCTCTGCTGGATGACCTCACCATTCCATCTCCCCTCTCGTCCTGTTTCCACATTTTGTGATGCAGATGGAGTAGGCGTTGAGAGTCCAAGTGCCTCACATGAGGAGAGTTATTCGCCTGCAGCTGAAAATCCACTCCGAAGAATACTGCAGGTATTGCATTTTCTCTGATCGCCAAAGTGACCTTGGACACCAAGAATACTATCTCTGCCCAAATCCATCCAACAACATCTTACAAGACACTCATACAACAACAGTGGCAGGGTTAAAAATAGCTTAGACTAAAAAAAAAAAGTGTGCGTGTGTGTACTTTTCCACTTTGCAAGGAAATGGCCTAAGAATGGAAAATCATATTAATAATATATGTGGTTAATGTTCTGTTCAATATTAATCACAACTTGTTCTCTCCTCCCTTTTATTGCATACAGCCTTATGGATGGCATTTGCATGCTCAGCCCAGGACTAAAAGGAAGTTACTTCAGTCTACCAGCTCGGGGCCATACTCTCCTCTGAATGTAGCTTACAATGGCAAAATATGCATCCTATTCAAGGCCAAGAGACTGGCCATTCGCTACAGAAACAACACCTTCTTGGATCTCACTGAAAGGGTGTTTGGACCCAATGCCCCCGTAGACACCAAAGGCTCAGTGTGCACCAAAGAAAAAGCCACGTATGTATTATTCCTTTTTTATCTTTTGCACCTTAGTTAAAATTCCTTAAGGCATAAACAATATGTTTTGGGAATATATATATGCTTTCATATGCATGCATACATATTTTATATTTAGGGTCCCATAAAAAATAAAGGCTCACAAATGGTTCTTGGCTTGGATGGATGGTTCTAGGAAAAAAAAAATTGCTAGGGAAACACTGGAAAAAATGCTATTTTGCTAAGTGAAACAAACTTAAATATAATCAACATATCTAACATTTCTCATTTTGAGTTTGTTGTAAGAATATCAGCATTATTTGCCTTATGTCTTATTTTACTTACTCTCAGAAATAAAGGCCCGAAACTGTCACTGGGGCAGTACCCCCCTTGTCACTGGGGTGGTACCCGCAGGGGTACATCTCAGTACCTTTGGTCAGGGAACATAATTGTACCATAATCCATTGAAATTATATTTTCTAAGTTGTACTGACTCCACACACCCTGTCTCGTCTCCAGACTTTTTATTTTATTGTTCTGTTTTAAAAACATTAGAATATGAAAAGATGCAAATATGTAATATTCACCTGGAAAAACTTATTTAAGGTACACAACTGGACCTTAAAACCACTGCTGTACCTCTGAGGGAACATTTACATTGTTTGTATCTTGACAACTGAAAAATGTACCTGCACAGAACCTTTATTTCTAACAGTGCTTGTTTAAAGTCTTTTTTCTAGTGAAGTTGTCTTATTCTTGCTTCTTTCAAGCAGTATTTCTCTAAAATAACCTGCATTATGGCTTCAACAAGCAAAACTATTTGCCAATAGAATTTAAAACTTGCTAAAATTAAAACAGTAAACATGTCTACAAATATGTTAAATAATCTTATAATATTCTTATAACAGCCTCATAAGGAGAAATATTAGACTCATTAAATTAATATAAAAATAAATACATATAAATAAAAAATGGTTCCATTTGCCAAGATATAATTTTCACCAGACACATTATGTGGAGTTTGCTAACATTTTTAAAAAGTTCACACTTACATATCTCATTTACAAAAAATGATTCTTTAGAGAATAATCAATTGAAAGGTTCTTCAGAGAACTAAGAGCGGTTCCTCTATGGCATCAAACCTTTCAAAGAACCCTTTTTGGCATCTTTTCTTTGTAAGAGTGCATGTGTCAACCACTCAAAGCACAATTTGAATTGTGTATTTAAGCCACATCATTTTGCAGCTGGGCATTCTGCATAATGTCAACAGTGCTGAAATGTTATTTCTTGTCACCAGCCTGTCTCTACGCTTGGGAGATGTCGAGGATATCAAGGGACTTGTCATCAGGTGAATGTCCTTTTTCATCCCACTTTCTGAATAAGCTAGATGAATCTCATAGAATGACCACTGATATGAGAATCACTCACATGTCCTTATGACCATCCCTGATCCTTCCCACAGGCTCCAGATGTCCAACACGTTCTACGAGTCAGCAGGTCAGAACTGGTTCACTTTGGACAGTGTTCATATCCACTACAACTGGACTCACGAAGCCACATTCAATGCCACGGAGGTGTACGCCCCTGCCACCTATTCTTACCACTGCCAGCACGTCAGCAGCTTACAGAAATATGACACTCTACTGGTGCCCAGCTCGCACACCGACAGCTCTGCAAACTGGCACATCACTTTTACTGACTTCCAGGTAGGTACTGCACAGGCTACTGCTTACTATGTGGTTCTTATTACAGAATTTTCCAAAGGATAGAAAGGTGGCATCAATGTATCATTGCATGCATGTAGGTGATGATTCAACTGCAAAGATCTTGGAATGTTACAATTAGTTATAATTATGAATGGAAAACATAAATGCAGATGCTTCCAGAAAGTTGCATGAGTACTGCATGATAAGTAATTAAGCTATTAACATCCTAGTATGCTCTGTGGTATGTATTAAAATGCTAAGCAGATGAAGAGAAAAGATCTAAGTGACTTTGAAAGAGGGATGATTATTGGGGCATAGATGGCAGAGACTTCAAAGTGACATCTGCATTTAGATCTATGGGAAAAACATAAATAGGGTCGGAAATTGTGTGTGAAAGCACATATTCAGTGACCATGACGCTTGGAAATTAGTGCAATTTGTAAGAGCAGTTGTTCCTCAGGTGACTGACGTGAGGATGTGGTCAGACTATGTCAGCAAACACAGCTCATCAACAACTACATAGAGGGGGATATTATAGTAGGGTAGGAGTGCATAAACCCCTCATTACAAAGATGAATGCACATTCAAGAGTTCAGTAGTACAAAAACCATAAGCACTGGTCTATAGAGATGTGGAACAAAGGGATGAGTCATTCTTTAAAATATTCTGCACAAGTGGGTGAGTGTATGCAAGAGAACTGATCAGGCGTCAGTACTTGACCCCTACAGCAAAGGAGTCTGGGGGCTCTGTTGCTGTGAAGGCCATTTTGCAGGGAAGGGTCAGAATGGTGTTCTGTCCCTCCAGTACATTTCCAGAGATTTGCAGAATCTGTGCCAAGGCACATCAAAGCTGTTCTGGCAGCTCATGGTAGCCCGACATCTCCTAAGACACTTTATGTTGTTTTTTCCTTTCCTAATTTGTCAGCTGTCTGAATGTAGTGCTGGGTGGCGTTTAATAAAAAGTTCAATAGCATGATATTTTCCAGCTATAGTACAGTGTCACAGTACTGGAGAATATTTAGGATTGTATTAATAAAGTTTCAGAACTTTTGCTGGATCTATACTGAACCCATGCTAGTACTCTGTGTTTCAAGAATCTCTTACAAACTGGATGTGAACTTTTTTGAATGAAGAGACAGAGAATTGGGCCGCTGGTATAAAATAAAGTAGAGTTTATAATGAGAAAGATCTTGACTGTGTCTAAGAATGTGTTTAAATGTGTTGAAAAGTTGCATTTTCTAACTACATGAACCTAAAGATATGGCTCTCTTGTCCTCAGATTCAGGCCTTCAATGTGCAGTCCAACAAATTCGCCTCAGCCAGCGACTGCGCCACCTTTTTCACGCCGGCTATTCTGATGGGACTCATCACATCTCTGATTCTGCTGCTGGTGCTGGCCTACGCCCTGCACATGGTGGTCCATCTCAAGCACATCGACCGTTATGAGGAGCACAAGACTACCGTCTACTTCCCACGCACACCCGAGGCAGAACTGCCCGACAAGAACAGCCTGTAGGGGGCAAGTAGTGGTGCCACCTATGGGGAAAATCACAGACCTGCAAAGGACCAGGGAGGACTAACGGAGGAAGGGTTGCCTCTTCTGATTCTGGAAGGCTGCACTGTGCTCTCGGTCTTACTCCTGCCTGGCACTAAACCTCTTGATCGGCGTCTAGTTTGAAGGCAGGAGGTGATCTGATCTGCTGAATCAGGTGTTTAATCCCAGGCTGGAGCCAAAACCCTGGATGCACCTTGCTTCTCCAGGACCAGGACTGGGAAGCCTACAAAGAAGGAGCATTAAACTGTGAAATGGAATTTCCATAGACGAAGAAAGAGCATTGAACTGTGAAATGGCCTTTCAAAGGACCACAGCTAGAGCAGACTTTACAAGCACTCGAATGGATGGAAACAAGTACTGTGGAAATGCACTGTATGAATATCCAAGAGATACACGAACCAAGAAGACAGAAAAAAAACTGTGAAACAGTAGTGACTCTGATCACTAGGTCACTCAATAGTGACTGTGATCACTCTGGTCTGAAAATGTGGTTCTTCTTTTTACACAGCAAAAGTCACAGTGTCATTCAATTGCAGTGGAATCCATGGACAGTAGTGGTTACTGATATGCCAATTACTAAAAAAAATTACGACTGCCAAAGGAGCAAAATAGTTTGTCAGCCTTGACACATCACTGACAGTAATATGTGAATATGAAAAGTACAAAAGGAACAACAAAACAAACCCTACATGTACAGTGCTAAGTAACTCTACTGTAGTTTTTTAAGTAATTCAAATACAACAAGTACAGTAGATTCAGGAATTCCATTTAAAATTCTCATCATCTCAAAAAACGCAGTTTGCTGCTGTAGTTGTTTAGATATAGATTCATACACTACATGGCCACACATTTTACTATTTAACAATCTGCAAGTATTACATAACTACAGAACCTATATCAAAAAATGCATCAAAACTATAAAAGAAATTTGTTTTTCCTTTTTTTTTAATTTCAGAAATATCTGAAATGTTGCATCACTATGAATTTTTTTATATGAACGTATATGTACCAGACCTGATAAATCTCCTTCCTCTTGACTAGGTGGAACATATTGGGTCTAATAGAAGCGCTTAGCACTACTTGAGAATTTACAGTAAAGCCAGTGTAACTATAGAGAGGTCCTGTTTGAAAGACTGCTGTATGATAACTCATGTAGGTGTTAAATACCCTCAGTACCATATTCAGTAAGCCTCTATATATCTACAAGATATAACATCAGTAACTCATTATTGCAATAACCCACAGCATGGCAATGACTAGTGATAAAACCTTTACCAGAGCAGTTCTGACACTCATGGTAGTGGTGTGCAATGTGTTCATTTGGTCAGAATGGAAGCCAACTTACATACACGTTAAGGTTTCCAGTCAATGTAGTTTGAACAATAAATGATGATCGGATCAAAATGGTGTGTACGTTGATTGAAATCTTTGAAGTTTTCACAGTTAGTTTGTTAGATAGGGGTCATCCCTATGTTCTCCAGGCCTTGAATTTCTCATCTAAATTACTTTAAACAAGCCCTATGTTTTTAGAGCCCTATGGTCCTCAGGTGCAGTGTTCTGTCTTTGCAATTTTTTAGACACAATACTACATTGCCAGGGTGCTATGCTCCTGAAATTTACGTAGGAAATAGCGCTACTGTCCCAGGTTGCCTTAATCATGCTTCGTCAACATGAAAATAAAACTAATGTCTGTACTTCTGGTATATTTACAAATGTACATATTGTGATGTCACATCTTCAGTAAAAAATAAATAAATAAATAAATAAAACATAATCAGATTGAACATTTAAAAGCATCACAGCCAAGCCTGGCAATCTTGCTAGTTAGCAATGAGCTACATGACTAGCAACAATAAGAAAGGGCAGTGTACCACACTTAAACCAGACAAAGCAACTATTCAAAAGATTTATGTATTCTACAGTCTGACTTCTCAAAAAAATGGTTTTAATTACAAAGTTTGCTAACTTAAATTAAAAGTAAGCAAGCTAATTAGCTCACAGGCTAATTGGCCTCGCTGAGGGCAAGTGAGTTCCTACAGAAAAATCTTTTCCTATTGTTCCCTATGACCTTAGATGTCCCCATGATCTTACTTAGGAACCTTTCCATAATTGCATAATTTTGAATTCTGATTATAAAGAGCTGAACATAGAACCCTGGGAACCTAGAACTCATGTTTGTGCAAACTTATTTAGCCATGCCAGTTAGCATAATAGAAAGCTAATCATCACACAATTTCACTGTCAAGTTGTTAACTAATGTCAAATAGGCTTATGTGGTTTATGACTCTGAATGACATACTATTATCTATACAAATGGACAAAACTAAAGACATTATTCAGAGATCAATATAGCTGCTACTGTTTTAGCTGTGCTGTGTAGTTTTGGCCTTTTTTAACCCAATTTACTTTCCAATTTAGTCATGGTCTGTTCTACCCACTACAGGTCTCCCCCAATCATTTGATGAAGTGCAAAAATGGCCAAGGAAGAATTCCCCAAAAAGAGGTTTTTTCATTCTTTCCAAGAAGAGTGGCTTCAAAATGAAGAATTCAAGGCTTGGATTACCAAAGATGCAAATGATTCAGCATCTGCAAAATGCAGAATAAGTCATTTCTTATTCATCATTACACATGAAGGTGTTAATGCTTCAGATCGACATAAATGGAACTGATAATCTTAACAAACCAATGTCTGTCGAATTTGGTACTCAAGAAAAACACTGGCGAAAAAGATTACATCACAGCTGCTGACTTGCAATTTACCAATAGATAAAACCAACAAATTAGATTAATACCTGCAGCAGTATGAAACTGTTTTTGTACATGTTAAGGTTTATTAATGCTCTTTCTTTAAGCTTCTCCCATACTAAAGCCCCCAAAAAACTTTTTGTGAATTTTGACCTTAAGTGTGTTGGGATTTTTCCTTTGAAGTGCAGCGAACGTAGCATCATTGGACAACTAGGCATGCTTAGAGGGGAATGCTAACTGCTAATTCTGTTAGTTAGTTAATAGATCCCTGCATTGACCAGCATCATGCTGAGGGGTGTGAGAAGAAGGGCCATCCTGGCCACCCAGAGAGAGTGAGGCTAACTAAACCCTCTTGGACTCCTTGCCACGGATGGATGTGGCATCACCGATGACCAAACTAGCGAACTCCCAGTGAAATGCTCTTTGTCTGTTCTGTTAGATAACAGTATGTCATGAAGTGTCAAAAAGCACATAATGTCAGATAGACTCGCTAACACTTGGTTTGCCTGATGCTAAGTGGTATACATAAGCTTGCATTACTTAGCTATATTAGCCTCATAGCTCCAAGGAAGCTTTGGAAACCAGACGTCTTGGTTGATCGAGTACATTTGGGGAAAGGGGAAAATTACCTTGTGCTTTTGTGTGTGTGTGTGAGAGAGAGATAGCAGGCTTGTTCTCTTGACTCTGTTTTTCCCTCAGTCTGTCCTTCCTGCCATCTGTTCTCCCCTCTCACCTCACAGCAGGAGCCTGCAGAGCTACCCCCCTCACCGGGACAGTTTACCTGTCGGCCCTGGACCAGAAACACACTCGCGCACATGCACGCACACGGCCTCTCTCTCTCTGACTCATACAGCAGCAGTGTGTCTGTCGCCAACCCCGATCAGCCTCTATGCTGGCTTTAGTCTACTTTTGCCCAGCTGGAACACATTGGGTTGTCCAGGTTTACGCTGTTCCCCTTAAGAGACTCAGCACTACCTTCAAACTCCATTTAATCTCTTTAATTAGTCCTTCTTTCATTAATTATCTAATTCAGTTCATTGCTTTTCAACTTGTTTCAGCACAAATATTGCACAGCTAAAATGATTCTGATGATAGATCCAGATCAGTTAACATAATTAAATATAAATTACGGTCGAATCTGAATAAGTTGTAATAGATAATATTAAATGTGATGTTATATTATTATCACTTGTGAAATTGGACATAATCTTTATTAATGCAGTTCCAACTACGCAATTTCGCTGGTTTAGATATTACTACAAATATACAATCGTGTGCAAATGTTTGTGTGCCCCTTATCAAATTACACGTCTCTAAGTGTAAATAAGTTAACATATCCTCCACAAAACACACTTTTGCGCATTTTATTGCACAGTTACTTTTTGTTTGCTGAATTTAACATGTTGGGAAAAATAAAACATAAATTTGTGGCCTGTGCACAGTTGGGGCACATGTTATGTTTTATGTTTATATGTTTATTTTTTGCAATATCTTAAATTCAGCAAATAAATTGCAAAATTTGCAAGAAATACAACAAAACATAATTTAATGGTAGAGGTTTGAAGTTTTGCATACGACTATATATTATAACTTTAAAAAAAGTATATGGATCATTCTACTGAAGTGGTTTGAAGTCAAAGTTGAAAACACATTTTGGACTTTTAACTGGCTTGGACTTTCGACTCAAATTCTTTTGCTTTGAGTGACCCAATATCTTAATTATGTTTATTTCATTAAAATGATTGAAAAAATGAATGATTGTTTTTGTCACTACAAAAACAATCGTAACACTACCGAAACTTTACCAAATGTTTCAGTAGTTACATTTTTATCTCATTTTGAGCAACTTAAGTCAATGCTAGCCAGTACATGACTAGCAAATACAGCTTTGAACAGTTGTATACGTACAAAGTCATGTATACATATTCTAAATTAAATCATATTTTAAATTAAAACAAAAAACGCAAACGCAACACAAAAAATGGACTTAATTGCAAAAAATGTGTTTCAGTGGTGACAATTCTTAATGTTTCACACTGATTTTCAGACTTTGGGAAATGTTTACATGGAAACAGTGGGGTCTAACTGATCACTTATGGCCATGAGGGACAAGAATGCAGTCTCACTTCCTGCTCTAAAATGCAGGGGTGAGGCTAAAATAAGGCTCCGCCTATGGAGTAAAATTATGTGTTGCGGTAGTGACATGAAAACCTTGGACAGCATTTTTTTATATAAATAAAGTATTTTATTTAAAAATTAAAGCCATGATAAATCTAAAACTTTCAACTATACTTGAATAGAAATAAAAAATATATATTTAAAAACAACACTGAAAATAATGCAACAAAAAAATAACATTTTCACAAATTTGTTTTCATGAGTTGAAAATTAGGGCTTAGAGTTCGAGACAGCCTTCATAACATAACACCTGTAAATACCTAAGGTCTGAATACTCAATTGTTTGCTTTTTTATTTATATTTTTACTCTGAAACTGCAGTTTGAGCTAAATTAGTAGAATGGTCCATATATTGAGTTATATCATTAGTCCTTGTGCATATTTTACCTACTCTTTATTTTTCTGGCTCGGTTTAAATGAATAAAAATATCAGGCCATTCACCGAAGGTATGAGCTCTTATGTGAAATGGTCATTTTGCATGTACGCATTATATAAGAGTCAGCTACAGATTAAAGAGGATGTTAAAGAGAAACGGAGAGAGAGAGAGAGAGAGAGAGAGAGAGAGAGAGAGAGAGAGAGAGAGTGATCCTGATGATCCAAGCCTAAAAATCTTTTCAGGTAAGGGGATCTTTTCCTCTGAGGTCCAGCTCTTTATTAACAGAGCATGAAAAGCTGCGGCAGGCAGCAGCTTCATCTTAATCCCATGTAAAATCAGCAAGCGGGAGATATTAGGAAGATTTATGGAGAATGACTCATCCCTTTCATTCACGTATTGACAGCAGAGGACAAGGTCATCTCGGGCCCAATGGTCGTCAGTACAGGATGTTTTTTCCCCCCTTTCTTCCTTCTGAGCCAATGCCATTTATGAGGACACAATCAAACAGGCCTGTGCTGTGAATAAGACATGGGCTTGCGCAGTAACCATGGCAACTACGGAGTCTAGTAGTCACTTGCTTTTATTTTCTTTATTTGATTTTTCATGATTAACATTTCAGGGGACATAGTGGGTACAAAGTAAGAGTTTTGTAATGAAGCCTTTTTATTATATAATATGAAACAATATTTAGAAATAGAAAATATTTCTGTCATTCTCTCCTTCTCTGGTTGTGCACATGCCTGTCTGTCTGTGTGCCTGTCTGTCTGTCCATCTCTTTTGCCCTGCTTGTAATTTCATTTATTAAAAGGCAAACAGGAAACTGATATGAGAACTGTGACCTACTGATCCATGTCTGGAAGTTGTACAAGCAGTGTTGGGCAAAATACTTTGAAAAAATAGTGATGACTGAATAATGAATACATTGTCCTAAATGTATTCAGTAATGTATTCAATTACAATAAATAAAAAATAAAAAAAAGAACATATTCAGAATAAATTTAGAATATATCTCAATAAGGCACATGGAATTTTGTTTTACTTAATTCACACTGTTCCTCACTTTCACTGGTTAGTAGTTTTCTTGATGTAATTATTCAGTTAATACGTTTCATGGAAAATTTGCTTACCATTTAAATAAAGTTCTCAACAATTTTTGTTTCTCACCGCATGCTTCAGTCCACTGCTGCCCCTGCAATCCCCCAAGCAGGAGTCCAGTACAACACCTATGCTAAGCTTATCACTCAATGCAAACATGTCCACTGTTAAAGGGATTATGACAAGAGCTTTAGTAATTATGAGATAAATAACTGTCTTATCACATTGATTTATCACCTCAGGCTTTAGCAGAGCCCAGGAACACTGAGATTAACTAGTGATCATCACCTTGATTTATCAGTCTACTCAGGCTTTAGCAGAGCTCAGTAACACTGAGATTAATAACTGATCATCACCTTGATTTATCAGTCTACTCAGGCTTTAGCAGAGCTCAGTAACACTGAGATTAATAACTGATCATCACATCGATTTATCAGTCTACTCAGGCTTCAGCAGAGCTCAGTAACACTGAGATTAATAACTGATCATCACCTTGATTCTACTCAGGCTTTAGCAGAGCCCAAGAACACTGAGATTAACTAGTGATCATCACCTTGATTTATCAGTCTACTGAGGCTTTAGCAGAGCTCAGTAACACTGAGATTAATAACTGATCATCACATTGATTTATCAGTCTACTCAGGCTTTAGCAGAGCTCAGTAACACTGAGATTAATAACTGATCATCACATTGATTTATCAGTCTACTCAGGCTTTAGCAGAGCTCAGTAACACTGAGATTAATAACTGATCATCGCATTGATTTATCAGTCTACTCAGGCTTTAGCAGAGCTCAGTAACACTGAGATTAATAACTGATCATCACATTGATTTATCAGTCTACTCAGGCTTTAGCAGAGCTCAGTAACACTGAGATTAATAACTGATCATCATATTGATTTATCAGTCTACTCAGGCTTTAGCAGCGCTCAGTAACAGTGAGATTAATAACTGATCATCACATCGATTTATCAGTCTACTTTAGCTGGAACTTCAGTGTTTACAAAGAAGCTGTTAATTGAGCTCAGCAAAAAAGCATATTTGCTACATGTCATGCCTTGATTTTAAAATACTTAAGAAACAAGCAGGGTTTTTTTGAAGATGGTATGTTTTCTTTTAATTTAATTGGTAATTTTTCCAAAAGTATTGTCCAAAATATGTAAAAGGTAACAGATACAGATACCTAATTTTTGTATTCTGATTACATATTCCAATTGCTTGTATTTCATTACATTCTACTGGCTCTTCAGATTGATGGAGAATGTGTTGTATGGTTCTTGAAAATGGTGCTATATAGCACCAAAAAGTGCTCTGCTATTGTTATGATGTTTCTGGAGCTATACAGAACCATTTTCAAAAAGGTTCAGTACTGCCCAATTTAGAACTCATTCTCAATCTGAAGAACCATTTCACCATACAAAGAACCATTTAAGAATGAAATGGATCTATATTGATCACATGGTTCTAAAAAGAACCATTTACTTTATTGAAGAACTTTTGAGAAACCATCTTTTTTAAGTGTGCAGAAAGTGGAGATGTAGGTAACCATACAGTAATTTTTCAAAAAGGTTCTATATAGAACCATCTACAGCACATTCTCCATCAATCTGAAGAATGTTTTCATGATGCAAAGAACACATTAACCATGCAAAGGGTTCTCTGAGTGTTCTATTCATGGTTCTATTTAAAACAATTTTCTTTACTGAAGAACCATTGAAAAACCATCATTTTAATGTGTGTAGGTTGCATCAGTGCTCTCCCAATACTTACTGCTTGTGGATTATATGTTTAGCGCTGGCATCTATTGCATACTTTACATGCAGCAAGGAGCAAACACATTTGAAAAAGCCCAAAGTGATACTACATATAGGAAGCCATCACAACAAAGACCAATGGTTCTGAGGTTCATCAGCGCTCTCACGCTGCTTACTGGGGCAACACTAATTGTGTATTTAGAGCTGACGCCACTTGATGCTTTATATTCAGTAAGGAGCAAAAGAGAAAATCATATGATGTTTTCTCTTATTTGAAACATTTACTGTAATGCCCAGTGTGATCATTCCGTTCTAAAATCAATTAAAAATAATTTCCAAGAAACTGGCTCACAAAAAAACAGCTTTCTTCCTTCCTTTTTTACCACCGAGAAACAAAATTTTCTGGTTATGTATATATCAATGGGAATGACACCCAGCCCTCATGACATAGGAGGGTCATGAGACACATACATACAAGCGACCACCTTGTAAGATGGAGCCCACTCGAGTGCATCACTTTCGCCCCGGGCAGTGAAACAAAGGGCCTGACTGTGCTGGCACGCAGCTGCAGCCTCCCTCGGCTGCCTGTGCTCGGATGCATGACCATGTGGGCCAAGCGAGACCTCCGAATAAGCAGTTTCAGGGGAGACTGCGAGTGAATACCTAAACCGAAACATTTATAGATGCTCCATAACAACAACCCAAGGGGCGCTTTTTAATTTAAATCGTACTCAATCAAATATTAGCCCAGGTTTGATGTCTGAAACAAAAGCTCTGCTTTACGAACAACACACTTGCACTAGCTGCCTCCCCCCATCCCCCGAAATGGAATCGTCCAACATCTCCTCAGAAACGCGAATATGTAAAAGATTTGAAGACCCGAAACGCTGCTCCTCCTCAGCATCGGCAAACGGCGCTGCAGCTTCAGGTAACTTTTAGTACTGATTATCAGTGTTCAGTGCTGTCGTGTGCTGTTTAAATTTCGTTATAAAAACACTCTTATGCATATTATATAATTGGTGTTACGTAATGTTGAGCATCAGTGATATATCAGCTGTCGCTTGCAGTCGTCAACGGATTTGTTTGTGTGACTATAATTAACCTTTGATTCATAACAGCTAACTGTTAGCCATTTTAGCTAGCATTATTGGCTATATCACTAAAACAAAGTCAAAAACAAGCCGGCTAATGCTGAAATACTATCATTTGAAAGTAGTTGTACTATCGTAGGTTTAATTAACAGTAGTTTTTAAATTACCACCCTTACTTGAAGTTCAAGTGAGAAAGGTTCGCTAAGCTGCAACACTGCTCTCTACGTCTTCTGTTTCAGAAGAGAACATGGAGGGTCAACAACTAAAGGATCCCCCGAATAAGGTGTCTCTAATAAAAGGTAACTGAAGTGACTACAGCTGTTGGACTATCAGAATGTAGTTTTATCATTTTATGTGTGTGCCAGGGCTTTCCTACCTACAGCTTTGCTCTTCTAAGCTCATATTGAAAGTATCTGTCACTGTTTGGTCCAGAGAGGCTGCATAGAGAGCTTGTCTATATGAGGTAGAAAGAAAGTATGCTGGCTAAATACTCTCAAACTGTTAAGGGCATATTGTGCTCTGAACTATGTGTGTATTTGAGATGATGAAAGCACATAGTGTATGCTGGTAGTAGTCATTTATGCATCTAGTACAGCTTTCTACTTGATTTGATATTGCCAGTAAAATGCATTTTCTCCGGATGTATGCATGTAACATAATGCCTGCGGCGCAGCTTTGATGAGATGAATACAGCACTCTGTCTTCTACAGATATGCGTACAGGATCACATTTTTCTTTGACGCAATGCATGACAGAAACTATCTTTCAGAAGGAAGGATATGCCTATTGACATGCCTTTTGCCATCTATGCATCTGTCGTCGGTCTGTCTGTTGTTCTGTCTGTCTATCTGTCTGTCTCTCATGCTCATGCGTACAGTTAGAGCACTAATATAGGCCAGAGTGTTCCTCTGTGTCCTCACACTGCAGAGAGGTCGTGTGCCTGATCCAGAGTGGCACCGATGAGCATGAGACTGAGACTTATACAACCCAGGAATTCATGAATCCTTAATGTCCTCCCTCTGTCACCCTCCCTGCAACGTCTGAAGGGCATGTTTGGCATGGACAGTGTGTTTGGCTCGCCTGTTACAGCTGACTCATGCAGGATATGTGCAGTGTTGTTTTCCTGAATTCCTGCATCTGCATGCATTGATATCTTCCTAAAATCACCATTTATGGTGCACACTCTTGAATGTGTTTTGAGCTTGCAGGATGAGGTCATGTCTTTTTGGAGCAGTCGATATAATGGCCTGGTTCTCTGCAACCCAATTTTAGAAGAAGTCTGTGCTTCTTATTTGGGAGACCTCCAAACAGAAGCTAAAAGACCTTTACATAGAAATGAAGGCATGTTAATGTGTTGTGAAATGGCTTGTATTGTTGCAGTTTGCTCCAGTGGTAAGTACAGGCTACTTTTGACTGCATTTCTTAGACAGTTTTTTGTAAAAAGAAAGCTGTTCATCTTTAATAGTGACAATGGCCCTAGTTTAGAAATGAGCTCGTGACTTAATGTTTTTAGGGTAAATCTATTCTGGGTCAAGTTATTAATTTATGGAATAGACCCATTTACCCACCTCAGGGGAAATTATCTTGCACTTCCTTCCAGTCTAAATTTAACCTATGGCCAGTCTGAGTATGAACTCTGGAGCAGAGCAGAATTGCCAGGTAATGTGTCAAGATAGAAAAGATAGTAATAGTCAGTGGTGGCCAAACGTTAGGGTGGTACTTCACAAAACAGGATTCCTCAGTTCAACCAGGTAATCTAAGCTCTAAGTCTGAGTTAGCAGACTAACTTAAATATCATACTTCGTGAAATAACCTCAGGATTTGGTTCATCCTTTAACAATCCATTATAATCCATAACAGTCTCTGATATGGTTCCTTTATGTGAAAGACGTGAGTCTGATTGTGCTTGAAGTAATTCACCAAAGCTGTGATATATGTGTCTGCGTAGATGAGTTGAGTCGGAGCTCCATGGAGGCCAGTGAGTCGGAAAAGGTGATTCAGCACCTGAACCAAGAGCTAAAGGAAGCCCATGACCAGGCCACTGCGGGAAAACAGAAGTGTGTAGAGCTGCAAGGTAAAGGCCATGCATGGGACATATAGGACAAGGGCCATTTCCCTCAGGTTTGAAGGTCCATGTTTGAATTTAGAATGGTCAGAATTACTTTATTGTCAAGTGACTTAGATGTACAAGGAATTTGTTTTTTCAGTGAGTCAGATCAGTTGGCTCAGCTCACACTCGACACTCGACTCCCAAAAGGCTCTTCATTCAGTAAGACTGTTAGTCCTGTCACCCCCTAAATTTAGCCAATATTATCATATAATTTTCAAGAAACCTTAGTCTATTAATTAAAACCTTTTAAATAATTATTGGCAAAATTGCATTATGTCTGTATTGGTTGTGGTGATATGGCAAGAATTACATGATAGCAGCCAAGAACAAAACCTTAACCAAACTAACACAACAAGCTTCAGGTTTAGGGGTAACAAGAGGCAGCCAGAATGTTTCAAGGAGAGTCTTGTGTTTGTTATCTGTTGTCTATCAGTTTGGCTTGTCTTAATTAAAAAAAAAAAATCATCTCCTCAGTGAAAGCCAGCTCCATAACATTTACCTAAAGAGCTGACTCGTTCACAATCAATGCATCATGGTCGTAGTGCCAAAATTATCTTAAGGTGGTAGGCTTAGTATCACTCACTTTGAACTTCAGCTCAATGTTTAACAGCTAACAATACAAATCTTTGTAAAATGGACTTACTTCAGTGCTTATAAATAATAATTATAAATAATAATAATAAATTATCAGTTTAGATCAGTTTATTGTTTTCATCATGTTCCCCTGATGGTCTGTGCAACACACTACAGGACTTCTTGAGGAGGAGAAGAAGGCCAGCAAGCAGCAGGCAGAGGAGTCAGCGAAGCAGATGAAAATCCTGCAAAGTAAGTGTGAAGAGATCTCTCTGACTGTAGCATATTACACACCTATTCATTGTACCTGGCAGGATGCAGTGTGTGTGTGTGAGTGTGTGTGAGTGTGTATGTATGTAATTTGGATGTATTGTTTATGTATCATTTATTTTTTCTCTGCATTTGTAAAGCTCAGCTTCAGAAATTACAGGATGACATGGAACATCTCAGAGATCAGAAGGACAGTACCATCTTCAGTATGAGACAGGAAGCGCATGCAGCTCAAGAAGAGGTACAGGTGTTGCGCCGCACCATGGAGAAGACAGCAGCTGAGAGGGACCACGAGGTTAGCGCCCTAAAGGGCAACCTAGCAACACTGACCACTGAGCTGGAGAAATGGCAGCTGGCGGCAAATAAGTATGAGCGTGAGATTGACAGCCTGCAAGCCACTCACCAGCAGCAGAACCAGCAGAGGGACAAAGCTGCTAAACAGCAAGGTACCGTCCACAGTGATGTACACCTTAAACTCGCTTTTACCTAGAGGGTAGGCAGTATGACGAAATGTTATCTTTATCATGATAAACTACGTCACAATATGCTTTTCTGGGTATATCGTGGACATTGTTTCAGCACTGCATGTTTCATTAGAGAAATTAATCCTGTTTAAATGGATTTTGTGTAGCATAGGATATGAAATGAAAACATTTTTTAAATAAAAAAAAATGATTGTACACCTTTTTGATATGTTTTTGTAAATGTACCCCTGCTGGTGCATTCTGTCTGTTCCATTTTATCAAATCTTATATGAATATCATGTACAGTGAAAATGTATGTTAATATCCTGCTGTTATATTTTTGCCATATCGCCCACCCCTATTTTTTACCTCATCATAATATAGGTGGTTTTAGTCACCATTAGCAGTAGTATAACACTAGAAAAGTTTGCTTCAGTCAGATAGCAAAATAAGAACAAAGGAACTGTCAATTTAAACCCCAAACATTAGTAAAAATGTAACTGATGCTGTTGACATCAAACAAATTTTGTTTTATTGAATAATAAAATGTATACTGTGCAAATCTTATCAAAATCAGCTATGTTAAGATTATGAATATCACAAAACCTTAGGCTCTTGTAGCAAGCAGAGCAGTAGCAGCACTTCTGTGGTTGCAGGGTTGATAAATGGGTATCATTGATTGGCTGTATTGATTCTGTGTCCCACTAACACGAAAGTAAGGCTAGCTTATGTGTCTTCCACACCCATTACATCTCGCTGAAAAAATACGGCTTGTACGGAAAGCTGCAAGTGAGTGCAAGTCAGAGAAGTGACATGAAGAGCAAAGAGATCATCATACAACACTCATAGGAATGTTTGTATTTATGTGACACTCATAAGAATGATGACTCATATCTCTGCAGCAGTTATGTAACTGAGTAGTTTGTGTTGTGTGTGTCTGTGCACTTTTGCTTGAGTATATTCCAGTATGCTTGTGAGTGTGTGTGTGTGTGTGTTTGTGTGTGTGTGTGTGTGTGTTTTTAGATGGAATATGTGCTAACGTCTGTATTTTTGTGTGTGTGTGATGCAGCGATTGAGCTGGAGAAGGTGCAGCGGGACTGTGAGAGCCTGCAGAGGGAGTGTGTGTCTCTCAGGTCAGAGAGAGAGCATCTGTCTGTGCAGCAGCAAAAGGAGAAGAGCAGCCTGCAGAGCGAATGCAGCACCCTGCGCACTGAGAAGGACCAACTCATGAGGAAACTGCAGCAGCTGGAGAAAGAACTGTGCAGGTCTGCCTCGCACCACTACATGACCGCCCCTTAATGATGCATCTTTATGCATCTCATTGGTTGAGAAATGCAGGACGGTGTATGGTGTACTCAGCTGGTCCTTGTAAACTTATAATCCTATGAAATTACAAACTTACCACAAGAAAGTTGAGCTTGAACGGCTGACAAAGTCATAAATAAAGGTGATACACCTAGACGGTTTCCCTGTTTCACAGTTTTTACAAATGATGTATCACCATGCAGTATATTCTAATAGACCCATGAATCGTGCATCATTCGTAGTCAACGTCATGCCCGTATTAGTAACTCTGAGTCAAAGCTGTTTTTTTCTATGACGAAAATGAATGGAATTTTTAGAACTTGCTGCTATTATGACTTGTGGTACATAAAAACCTGATACGTTTTTTTCCTATGTACATTTTGGCACTAAATGTCCCTGGATCCTCTGAATTGATTCGAAATATCAGTCCTGTGCACTGAAATTATGTTGCATGAAAATAAGTCTACCATTAAATTTCACTGCTATTGCATAATAACTCCAGCTACCAGCTCCTAACTACCACACTCAGCAAAGCTTCCTGCTTTGTTTCTGGTGGTATTTGCTTGTCTTATCGTGTCAGTTCAGTATGCAACAGTGTTAGCTCACATATGGCAAAATTTGTATTTTGACACTTTTTTGACCTTGTAATTCAAAGGCTCTAGTAGCATTTAGAAGAAAAATGTTTGTAGGGTCACATATCAAATTTGGAACCATTTTGTTAACCACAGGGTGTAATAACTGAGACTTGAAAATCCCATTAATTTGTGCGATAGAGAAATCCAACTTTGACCTGGAGTTTCTAATAGCATGATGACATGACTTTAGTAGTCTATCCCACATGAACATAGACCAGGCTGCCTTTTCATCTGTACAAATAAGTGTATTGTTTGTGATAAGTGTATCAGTTGCATATGGCTCCCATTGCAAACATCTGGTAGTTGTGATGTGTATATTCAGACTTTAAGTTGATGAAGTCTATCTGAATGCACCATTATGTACCCTGTCTTTTGAGTCATAATGCACAGTCTAAGCTCAAGAAGTTAAACAAGTGTAATAAATCACCTTTAACTAAATCCAGCTCGAGGTTGCTACTCATGTTAGCACAGTGAGGCAGCAATGATGTCATGATTATATCTAATATGTGTTTGGTCCCTCCTCTGGCTCCCTTCAGCTGTAAGGACCAGAGCTCGGATCTCACCAGTACAGTGCAGGTCCTGGAGAAGACACAAGTTGACCTGCAAACGCGGCTGAGCGCTCTGCAGGACGAGCACCAGAGAGACACCAGCCAGTTAAACAGCCAGCTGGAGCAGAGTAGCAGCAGGACCAAAGAGCTGCAAAAAGAGGTAGGAGCTGTTTGATGGTATTATGGACAACACAGTTGACTGGCACACAGAAGAATGTAATTTCTTGACTGGCACACAGAAGAATGTAATTTCTTGCTGCTACCTTATTAAGCTGGAGTTTGGTGCCCTTCAGAACCAGCAAATTGAACTTTCAGGGTGGTAGCACTATGCATTTTATACATTGCTCACTTCACTAGGGTTCTGCTTCTCTTAAGCACTGTTAAGATGGGATTAGTTTAACATGAGGGGATGGGTTAATGTCTTTTTTGCTTGCATTTCGCAGTAATTTTAGTCCCGTCCGAATGCACCATGTCAGTCGTTTTTACTGACTGTGTGCTCAGTAAAGATTTCAGCACTTTTACTTTTACCTATTCTAAATCTAACCCCAGGTTATATTAATCCTGTGTGAATCAACGTGTCAGTAGAAATGCTGTCATATACCGTGGAAAAGGAGTTTCTTAAGTATGGAGGCACCACAAAGAATAGTTTAATTGTGTTCTCTGTGGCTAATCAAGCCTATAAGTACTGTCCTCCTCAAGTATATGGCTCTGAACATTAAAATGCCACATTTACAGAAAAAAGTGATTTCATGCAGTGATGTTGCCTGTTGGCTGTGAATTCTCAAGATAGTGATAATGCTTATGACAGTGCATTCACTTAAGACGGCGAGACAAATGTTCAGGGTAATTGGAAAAATGGCTAAGTTAAATGATTTAAATGTGTTTTCAACTGTTTTCTGAAGTAATGGTGTGTAAATCGAGTAGCCAATCATTTCTGTATACTGAGATTTCTTATCCCATGTGAATTGATCATAAATGTTAGACCTCCTGTGGTAAATTGAACTGACCCCACCTCCCTGTGGAAAAGTAATTCTGTCCAAATACTGCTTTATTGTCTCTTAACGCTGGTAGGTGTGGACTGCTGTAAGTTTAGGGAAAAAAAAATGGTCCATGAACTTTCATTTGAGTAGGGGTTAGGACAGTACTACAATTTACTGTTTAACTTTACTTCCTATCGCTCTCTTTGTTCACTTTTCAGTACGAGGAGACACAGGCTGAGCTGTCAGGCCTGAGGGAGAGGTGTGAGCAGGCAGAGCAGGAGAAGCATTCTCTCGGCTTGGAGCTGAAGCAGTGCCAAGCCACTCTGAAAGCTCTGCAGGAGAAAAGCAACCAAGTGGGTTTTATTCTTCATTACTTCTCATCACACCAAACAGGGAGCAGACAATAGGGACAGTTCAAGAGGAATGATCACCAGTACATTGTATATTGTCCCTGAAATGACTGATTTTGTTTGACAAAGCACTATTGAGTACAGGTTTTCATTTTAGTTTAGAGTCCCTTGTTACAGGTGCTGGAGCTTTTTTTTGCCAGATTTTAAGGTGCATACCATTCAAAAGCATTGTGTATTGTGTCTATAAGAGAGAATAGCTCACTCTCTGACCCATTTTAAGCCGTTCAGCTGTCTGTCATAAGAAGTTGCTTAAAATCTTCCTAGGTTGATTTTTTTTTTTTGTTTTTTTTTGTTTTTTTTTTGTTTTTGTAATATCCCTTTCCTCCTTTAGCTGTCTTTATTGCCGCCCATCCTAGCCGTAGTCATCGGCCTTGTCCTGGCTTTGCTGTATTGGTGCTTCGGCCCATTGTGGTAGAAAGGTACACAGTGCTTCCGTCCCCTCGCACCTTTTTTCTCTGCTTCTGCGTCTGCCATCTTGGCCTATGCCAAAAAAAAAAACACACTCCGTCCTGTCTCCTGCATTTGCCTAAGCCAAAACACGTTGGCAGATCATTCTCGAAACACTCCTTGTCCTCCTCTTCCAGGTCCACCTCATAATCAACAGACATCTGTCTGTTACCCCTTGCCATGTTAACAAATGTCTCTGACAAACTGTCTATACTCGTAGGCTGCCCTGCCTAGCTCATAGCTCTTCTAACCATCCCAGCTTTCCACGTGTTTCGACTCTGTCTGCTCTGCCGTTGGCGTCCCCTTGTTCCTGACACCCCCCTGTCACTGTGCGTGTTTGTCTGTGTGTGTTAACATGGTCCGACAGAAGAGATAATGCTGACTGGAGTGTCATCTGTGTGTCTTCTTGCCGTTTCAGGAAAGATGGATCAGGTGGATGCCTGTCGCTGTTGTAACGGTTGCCGTGACAGCCTACATGCTTACAAAGACCTCAACTTGAGCACCTGGCATGATGAACCAGTAAACACATGCATACACGCACATTTTCAATAATATACTGATGTTTTGCCCTCTTGTTTTAAGAGGTGCCCTACGTGTGAATTTGTGTAACTTGTACTTGCAATATTAAAGGCTAGCGGCCTTAGATTAATTATGTAGGGTGTCAAGTCCATATCAGATCCAATTTGAAGCTGCTGCAGCATTTAGGTATGAACAAAAACTCTATTATTGTAGGGTTTTAGTGTATCAGTAAAACTGCTGTTTTTTCCTTATTGCAAAAAAGTGATTTTATTATTTGGTTTGTTTTGCCAAACAAGTATGTACTGTAGTAATTTGCCTTACCAATCTGTTACTCACACAGAGGTCAACCCATTCATTAATGCAGTGATTCTCAAACCTGTCCTCAGTGCCCACCTGACACTGTCCATGTTTTAGCTCCAATTTAATTTGTACAAATAAGGGAAGAATATGGACCATGTGTATGGCCCTAAAGACCAGTTTGAGAACCACTTTTCACTTTTCAAGTGTTACCATGAAAATTAAGCTTATTTTAGTAGTTCACAGAATAAAAGCAATAATGCATTTGAAACATTAACTCACATATGAAATCACACTCGATATGTAGATGCCTCTGTTTTGTCTCCTGCATCCTCATGTAGTGTTTGTGCGGTTGCCAATTCTGACCTCTGTCTGAATTTTTCAATATAGACGTGAAAGCGTTGTCTATGCACTGTACATTATTGTTCTAAGGCTTTAAGTTATTGACAACTACTACACAGGAAGTTTAAAAATAAAGAGCACTAACTTGTCTCAGAGAGACTCTTAACACAGTCACTAATTTGTTTGTTACTTGTACAGAGATTTACTGAAAACCAAAATAATAAAAAGCAAAAACAAATAAAAAAAAAAACCTGAAAACAACTTGTGATTGTGTGACATTGGATTATTGTTACCCATGTGTTTTGTGTGTGGAATTGTGGTTCTGTGCTCATTAAGGTGAAATATTAATAATATTAACACTGTTTTCGACTATTTGTAGACTGTTTCGATTTATTTTTTTTGGTAATGAATCTCAATTAAATGCAGTTTCACTTTGGAATAGAAGCAATGTGTCTGTACAGACTTCAGAGCAGCAAAAAGGCTTAATGCTTGATTCTTAAAGTGGTTGTGCAGACGATTCATGAGAAATTGGATGGTGTCACTGATGCAAAATCACCAGCATGTAGTACTCCAAAAGTCTTAGAAAGCTTGTGCTTCTCGCATGTCCACGATGCTGAAGAGACTCAGCCATTTCAGCTAACACAAGGATGTTTTCACTCTAGATACTTAGAGTGCCAGTAGTGCCCCCTTGGCCTTGTTAAACTTGAGTGAGTGAGTGAGTGAGTGAGTGACTGAGTTACAAGCTGGGTCCATGAGGAGTCAAGACTGAGACCCGGACCCTTCGAGTCCAAGTCGAGACTGAGACCAGATTTAAGATTTATTTTTTTTTCAGAATATAAAAAAAAAAAAGGAGAGAAAACTGAAATCATTGCCTTCTGTTCTACATTAAGTATATTAATAAATAATATAAAATCTAATATTTTGCAAAATATAACATGACATAATATGTAGCCTAAAATATTGATTACTACTATAGTATTTGTCCAATTTTACATTGTAACTTATGATAGCAAATGATGGTGAGATGATTCTAAAGTCAGCGTAGAATATACTAAACAATACATACATTTTTTTTATTATTATTATTGAATGAAAGCATAATAATACTACTACTAATAATAATAATAATAATAATGCTCCAATCTCAGGGGATGTTTGGGTTTTAGAACCAGCAAACATCAACAAACAAAAACACAGTTAAGCCATCATGGAGTTAATTAAGTACTCAACAGGCAGTGAACAGATTTTACTTAGAGTCCATTTAGAGAAAGGACTTTTATTTTGTTTGACGGTGTTCATATTCAAGAATTATGGAAAGAAAGATCTCTTTGCAGTTACCTCAGATGTAGGCATCGCACTGGTCGGCTGTCCCTAGAGAATTTCTGAGTCTGCCTTACCCCGAGACAGAGATAAGAGGGAGTGAAAATGATGTGGAGACCAGATTCAAATAATCCAAAAGTAACTGATTTTGATACACCGTCCCTCTTTATCCACTTTTACCATCTGGCTGCCAGTGTAGTCATTTTTCTTTTTTCTCTTGTGAATCTGCATTTCTGGCTTGTTGGTGGTTTAATGGCTGAGGAATATGTAGTAAATACCAGTTGCTAACTTAACCCCTGTTGAAAAACAGTTCATAAATAATATAAATTTAATTGATCTTAAATGTGTAGAAGTTCATTCCTAGTAATGTTAGGCAGTCTTAATTTAGGTTTAATGCAGTCACCTTCATAGCAGAGACTTTAAATCCAGTTTCCGGTCCTAGGTTTTGTAATCAGTGATAGTTAAAGGGGAACTCGGCTGATTTTTCAACGTTTCTAAATGGTTAAATCATTGAGATGTAGACAAAGTCATTCAAAATGATCAGAAAACTGTATCAGACATCAGGCAGCATGTTTGTAACCATTTAACATAACTTCTGAGGTAGTTTTTAGATGTATTAAACTCTTCAGACATCTGCTTCCTGTTACCACCACTGTGAAACACTGTGACTAGTGCATTTCACATGAAACCACTCAATTACTTTCTTTACATCCTAATGATTTATTTATGAGACAATTTTGCCAAAAACAATAGGATTTCCCTTTAACTGAGCTGCTGCGATAAGTAATTGGCCACATAGTGTCATATCTACCGGTGGTTGCAAAACCCAGGACTCAAATTTAAACTCAGCATCCAGATTTGAAGAACTCTGATCTACATAATGCAACTTTCCTGCACATTGATTAAGCCTAGTATTGGACCAAATTGCAATTCCAATTTAGAAAACAGTGATTCATCATTCACTGTCCTTTTTGGTGTAGGTTTAGGCTTAATGTGCATGTGAGAAACTGAGCCTATGCAATATTTAAGGTGAGTATTAATTACTTTTTTTTTAGTTTTGCATCTTAATGTTTTGTTTATGAAAAAATTTGGAAAAAAACAATGGAATTTGCCTTTAACTGAGCTCTTGCATTAAGTAATTGGCCACGTAGTGTCATACCTACCAGTGATGGCAAAATCCAGGACTGAAATTTCGATTCAGTGTCTAGATTTGAAGACCTTTGTCCTGTGTAATGCAACTTTCCTGCACATTGATTTAGCCTAGTGTTGGACTAATTTGCAATGCCAATTTAGAAAAGTGATTCATCATTCACTGTCCTTTTTATTCTAAGTTTAGGCTTAATATGCTTGTGAAAAACCGAGCCTATGCAATGTTTAAGGATGAGTACGATCTGCTGTGATATATACTAAAAGAACTTTCCAAGAAGCTGTTTATTTTGCCATGGTCTTCTTGGAAAGAGAAATTGAAGTTTACTCGCATCGACACCCGTAAAACACAACAGCCTCGCTCCAAGTACTTCTCATGAAGAAGTGCATGCTTCTGTGTTATAAGAGTCCACCCAAATGAGTCATACCTATTCTACCCCACGCCGGAAACATGAGGACATGGGCCCATCAAAAGGCCTCATGTAATAACACACTCAGTTTATGCCAGAATAAATGAAGCCTAATGTCACCAGTGATGGGGTTAGAAGCAGCAATGACGTCAGGCATTGGAAGAGGGTGACCGAACCACAGGTGGGGATCGGTTTCACTCCCCCGGGACAAGGATCTTATTGCTGACCTCTGTCATCACAATAAATACATTCTCTGCACACTGAGGTAACTGCTCTCACTGTTTTTGTTATTTCACCCCGTGACATGGGGGGGCTGCGCAATGATGAAATTTCATGTTTTAAAGAATAAGTCCTCTTGTGAGATGTATCCTCAAAGGCACTGTAGGATCATAACCATTGGTTGGAGTAGAAGAAGAGGGAGGACTTCCTCCAGCAGAATTGCATCAATGCTCAGATTGCACCTAGGCACTGGTATAAATGCTCTTTGATAGGAGGACATCACACCTATGTGATTCGGCAGGCAGAGATGAGTGACTTTGTCAACAGTGTCACTGCAGCTCAGATTAACCTATCTGATGATGCACCATGGAAAAAGATACAGAAGAACACCTTCACACGCTGGTGCAATGAGCACCTGAGATGTGTTGATAAACAGATAAATGACCTCCGCTTTGACCTGAGTGATGGCCTGAACCTCATCTCCTTACTAGAGGTTCTGAGCCACAAGAGGATGTTCAGAAAGTTTCATGCAAGACCCACGCTTAGGCAACTTAAGCTGGACAACGTTTCAGTAGCTCTGGAATTTTTGGACCGTGAAAAGATCAAGTTAGTGTCTATAGGTAAGTTACGTTTTACATATCTTTGATGTATTTGTATTTGTTATGAATTCATAGACTGTTCTCTTAATGCTTTTATTTTAATTAACAGCGTTAGCATCCTGGCTTGTTAGGTTCTTGAAATCATGTCTAGTAATCATGAATTGTAACATATAAAGTGCCCTTCGGAACATGCAAATAGTCCTTTCTCAATATCAGACTCATTATCTCTGTTGTCTGGTCTGGGTTATAGGAAAAAAGGAAAGAAGTGTGTAACTTGATACTGTAATTAATTTAATGGAATTTAAAAAGATGTGCAACATGGAGAATGCTCACACACTCAGTGTTTAAAAGGCTTTTCAAACAGGCTTCATATTTCATTGCTTTGGGAAAACAATAAGCTCTACAGATTGCATCATCGGCTGTCTATTTCTCAAGACATTTTCTGATAACGTAAGAAGTTCTGCCCTTATACTGACATTAATTATGCTTGGCTGCATAAAAAAATTAAATATTTTCTCTTGGTAGAAGATGTTTTTAAATGTTTATACAGTGCTAACTGGATTACGTTATCTGTTGTTGAGAATGAGTTGAATAAATCAGTAAAATCCCCTTGTCTGATGACTGCCTCAGGCCAAAGAAATCTTGGTAATAAGCCTTCAAACACAAAGGGGTGTTTTATAGTTTGTGTTAGTACATGAGAGAGTCACAAATTGTCTGATGACAGAATGTTGTGCACATGCTATGTTCCACAGACAGTAAGGCTATAGTGGACGGAAATCTGAAGCTCATCCTGGGGCTGGTCTGGACTCTCATCCTGCACTACTCCATCTCTATTCCTGTGTGGGAGGATGAGGCCAGTGATACAGTCACAAAACTCACCCCGGAAATGAGGCTGCTGGGATGGATCCAGAGTAAAGTGCCTGAGCTGCCCATCACCAACTTCAGCCAGGACTGGCAGGACGGCAAAGCATTGGGAGCTCTTGTAGATGGTCTTGCGCCAGGTACAGTCAGAGTATTCAGAAAGATAATATTCAGATTTGATCAAAATACACAGTAATACACAGTAATTATCTCTATAAAAAGTAAAGTTGTGCCAGTTTAATAAAGGCAACATTCTGCACTTTTGTTTTAAGTGAACTCAAAAAAAAAGGTACCAAAGTCACCTTTTATATGAAATTTAAATACAGTGTTCTCCCATGAAGACTGCCAGGCCTACCCTTAACAACTAACAACTCAAGTATTTATATCCCATGGACTTTTAGGTTGTGCCTAGCAGTGTTTATGAAATATCAGCAAAAAGCTTTCAGCAGTTCTTTCTCATGACAGAAGGCCTCATTCACCAATGTTTGTGTTTTTGCTAAATTTGTTCTTGAGAAAGGTCCTAAGAAAAAGTCTGTCAAATTCATGATGTGTTTTGTGATTCATTTTTTATTATTTTCCATTTAAAGAACAACACCCCCATTCCAGCCCTGACCCACCCACACATGGGACTTACAAGAGGTGGGGAAAAAAATAAAAAAAACAAAAAACACAAACAAAACATAGCTACAACATAGGACACAGGAGAATTACATCATTCACAACTTGAACGCAGCATATAGTTAAGCAAGCACAAGGGTCCTGACTTTAGAAATTCTGTGAATCCATGCATTAAGGGTTCCAGGGCCAGCATTGCCAGTTCTTGCAGATGACAGTTCCAGATATAGAATATCCAGTAAGGTATGGAGCCAATGACGTATAGACAAGTTATGGGGGGGTAGCCAATGCTGGACAATGACTTTTTTCGCTGCTGTTAGGCCAGCCAGCCATATCTTCCGGGAACTTTCCGTAATGGGGAACTTGGTGTTATCATTCAGTAAATGAAGTTCAGGGACCATGGGTAAGTATGTCTTGATCAGAGAAGAGATTGAATCAACAGCCTCCTCCCAAAAAGCATAAACCTTTGGGCAGTCCCACATAATATGCATAAAAGTCCCTAGAGTCCCATCTGGACAGAAATTACGAAAGGGATGAGGGCTTAAACCCACCAAATATCTTACCCTGGGTGTTACATAAGCCCTGTGGCTTATTTTCAAATGAATGAATTGATGATTGGGCATGATGTGTTCTTAAACTGCAGAACTGTTCGCACCTTTGTGCTCTTGAGTGTGTGTAGATTCTGTTATTACCTAAGAACAAATCCCAAATATAAAAAACATTGCTGAACGTCAGAATCTTTGTTAAATCTGTGTAAGTGAGTTTTAAGAAGAAATTTTTACTTAAGAACACTTGGTGAATGAGACCCAATGTTATTTTACAGTCTTCATTTTAGGTTTAATGACTGAGGCCTTTCCAGAAAAAGATTCCTCTTTGTTGTTGTAATTGTCATACTGCAAAATGTGAAAAGTTCTGAAATGCCACAAAAATAATAACTTACTTCTTCCATTGACATGTTTATTTGATTTAGTTGACCATGATTAGTTGCCATGGGTGTACTGAGATATTTAGCACATGGTAGAGAAAAACAAATCAAGGCAAAGAGGTTGTAATTTTTTTTTTTAGATCAAGCAGAAATATTCACTTTTTACAGTAAACATAATAAATCACTGCCTTAAAAGTAATGTCAAATCTTGAAATACTGTGATGGGTGTCATAGTGATTAGGCACCCATGGGCCTGACATATTGACTGGAGGAGGCATTGACCAAATTCATGCTATGATACTATTATCTGCAAGCTGTGGGCCTTCAGACAGAGCTATACACCTCGTAATGTAAGAAGAAGAAAAAGTATGTGAGTTGTGAGTGTATATATTTTAAGGAACCCTCTACCAAGGGCTTAAAAATAAGTGCACACAATACAACTCCCTGATTCCCCACCCAAGTTTTGCAACATGCAAGTTGAGAGAACGTAATATTTGAATTTCAGTCAATGATTGAGCATCCAAATATTGACTCTTTTTATTACGTTGGAACTGCTTAACCTGGTGATGGAGATAAGCGTAATGAAGTTGTTTTGCCATTTCTTAGTCCCCATGACTGATTATTTGCACGTGTGTAGGCTTGTGTCCAGACTGGGAGAGCTGGGAGGCAGTCCAGAGAGTTACTAACACCAGGGAGGCCATGCAGCAGGCGGATGACTGGCTAGGAGTACCACAGGTATACTTACTCACAAAGCACCATTGTATTACTAAATGCCTTATTTTAATGACATATGCTTGACACACTTAGATCATACTCATAATGTTTTGTTTTTATTGTTTGTATATCCAGCTCATTGCTCCAGAGGAAATCCTTGATCCTGGTGTGGATGAACGGTCTGTCATGACTTACCTCTCCCTTTTCCCCAAAGCCAAGCTGAAACCTGGAGCTCCACTCAAACCAAAGACCGGTTAGGCTTCTTTTATTTTGTTATCACTGTTTCGCATGGCTGCCTTTCCTCTTTTGCTGTGCTGATCAGGAGTGTAAATCTCTGATCTGGCAACAATTTGATTTCATCATGACTCTTTAGGAAATTTTAGGAAAATTTCAAATTTTGCCACAGCTTGCTTTGATTGCTGTACAATTCAGGATTAAAAATACTTGGAATATACGCAATAAGACAATATGCCAAGCTTTTTTTATTTTTTGCCCAGTTTAGACATTGCCAGTTCCTTCCTCTGGTTATGTCTCCATCTTTCGCATGATGACACAAAGCTGGGAGGGTTGGCACATGCCTCCACATAGACATGTGAAGCACTACAAGATCTTTTTAAACTGCCACTAGACAGCTCAACACACTTGGAGGAGAACATTAACTGCCAGTTCTGTTACATCAGCTAACAGACACCCACGTTGGTTAGCACTATGCTGAGTGATGTGGGGAGAGGGAGTGTTGTCCTACCCACCCACAAAGAGTGAGACCAGTTATGCCCTCCCAGCCACAGATGGCTGTGGCATCACCAGGGATCAAACTCGCCAACACTGTATTTTAGAAGTGCTTTTTCTTATTATGTCTCCATTCTCAATATTATCTTTAAACCCTAGTTTACCTTCGTCATATTTGTTACTCTACTCCCTTTGTTTCAGTGCCTAAACCTAAAGCTTGTCGTGCCACTGGACGGGGGCTGCAGGCCAGAGGTCTTAGGGTGGGTCAGTTGGCTGACTTTAAGGTTGACACCCACAAGGCTGGACCTGGAAGCCTGGCAGTTCACATCCGCGAGCCCAGTGAGTAAACAGCAGCCATTCTCACTCTGCATCTGTTCTCTCTGAACAGCGTGTTCATTTTTTAGTCTTCACTGACTACCATTAGTCACACAAGAACACTTTCACCTATACTATAAGCAGTAACCGACGTATGTACATTGTGTCAGACACCAGAGATAGCTACATTGTAAGCGAGGGGCGCAGGTGGGATCATTACAAAGAGAGACAGGGCCTCATCTCTGCCTCTCTGCTCCTCTGCCCTAGATGGATGATGTCTTTCTTTCTCTCTGACAGCTGGTAATGAAGTAGCGGTGAAGCAGAGGGAGGTACTGGAAGGCATTTACGACTTTGAATACATGCCTGGTGATGAAGGGGACTACACTGTGGACATCACCTGGGCTAATAAGCACATCCCAAAAAGGTCAGTTTTCATTCATCTTCTGCTGCAGTCACTCACTGGAGGATAAAACATGCTGTAATGACAAGACAGTGACATGAGGTACAAGCCTATAACCACAGTCATATAAATATAATTACTAATGTACAGATTAGTTTAAGTGTGGAGGAACCATGGAATAGACCATAGTTTTGTAAACTGTGAGAAAAAAAATGTTTAAATCATGACCAGAAGTTGTAGTTTCCTGTTATGTGTGCTATACTAGCTGATGTAAACATTTGTTTTATTAATTGTTGATCAAATGTTTGAACTTCCTTCTGAACAGTCTTTTAAACAGTTGGAATCGCTTGCCATGTTTGTAATTATTGTTTTTCAGAAAGAACTTACACACACAGGGTAAACTGAAATGTCAAACATTTTAAAAGAATTTTGAAAATTAATTTAAGTGTTTGAAAGTAAAACAAAGTTTTAAATGATAAATGATTTTGTTAAATGGTTATTGATTCGGTATGTTAATTTTATTACAACTTACTTTTTATTCCATCAAACTTGTGGAATCATCTACAGGTCTAGTCATCATCTGGGACATACATACAATTTGTTAATTTTTTAAAACTCTCAAAGAATTGTTTTTATTTTAAATAATATTTATAATGAACAGTGATACAAAACTTTTGAATAGTGATTCCAATCTTTTGATCAGTAATGACAATGACCAGTAAGCCATTTATTCGTTTATGGCAGCCCTTTTAAGGTCCATGTTGGGCCCAAAGCTGGTCAGCAGAAGATTAGAGCCTGGGGTCCTGGACTGGAAGGAGGAACTGTGGGGATGCCTGCTTCATTCCTTGTAGAGGCCACTGGTGTTGAAGCTGGTATGCTAGGTGAGAACATTTCAGAATTGGAGTCAGCTTTATTTTGCCAAGTATTTTACAAATACAAAGAATTTGTCTTGATTACTGCAGCAGTATATGCCACAATATTTTGTTGACTATTATTGTGACAAATATAGGATATAGGAAAATATCTCTCTATCAGGTAGTTTTACTTTTACTCTTCCTGGACAAACTCTCTCTAGGTTTTGCCATTGAGGGCCCGTCTCAGGCTAAAATTGAGTGTGATGATAAAAATGCTGGCTCATGCTTTGTGAGATTCTGGCCCACTGAAGCAGGGGAGTATGCTGTACATGTGATGTGTGATGATGAGGAAATAGAGGACAGTCCTTTCATGGCTTGTATAGCACCTAAGAGAAAAAGCTTCAGCCCAGAGAAGGTAACGATTTGTTTATGAAATTAGCATTTAAAAATGATCTCTTTTTCCTCCCTGAGAGCTTTGATATATGGTATGTGTTGTGTGTATCCTTGACTTATATATTTTTTATAAACAAGGTTAAAGTATATGGTGCAGGAGTTTCTCCAGCTGGACTCTTGGTGAACTGTCAGGCAGAATTTACTGTCGATGCCACTCAAGCTGGTGAAGGAGTGCTCAAAATCTTTATACAGGTATGAACTATGTCTTCTAATAGTCCTCCCTAAAAAAATAAGACATTGTTGAAGTTTCATTGAAATGAAAGTGTTGAAGGTCACAAAATGAATCAGCGGTATTAAATATTGTTCATACTATATGATGGTTTGATTTACATATCTATATATTTTTTCTCATAGACTCTGGAAGGAAGCAGTATAAACGTGGATGTGATTTGTGAAGAGGCTGGCATTTATAACTGCTCCTATACTCCCACTACTATCTGCAAACACACCATCGTTGTGTCTTGGGGAGGAGTATCTGTTCCTGGCAGTCCTTTTACTGTGAGCATAATGCAAATATATGTGCAAGTAATAATAATGGCAATAGACACAAATGAGCCAAAACACTCTGATCACCTGCCTAATATGCTGTTGGTCCTTCACGTGCCACCAAAACAGTTCCAACCTGCCAAGGCATAGACACTACAAGACCTCTGAAGGTGCCCTGCGGTATCTGGCACTGAGATATTAGCAGCAGATCCTTTAAGTCCTGTAAGCTGTGGGGTGGAACCACCATGGATTGGACTTCTTGTTGTAGCACATCCTACAGATGCTTGATTGGATTAAGATCTGGAGAATTTTTAGGCCAGGGCAACACCTTGAGCTCTTTGTCATGTTCCTTAAATCAATCTCATACAATGTGTGCGGTGTTGCAGTGTGCAATATTCTGCTGAAAGAGGCCACTGCCGTCGTGGAATACCACTACCATGAAGGGGTGTATCTGGTCCGCAACGTTGTTTAGGTAGGTGGCTCGTGTCAAATTGACATTGACATGAATGCCAAACCCAGGGTTACCTAGCAGAACACTGCCCAGAGCATCACACTCCCTCCTTACCTTCTTCTCACAGTGCCATCACTTCCCCTCACTTCCTGCACACATGTACCTGGCCATCTATGTGATGTAATAGAAAACAGGACTTTTTGGTCCAGGAGACCTTCTTTCATTGCTCCAAGGTCAAGTTCTGACACTTGTGTGTTGGTTTAAGGCACTTCAACGGTGGACAAAGGTTAGCATGGGTACTCTGACCAGCCTGCAGCTATGCAGCCCAATACACAGCAGGGTGTGATACGCTCTGTGTTGTGACATGTTCCTCCCATAACCAACGTTAAAATTTTCAGTGATTTGTGCCTTTTGCCCTTCTGTCTCTTCAGACCAGACAGGATAGTCTTCGTTGCCCTCGCACATCAGTGAGCCTTGGGCGCTCAACACCCTGTCGGCAGGTTGTGTTTTGTCCCTCTTCAGACCACTGTCTGTAGAGACTCACCACTGTTGACCGGGCGCACCCCACAAGCCTTGCCATTTTGGAGATGCTCTGACTCAGTCATCTGACTATATCAGCTTGGCCATAGTCAAAGTTGCTCAGGTCTTCACAGCTGCACATTTCTCCCACATCAAACACGTCTCCTACGAGAACCAACTGTTTGCTTACCATCTAATATATCTCAGACCTTGACATGTGCCGTTGTTACAAGATAATGAAAGCTGTTTTCTTTCTGTGGGTGGTCATAATGTTTTGGCTTAAAAGTGTGTATATATGCCAGGTTGTGGTGAAATAGATCTGAAATTAAGTTTAATTGCATTACCGTACTTTATTGAGCAGAGGAGACAAAAAAAGGTCTGAAAATATTGCATTGTAATATTTTAATAATAATCATAGCAATGATATTTCAGAATGAGCATAAAGGTCTCATTAACACGCACTTATTGTAGTTTATAGTATGAAGAAATCAACTGAAATTATTTTCTTGGTTTCAGTTAAAATACTCAAAAATGCCAAAGAATCTGTTTTTGTGTGGGTTTAGTTCTAATTTCTAATCATTTTGATCCCGCGCCATATTAAAAACCCACTTCATTACACAAGGAGGCATTAAAGCTGTCTGTTGATGACATACAGTAGCAATCACATTTGAGTGGGTAGTAGAAACATTATTTATTAGATTCATTTGTAACAGAATATTGGTGCTATAAAATTCCGGGCTTACTGATATCACACTGGGGGAATAAACTGTGTTGTGATGATATCAGGCATAGCAGTAGTGTGCAAATGCTTTGGTATAAAGCTCATACGGAATGAATTAATGACTGTTTCAGGTAATGCCTGGCAAAATTAAAATTGAACCATATGCTGGAAGCTGGAGTAGACCTCATGGATCAGAGATAAACTACTTGGGTGAGTTTGAGTCAAATAATAAGATACAATATAGATCATCAGCATAGTCTCTATGTTACTGAGATGTTGTATGTGTTTGGCTATTATGTGCAGATGAGGAGATGGACACTGATCAAGTCACTGAAGTAAACATGAAGGCTGGAAATGGGAGCAGACTGGATATCGATGTAGTCAGCCCCTTAGACTTGCCTACCAGTGCCACAAAGGTATTCTAATGAAGTGGAGTACAATGCCAGTCTGAAGTTTGAGGATGTTGCGACCTTTTGAAATGTGAAATTTCTTGCAAAGCTTGCTTGCTTTACTGTTAAAGGGGAATTCCATAAATCTTTCCACATTTCTGCATATAAATCGTTAATATGTATACAAGGTCATTCAGTGTGGTTTGATGTTAAATGCACAATTCTAGAGAAAGTGAGAGTGAGAGTTGTTTCATGGAGCATTCAATGCCTCCACAGGGTCCCTTACAAAAAGATATTACATGGAATGGTTCGAATATGTTGCCTGATCGCTGAAACCTGTTTTACGATAATTTTGAGATCACACATTTTTAACTCCATTGACAGCAGAGATATTGACCCTGATACATGCAGGGTGTTGTAAGGCAAAAAGGTCACCAATTGTTTTTTTTTTTTTGATTTATCACTACATTATTATCATCAACATTAGACATAAAACTCTGTAGTCAGGTTTATTTTTTTAGTATAGTAAATAAAATGGCTGTATTTGTTTTGTTGATATTGTAACACCATCACTGTAAAGTTATCCAAGTCAGTAAGTTTCTTTATTCTGCACCATTTCACATCAAACCACTCTGAATAAATTTGTTCACACCTCACTAATTGAATTATGCCAGGGGCGTCCAGTCATATCCGTGAAGAGCTGGTGTGGCTGGAGGTTTTCATTGTAGCAAAGCAGCGAACACATGATCAGTTGTTTAAAAACTGAGACTTAATGATTAAACAAGTTGAATCAGGTGTGCTTTTCTTGTTTGGAACAAAAACCTGCAGCCGCACCGCCCCTTGCAGATAAGATTGGACAGCCCTGAATTTTGCAGAAATTTTGAAAAATGGGTAGAATTTCCCTTCAACTAAGACAAAACACCTGCAAAGATTTTAACACAAATCAGCTAATTCTAATATTTTGCATATCATCACTTTCAGAACAAAACCTTGTAACTACCTTTTTGTCGTTCTTTTATTTTTTAACATAATTTGGAAACACCAGCTGCCCTTTACATGAGTGTCTCATGATGAATGGATCAATAGATGACAAATTATCTTTATTTGCATTCAAATTTTGTAAGTTTGGTAACACTCAAACTCTGCTACAAACATTGACATTACATTGATTTTTTCCACAGGTGAAGGCTTACGGGCCAGGTTTAAGGGGTGGCCTGCTGGGGCAGCGGGCAGAATTTACTATCGACACAAGAGCTGCAGGCAGTGGAAGACTCACCGTCACAGTGGAGGGTCCATGTCAGGTTACTCTGCAGTGTATGGACAATGAGGACGGCACCTGTGCTGTGTTCTATCTGCCCGCTGAGAATGGGGAATACACAATCAGAATCTTCTTTGCCAATTCACAAATCCCTGGTTCCCCATTTCTCCCTGTGGTGCATCTTCCCCTTGATCCCTCTAAAGTAACCGTATCAGGCCCTGGTTTGACCAAGGGGAAGGTGGGGGAACCTTGTATGGTGAACATAGACTGTGCTCTGGCAGGGTCAGGTGACCTCTCTGTGGAGGCTGTCTCTGACTCAGGAGCCATAGCTAAGACTGAAGTGCTGGAAAATGAAGACGGCAGCTACACAGTCGTTTACGTTCCCCTCACTGCTGGTGTCTACACACTTCTTCTGAAATACGGAGGCCAAGTGGTGCCAAACTTCCCTGCGGAAATTGTGGTGGATCCAGCTGTCTACAAAAGCCATGTTAAATTGACAGGGCAAGGTAAGTTAATACATTTAAAAAAAACAAAGATACCTAAAGAGTTGTTTAGAGTGGTGCTGTAGAAGAACCACTTTTGGTTCCCCAAAGAACCCTTCAATGAAGGCTTCTAAGCTTAAAGCACCTCCATAAAGTATAAAGAACCTCCAAATAACATAAAGGTTGTACACCAATTAAAGTTTCTTAGAAATATATGGACTGCGATGGACTGGCGACCTGTCCAGGGTGTATCCTGCCTTCCACCCAATGACAGCTGGGATAGGCTCCTGCACCCCACCGCGACCCAGAAGGATAAGCGGTTTAGATGATGTATGTATATGTATGTAGAAATATATGTCCAGGGCCAAGAACCATTTACAGCCTTCACATTATACAGAGATCACAATTAAACAAGCTGTTGTTACTTTAAGGCTGTTGCATGTCTCAGCTCTGTTCTGTGTGGCTTCACTGTGAAGGGCCTCATTAAAAAAAAGTCAGTGAAACACTTTTAATAACTTGTTCAGTGTAAATGGGTAGAGCTGGCCTGTTTTAGGCTGAATAGGTAAGCATATGTAAATATACTGGTTTGTGTGACATCACAAGCACAATTAGTTTAAGCCAGGGTATTTTTGCAGATTAGTTTCCATATGTGGACTGTATGGACTGTGGCATGAATTATACATATTGAAACTTTAACAGTGTTTAGATGCATCATACTTTATTTCAAAAAAGTGTGTAAAATTTTACTTCACATCATACAGGATCTTTAAAAATATCCCATGAAAGATTATTTAGGAAAAAGGAAGTGGTTCTTTTATGGCATCACTCAAGGAACCCTTTTGCAGTTATTTATGCATATATTTATTTATTATGTAAATTTCACATTGTGAAAATTCATCTGATTATCTTCTTTCACGGTGGTAATTTTGTGTCTGTCTGCTGTTGCCTCTAATGTAAAAGGAGACCTGGCAAATGCAGCAGGGTTTTGTAAGCCAAGCCAAGTACTTGCAGATGGTCTAGGACTTCTCCAAGGCCTTGCTGGACATCCCAACATGTGTTACATAAACACCAGGTTAGCCATTGTCTACTTTGTCTCATAGAAAAGATTATAGAACTGAAGCCAAAGATGATACATTAGTCAATATTTTGTTTGTTGGCAGAGGAGCTGGAAATGGTCATCTTGAAGTAACAGTGGAAGGTCCATCTGAGTCCAAGGTATCATGCAAGGACAATGAAGATGGCAGCTACACTATGGAATACATTCCATCTACAGCTGGCCAGTATGACGTTAACATCACCTATGGAGGGAAGAGCATTCCAGGTGCTTTAAATGCCCAAACTCACCAGTTCCCATTTTGTCTAAAAGGGTTTGACTTGATTGTTTAGTAGATTTCAGATGCTGATCTTACAGTGTTGTACTGATTTGATGTGCTCTGCAGGTAGTCCATTTAAAGTAACAGTGAAGGACGTTTCAGGCACTAGTGCAGAAATATTTGGACCAGGGATTTGTGCCCAAAGTTCTCAGAACTTCACGTTTGACAGCAAGAAAACTGGCAATATACCAGAGACAGTGACTGTGATAACTCCTCAAGGTGGGTCCCTTACTTCTCTTGGGATCGCTAAGAATTTTGTGCTTTACATTTATTTATTGCTGTCCTCTTTATCATGTTTAAGGTAAGTCTGAGCTGATGGATCTCAAGGACAATGGAGATGGGACCTACACAGTGAACTATTCCCCTTCTGTGGAAGGCCCTCACTCTTTGATGGTCAAATATGCAGGGGATGATTCATACTGCAGGTGAGATTCTGCTTAACATCGTAATGCTTAAACCGGTTTTATGCTGCGCGTTTTAATGGCATTCTGAACAACATGACCCGCAGTCCTGTTAACTTCCACGTACTGCAAAGACCAGCTGCTGGTGGAGAAAAGGCCAAAAATCAAGGCCCCAGGAGAGAGATGAACATTTCTGGAGAAGGTTTGGAGTCTGGGATATGCGCTAAAACTCCTCAGTCTTTTACCATCGGCTGCAGTGCCACTGGAAAGGCACCAGAGACTGTTGCCATTGCCAAACCTGATGGTGAGCAGTTTGTGTTTAGGCACTAGAACCTGTTCAGAGCACACTTTCGTAATTATTGCCTCACTGAACATTCTTGCTACAAAAATAATAATAATGATAATAAAAACTTAGATCTCTTTGTAGAACTTAACATTAATCTACATTAATGTAACCAGATTTTATAAATAATTCAGCCTTGTTTCTATTGGTATTTCATTGTAATGTAAAATATAAAAGGCAGCTGTCATATCCAGTGGTGCAAAAAATGATACGACAGCAATGTTGTGAGTTGAGTGATCTTTGATATTTCCCCTCTTGATCTTTGTAGGTACAGTTGAGGTGCTTGAACTGACTGACAATGGAGATGGAACCTATACAGTTACCTGTTCCCCAACCACGGGTGGCTCACACTTATTGGCGGTAAAATATACAGATGAGGAGGCCTTTAGTAGGTGAGCCAGATCACCATGTGAAATCTTTTAATGAAGTATGTGCTATGAAGTTCTTTGTGTTTGGCCATTTGCATTTTATATGTGCCTCAAACAATGACTTTGTTTACAGTCCCTATGAATTCCATGTGCTGGATGCTGAGTGTGCTTTGCAAAGTATTGTTACTGCGCCAGGTTTGGTGTCTGGAATTTGTACTCAAACTCCTCAAGTCTTCACAATTGACTGCAGAGAACATGGGAAGCTGCCTACTTCGATCGCTATGATGAATCCCAAAGGTAAAGATGTTGTTCTTTGTGGTCACTCTAGATGAACAGCACGTTCTACTAAAGGGGCAGAGTGATCAAAACTGATAGATCAAAACTGATATTTTTGCTTTCAACAAAAGGGTCTTAGAATGAAAAGGGGAATGTGAGACAAAAGTACAGATTGTCTTTTTTCATATAGGCCATGGGTATTTTGGAGGCATATGAATTTAATCTTTTTTTTTTTTTTAATTAAGACACTTTTTTGTCTAGACTCCTAATTTTAGTTGAGCATTTCGAGTTTTCGGGCGATGTATTCATCGTTCTTGTTTTTAGTCTCATGGAAACTAAAATACTCTTTATAAAAGAATCATTTACAGATATACATATAACTGTAACTATGAGGAAAAGGAACTTTAATTGAAGAAAACATCAACCGTTATCACTTCATTAAGCAAAACCACACGTCACCATAATTAGCACCCGTACATTTAGTACTTTGTGTTTTCTTTTCCAACATAACAATAATGATTTTTCTTCTGTAGCTCTGGTTGTTCGATTAGTGCCTTAACAGTGAATATAAGCATTTTCAGGCATGTAGCATTGCCTGATTTATGATGATCAAGACACTTTTGTGTCATTTTATTTGTGTATTCTCTACTGTTCTCCATGCTGTTGAATTACTAAGAGAATTTGACTTCTTTCACCACATTTTTATACTCCAGTGAAACAGGAAGTCAGACATGATGTCTTAAAAGTTCCTGAACAATCGAACATGAAAACAGTGATATATTATTAGGATACTTTAGTTACATTTTGTTTTTAAGAATTTCTAGGGGTGCCAGTATTTGTGATGCATGTGTTATTTTTTTTTCTTTGATGAAATTTACTTCAATTAATCATTAACCTTTTTCATGTATTTTCAGTGTAAGACTTACCTAATTAACCACAAATTACTCTTTCATGACCTTTTTACCCATCATTAACAAGGTTGCCAACAATTATGGAGCTGACTCTGTTGCATTAAAATTTATTTGTATTGGAACAGGTTTGATTGAATTACTTGGTGTTAAAGACAATGGCGATGGGACCTACACAGTGAGCTATTCTCCTTCTGTAGAAGGCCCTCACTCATTAATGGTCAAATATGGAGACAATACTGCATTTAGCAGGTCAGAGAAAACTTTAGTTTAGACTAAATTTTGTGTTGGATTTATGCTGCATCATAATCATGTCTGTGTTGTATGTGTGATGTACTTCTAGTCCTTTCAAGTTCCAAGTGCTGCCCAAACACGATGGCAGCTTCGCTCAAGACTGCAGGAGTAAGACGGAGATAAATGGACCAGGCTTGGAGGGAAAATATTGTGCTAGAACTCCTCAAAATTTCACGATTGGCTGCAGCAGCACTGGAGCAGCACCAGAAACTGTTGTCATTGTGAATCCTGATGGTGAGAACATGCATGCATTTTATTTGTTTATTTTTATGTATTTACAGCATAGTGGATGTATGCTTGTTCTGTGGTTGTGAACATGTTTCTTTGGATGCTTTAGATTCAGTTGATCTGGGCGAAGTAACAGATAATGGAGATGGAACTTACAGTGTTGTCTACTGCCCCTCCATAGATGGCCCTCATTCTGTAGTAGTGAAATATGCAGATGAGGATGCTTTTAGTAGGTGAGATACTATTAATCTGTGTTGATCAGTATACTGCAGAGGAGGAATGAGATTTAGTCTCATTTTCCAGGACAAAGGTGAAATTTAGTCATAGACTAAAATAGATTTTCAATAGATTTGTAATCCATAGTTACACTTATTTACATAGATAATTTTCAGACTCTGCTTGAACTTTGTAAAGCCAGCCTACAGCTTGGTACAATGAAAACTGCACATTTTTTCCTCATTATTTTCTAGTGCATTCAAGTTCCACGTACTCCCTACAGATGATATGACTAATGTAAAGATCTCAGCAAAAGGGGTGGAGTCAGGGATTTGTACCCAAAGATTTGCACCCACTGGAAAAGTTCCACAGTCTTTAGCTGCGATTACTCCGAAAGGTAAACCTCAGCTTAAGTTTTTCTTATCTACTGTTAAAACACTGGACTAGTCTGCTCATCTTTTGTTTGTTTTTTGGGGCTAATGAATCCAGGAGTGACTGAGATGATGGTGGCTGAAAGCAGTGGAGATGAGACCTACGTAGTGAGCTACTTGCCAACGACTGCAGATCCTCACTCTTCAATGGTGAGATATGCAGAGGATGATTCAAACTCTAGGTAAGTCCAGAATCAAGTGGGAAACACTGGAATGACAGATTTATGATCTGGGTGCCATTGTGCCAGCTGTTGTGTCATTTCAGCCCCTGCAATTTCCAAGTGCTTCCCACACCTGATGCTTCAGAGAATGAGATGAGTAGGAAAGAGAACATTTCTGGACAAGACATGGCAGGAATACATGCAGGTGTTCCACAGAAACTTGTCATTGGCTGCAGTGATAAGGGAGAAGCACCAGAAATGGTTGCTTTGGTAAAGCCTGATGGTGAGCTCGTAGTTCCATAGTTCTTGTGTGGGATCTCTTGGTTACAGACTTCTACTCTGGCTTTATTAAAAATACAATATCATTTTTCTTCACTTGAAGGTACATTTGATCTGGTAAAGGTGACAGACAATGCAGATGGGACTTATACAGTGCACTGCACACCTTCAGTGGAAGGCCTGAACTCTTTGTTTGTCAAATACGCCAATGAAGAGCCATTTAGACGGTAGGATAGAAAATGATTTGGTCACTGATTTAGTCTTTTTTCATGTTTTAAGAGGTCAATTCATTACATCACCTGTTTGTGATTTTCTTTCTGCTCTGTACAGATCTGCTAGGTTTGAAGTACTGCCAGCTAAAGCAGAGTCAAAGGTGAAGTTCTCTGGGACAGGAATGAAGTCTGGCATATGTACTCAGGCACCACAGACGTTCACCATAGACTGTAGCACAACTGGAGAGACAGTCAAATCGGTGGCTATTGTGACACCAAATGGTAAGGAAAACATTATTAATATACAGACTCTGGCAGATTTAACTGATTTCAGGGATATAAACTACTGTGAGTCTTTGTTCATTGGAACAGGTAAGACTGAGCTGGTGGAGGTCAAAGACAATGGAGATGGGACTTACACAGTGAACTATTCTCCTTCTGTGGAAGGCCCTCATTCTATAATGGTCAAATATGCAGAGGATGAGTCTTTTAGCAGGTAGCAAGTTGAAGTAATTGACTTTATGTCTATCAAATATAGATATTTTTATTTTCTAACTCTTACAACTCTTATCTTACATTGAGAATGGGATTTGACTCTTTTTAGGCCCTTCAAGTTTCAAGTGCTTCCGGTTCTTGTAACTGGAGACCAGAATATCCCAGTTCAGGATCTAAAAGTGTCTGGCCAAGAACTGATGGGTGCGGTCTATCAGAACATCCCTCAGACATTCACAATAGACTGTAACAACACTGGGGAGGCACCAGAGATTGCTGTAGTGGTAAAACCTGATGGTAAAAATCTCTTTAAATGTCATATCAGCAAGTAATTTTCATCTAGTGTAATTTTTAATTTATTTTTTCTCTCCTTGATGTCTTTAGGTACAATTGATCTCCTTGGGGTGCATGATAATGGAGATGGAACATGCAGTGCTGCGTATGCTCCTTCCATGGAGGGCTCTTATTCTTTTGTCCTTAAATATGCCAGAGAGGAATCTTTTTGCAGGTGAAGCAGTAATTATAGTTATTATAGACGTTACATACTCCTAGGCCTTTCTGAAAGGGGCTAATGAGTTAATGATAAGTTAAATATGTGGGTTAATTTCATAATCTGTAATTATACAGACCCTTTGGGTTTCAAGTGCTTCCCACAGAGGAGACTCCGATAAAGGTTACTGGGCCGGGTCTGGAGTCGGGGATACGTGCCCAACAACCTCAGATGTTCACAATTGACTGCAGCCTAACAGGAGTTCCAGAGGCTGTGGCCATAATATGTCCTAATGGTAAGACCACTTTATAATGGATCCTCTTTCTTACAACACATCAAAGTATAAATAAAATGTAAGATTTAAAGATCACTTAAAAGCAAAGTGACATCATGACAACAAATGATAACATATTACAAGATCATATTACAAGATATTCATTTTATTTTAATGCACGTCCAGTACTGTGTGATAGTCAGAGGCCACCCTTCATTTATTTAATTTCCAGTCAAAAGAACCATTAAGTTATTTATTATTCAGGGTCTGGAAAAAGCAGAAAAGCAAAAGTGGAGCTTAGGGTTCTCCTTTCTCTTTAAGATGAAAGCATTAAGTACTGTTTGTCTGGTGGTGACAGTTTTGGTGATCTGCTAGGTCTTGCATGGTTGTTAGGAGTCCCAATTTTTATATCTTTCAATCATTTTTTGGTCTCCAGTTTTGGAAACTCCTGTTTTTTGGGGTTTTTTTTTTTCCTTTTTTTCCTTTGACGTTCCTCTTTCTTATGCAAGTGAGTTTTCTTACATTTTATCTCCTCAGAGATGCCTCCAGAAAAATGAATAACTTCTATTTAATGGCTGTTTTGACTGGAAATTAAATAAATAAATTGTGGTCTCTGACTTTTGCACAGTATTGCATGATGAAGTTTTATATTCTGAATGAACAGGTACAACTGAAATGCTACAGGCTAAAGACAATGGAGATGGGACTTATTCAGTCAGCTTCTTCCCATCTATGGAGGGTCCTCATGGATTGCTGGTGAAAACTGCAGGAGAAGACAAATACTGCAAGTATGAAGAGTGTATATTCTCTTCAGTCTTTATAAAAGCTTAGTGTAAAGCCATTTGGATAGCATTTCTCATTTTCACTCGTTTAGAACAGTTTCCTCTTGTCAGCTGTACTTGATGTTGACAGAGAACATGTATGAGCTTGTGCATATGCGACATAAAGAACAATGTAAAACTTTTTGTTACTTGCGTCCCAAAGCCCTTTAGGGTTCCAAGTACTTCCAGCTGAGGTGGTGAAAGAGGTAAAGGTCAGCGGACCAGGCCTGGACTCTGGCATCTGTAGCCAAAGTCCTCAGACTTTCAAGATAGACTGCCGCAAGACAGGAGACACACCACAGGTTATATCCATGCTCACACCATATGGTAAGAATCAGCTGATTAAGCTGATGATGGTTTGATATATTGAAGGTTTTCTTTTTTCTTCTTATACAAACTTGAACTTCTTCTGTTCTGTGTGGTGGCAGGTTTGATGGAGCAGCTTGAGGTTAAAAACAATGGCGATGGCACTTATATAGTGAACTACTCACCCTCTGTTGATGGGTTTCACTCTTTGATGGTTAAATATGCGGCAGATGATTCATACTGCAGGTTAGGTTCCCTAACCCTGTTAACTTTAATTTATGTGCCGTTGATATGATTAGCATTTAATTTGCAATAAATTCTGTGTGTGTCAACGTCACTGCAGCCCTTTCAGGTTCTATGTGCTGCCCAGTACTAATGCTGACACAGACCATGACCTGGTGGAGGAACTGAAGAAAAAGACTGGAATATCTGGACCTGGCCTGGAGTCAGGAATCTGCGCCAGAACTCCTCAAACATTCACCGTTGACTGCAGCAGCACGGGAGAAGCACCAGAGACTGTTGCTGTGGTGAAGCCAGATGGTGAGAATAATTTTTTTCTCATTTAACAAAAATGTTTCTGCTTCTGTTTTCAAAGATAAATAAATCAACAAAAATTATTTTCTTGTTTTTGTACTTTAGGTACAGTCAAGCTTGTTGACATATCAGACAATGGTGATGGAACTTATTCTGTGGCTTACTCACCTGGTGTGGAAGGCTCTTACTTCTTAATGGTCAAATACACTGATGAAGATGCATTTAGAAGGTAGGACAATATTTCATGGTGCGCTGTAAGGATATATTTTATCCTAGAGCCAGCTTAGGCCTTTAGAATTACTAATGTAGCCACATCTTTTTCTCATTATAAGTATGTGTTACAGTCCCTATGAGTTCCAAGTAATTCCAAGGGATGACAAAGAAGAGACGAAGATTTATGGCCTCGGCCTGGAGTCAGGGATTTGTTCCCAGGTTCCTCAGACCTTCAGAATCAACAGCAGTGAAACTGGGAAGCCCCCAGAGACTGTGGTTATGATGACTCCAAATGGTTAGATGATACTTTTTCTCAGAGCACATCAGAAATCTGGATGTCTAAATGAATGTAACAGTCAGGGTTATATGTCTTCAGGTAAGACTGAACTGGTGGACATCAAGGACAATGGAGATGGAACCTACACAGTGAACTATTCTCCCTCTGTGGAAGGCCCTCACTCTTTGATGGTCAAATATGCAGATGATGAGTCTTTTATCAGGTGAGATTTTTTCAGGCATACAGCATTGGTGTCATAGTTTTTAGACATAAAGTACTTTGGGATGATCACTCGCTCACTCACATTTAGCAAGCTAAAAATTCTTACTGCCGTTAGTAGTCACAGAGTCAATACTTTTGATGCTTCATAAGAACAGTGCTTTACTTCACTGACATTGTGTCATTGCTCTATTATCCCTCATTGACAAGTTGTTGCTTATTGCCTACATACATGCATGTGCTGCATTTATTTCAGCTCATTGAAGTTCCACGTCTTGCCTACAAATAAACAGAAGGGAGGAAATGAAGAGCAGAGAGACACAGTAGAGATTTCAGACCAGAAATTAAACACCGGAATCCATATTGAAATGCCCCACACTTTTGCTTTAAAGTGCAGCAGCACTGGAGCAGCACCAGAGACCGCGGCAGTGGTCAAACCTGATGGTGAGATCTTCATATGTATTTGCCCAGCACTGGATTCAGATACATATTGTTGCAGTTAAAAAAGACAAAAAACGTGTATCTCATTACATTGACTTATAGTGAAAGTGTGATTTCCTGTGAAGTTACCATTTTTTGGGATACTTGTTTTTTGTTTTTTTTGACAGCGACAGTGTGTAAATTGTGTATTTTTATTGTGATTTTTAGGTACCATAGATCTACTAAAAGTACTAGACAATGCGGATGGGACATATCACATGACCTACACTCCATCTGAAGAGGGTGCACATTCTCTAGTTGTCAGATATGCTGGTGAGGAGGCTTTCTGTAGGTAAGGCTGTGCGGCAACAGTAAATCAAACAAACAAAACATGCTCATAAAAATAATGGTGCCAAAGGGAAGGAGTGATGCCAGTGGAGATCCATCTTTGGTTCCCTCAAGAACCTTTCAGTGCATGGTTTTTTAAAGGAATACCCCAGCAATGGTTCTTCTACAGCATCACTTCAGAGAACCCTTTTGGCACATCTGTTTTTAAAATTGTAATTTTCAAGACAAGAAGCTAGTAATTGTTGCACTGTTGTCTTTGTCCTGTTGCTGTTTTTGACAGTTCAACCGAGTTTAATGTCCTGCCTCAACATGATCTGACCACTGAAACGGCCCTGGATAGCAAAGTGAGAATCCATGACTTTGAAATTTCTTTATGTAATATCATCTGTAAAAGACACAGTGCTAACATTTCCAGCACTTCACAGGTTTTGGGCAGAGAAATTACACCTTTAGGCTTCACAAATCAAGCAGGACTCATGATGTTTGACATGGTGATGCAGTTGGGTGAAGGCGAAATCTCAGGTGAGAGTTCATGGATTCACTGACTTCTTTTCAGAGTGAAGATGGTTGTTTCTAATCATGTTTCTAATGTCATCCTCAGGTGAGGTTATAATGCCTTCTGGAATGACAGCACAACTTGACATCATTGGAAATGGTGATGGTACCATCACACTAAAGTTCAGTCCCACAGAGGAGGGTCTACATCATATTCTCATCAAATCTCCAGCTGAAATACCAGGTCAGACATTACCTTACCTTCTTAACACATACTTTTGGGACCACCAGTGAAAGTGCTTTCATTTTGCATTCTAATGTAATGCAAAGTTTTTCAAATTACATTAATCAATATAAAGATTTCATTGAATTTCTTTGTATTTAGTACACCAATCAGGCACAACATTATGACCACCGCCTTGTTTCTATGCTCATTGTCCATTTTATCAGCTCCACTTACTATATAGGTGCACTTTGTAGTTCTACAATTACAGACTGTAGTCCAATTGTAGTACTACAAAGTGCAGTAATTGTAGAACTACAAAGTGCACCTATATAGTAAGAGGAGCTGATAAAATGGACAATGAGTGTAGAAACAAGGAGGTGGTCATAATGTTATGCCTGATCGGTGTATGTGCCCTATTTGCTTTAAAGTTGGCATGTTTTCAAGACAGCATGATCAGTTGCATTGATTTAAGCTGGATCAACACATTTTCACATGTGAAATTATTTGTTGTGTAGTAAACTGATATCTTCAAAGCAAGCACTTTCATACTGATCTACATATAACAGCATATTGATCTTGTTGCGACAGATGGAGCAGTGCTTAAGGCTAAATATCCCATCCGATGGGATATTGGCCACTAAAAATTTGTGCAAAAGCCTCTGATAATTAGATCAAATCCATCTGAGAGTAGTTTGAACACGTGCTTTACAGGAAAAGAAAAGGCTAAAAAACTGGCCCTTTTGTATAAAGGCCCTAACATGGTCACTATCACAAATTGCTTCAGTTTGAACAATGACTTACAGAAACTTTCATTTTACTTGTCATAAGTCATCTTTGTTTAAAAAAAAAAATCTGTGGTCTATTTCCAGGTTTAATCCAGATTGTCAGTATGGTCTAGGGCATTTTGACCCCATTGTAGTAATAAAATTTAAACTTATTCTGCAGTATATTACTATACAGTTACACCTCCATTCATTTGTAATTATCTTTTCCTGATTTCTTAATATAAAGTAGTAACATGCTAACAAAAAGTCCAATCTTGTTGCTGTACTCATTTGGGTTATATTAATTGTTAGATCCCTACTGTCCTTTGCTTATGTGGTGCATTTCATTCCAGTTTGTTAGTACTTGGTGAATTTGAAACCCTGTTGCTCCACTTTATCTTGAAATAGAAGCTTTTTATATTAATGCACACTTGTGTGATTGTGTAATGACAAAAGTGAATGGAATTGCATTGATCTAAGCTGGATCCACACATATGAAATGATTTGTTCTATAGTAAACTGCTCCCTTGTGTATCCTCAAATCAGGCACTTTCATACTGATCTATATATAACAGCATCTTGATCTTGCTCAAGGCTAAATATCCCATCCAATGGCAAGAACTGATTGTATGCTAAGTGCTGAGACAGTCCTATTTAAAATGAAAGTTCTTCCTCTAGAGTTCTCTCTGCAGTACTATGTGAACAGTTCCATGAACCGCAGTATGAAAGCTCATGGGCGTGGGCTGGTGTATGGAGTTACCCATGAAACAGCAGCCTTTACCATTTACCATGAGGATACAGCTATAGGTGAGTAACTCACTTCAATTTATCAAACTGTAATGATTTATCATAATATACAATTATTAGTACTAATCTGTTTTACTGTCCTTATTCCACTTACTACTGCAGGATAACAAGGGAAGATGGTGTTCCTTGCCTAAATTTAACAAAATAATTATTTTACATTTCACCACCAGGTGGCATCACAAGTGAGAATCAGTCTGTTACACTCACCGGCCACTTTCTGGCCACTTTATTAGAAGCGCCTACATTATACACTATGTTGCCAAAAGTATTCGCTCACCCATCCAAATCATTGAATTCAGGTGTTCCAATCACTTCCGTGGCCACAGGTGTATAAAACCAAGCACCTAGGCTTGCAGACTGCTTCTACAAACATTTGTGAAAGAATGGGTCACTCTCAGGAGCTCAGTGAATTCCAGCATGGTACCATGATAAGATGCCACCTGTGCAACAAGTCCAGTCATGAAATTTCCTCCCTACTAAATATTCCACAGTTAACTGTCAGTGGTATTATAACAAAGTGGAAGTGATTGGGAATGACAGCAACTCAGCAACGAAGTGGTAGGCCAGGTAAAATGACAGAGTGGGGACTGCATTGTGCCAAGTGTAAAGTTTGGTGGAGGGGGGATTATGATGTGGGGATGTTTTTCAGGAGTTGGGCTCGGCCCCTTAGTTCCAGTGAAAGGAACTCTTAATGCTTCAGCAAACCAAGAGATTTTGGACAATTTCATGCTCCCAACTTTGTGGGAACAATTTGGGTATGGCCCCTTCCTGTTCCAACATGACTGCGCACCAGTGCACAAAGCAAGGTCCATAAAGACATGGATGAGAAAGTTTGGTGTGGAAGAACTTGACTGGCCTGCACAGAGCCCTGACCTCAACCCCACAGAACACCTTTGGGACGAATTAGAGCAGAGACTGGCCTCCCCGTCCAACATCAGTGTCTGACCTCACAAATGCGCTTCTGGAAGAATGGTCAGAAATTCCTATAAACAGACTCCTAAACCTTGTGGAAAGCCTTCCTAGAAGAGTTGAAGCTGTTATAGCTGAAAAGGGTGGGCCGACATCATATTAAACCCTATGGATTAAGAATGGGATGTCACTCAAGTTCATATGCGTGTGAAGGGTGAATACTTTTGACAATATAGTGTAGGTCCACCTTTCTGGTGTTTCATTATAGACTATAGCCATCATTTATGTTAGCCATCCTCTAGCCCCATTACATTAGTTTTTTTTTTGGCTGTAATCCTAGCACTGACACTGACATGTGTAAAAGCTCTAACTGTGCCTATATTGCTAATTCATATTTGTAGATCTGTGATACAAATAATAATATGAGTTGATTTGTGTACAGCTCATTTGTATAGAACCTTTCTTGGATACAAGTGAATGCAAAATTTCTGAAATGCTGCAGTGCTATTATATATTCAAAGACTGAAACATTGTTGTCATGTCTTTGTATAAGTGAACAGAGCTTATGAGTACAAGGTCAGTGTTTCTTGTCAATGAAAATGGATATCTGTAATTATTTCAGGAGAACTGGACATTACAGTTGAGGGAACGTCTGAATCAGAGGTGTGCTGTTTTGATAATAAAGATGGCACCTGCACTGTGACATACCTGCCTACACAACCTGGTGATTACAAGATCCAGGTCCGGCATAATGACATGCATATCAGTGGCAGCCCTTTTAAAGCCAAGATCACTGGTAAGAAAAACTCAGCAAATCACAAAACCCCTGATAGTGTCCAGCTCTTTCAGCTCTAGATGACAGTTTGATGCACACTTTTCCCACTTAATTCCAACCCAGATGGCAGCCTGAGGAAATCTCAGGTCAAACTTGGCCCTGCAGTGGACTTTGCTCTGGACATTACAGAGGAGGACATCAGTCTGCTCACCACAAGCATATCATCACCCACAAGACAAGATGTGCCCTGTTCGCTAAAGAGGCAACCTGACAGCCATATTGGTGAGAAATATAAGAATGTATATGTTACAGTACAGGAAAAGGGTCATGTTTGGATCATTGGACCATGTTATGGAATTTCTTCAGAATTAGTGGTATGAATGCTTACCTTACAGTCATTTAAGTAAATTATGATTCTTAAGGAATAATTCAGTGCATGGCACCTTAAACTTCACTACAGTTTGATTATTAAAAAAAATACACTGAATGCAAATGTCAGTGGGGAATGATTTACACAGTACTGGAATATGGACAATAAAAACAATACACTTTTTTCTTTTTAAGTCAGAGAATTTTATTTTGGCCAAAGTGAGTGCATACCTCAAAGCATATGTTAATTTAATAATATTACACCCTCAGATTGATGCATCATGATGCATTAGATATATGAAGATGAATCAATATATATTTTAATGTATGGTTGTATGCAAAAATTACAATTTTTGTTTAATTTTTAAAAAAAATAAGAGCACAACTTCTATACTTCTACACATTTTGATGCACAATTAGTTTATTTTCTGAATTTAATTTATTAGTAAAGAAATTAAACAGACAATTTGGCAGAGCAAACATTATGGCACATTTTATATTTAATGTTATATTTATTTTTTATTTTTTTAAGTTTCCTGTCGAGGATGTGGTAAATCATTTTCACTTAAAAAATCAACAGAACATGTAATTTGACCAGAGGTGTTCAAACTTTTGCATCTGAGTATACATGACAGCCTCTATACTATTCTTTTATACAGGTATATCGTTCATTCCTAGAGAGGTGGGAGAGCATCTGGTGAGCATTAAGAAGGATGGAAAGCATGTGAGAAGAAGCCCGATCCCTGTGTGCATTAGCCAGTCAGACATAGGTGACGCCAGCAAGGTGAAAGTGTTTGGACTTGGCCTGCACAGTGGACGTACTAACCACATATCTGAGTTTGTGGTCAACACACGGGATGCTGGTAAGATGACTTATAAATACATTTGTTGAACTCTGCACTTTTTTTAGAAAAATTTACTTTACTCATCTTTTTATGTCTGTTCTTGTGAATTTAATTCTAAATGTTTCTAGCTTTCTCCTATTTACTTACTGTGATATGGCCTGCAGGCTACGGTGGCCTGACTGTTGCCATAGAGGGCCCAACTAATGTAGTCATTCACACAGAGGAGTTGGAGGGTGGAGCCTGTAGAATATCATACTGCCCAAGCAAACCAGGCACCTACAAAGTGTCTATCAGATTCTCTGATGAGCACATACCAGGTAAACTATTACAAGTGATATTACATCAGTTACCTTAGCCTATCAGCGCATTAGACTGAATTAATATAATTGAAATTAAATGTGAATGATCACAGGGTTCTGGTGTTTCTCCACAGGGAGCCCTTTCTTAGCAGAAGTGACAGATGGTGAACTGATGAGACAGAGCATCACTCACTACCAGAAACCACCTTCGACTGCCAGTATAGGCAAAGAATGCAGCTTAACATTCAAGATATCTGGTAGAGTATGAGCTTGAATATGTATCTGGGTGCCTTTAGGCCTGTTGTAAAAGTATGAGTTGTGTTGTGGATCATTATTGTTTGCTTATAGGGCTCTGCTGGCTATTGTGTCCAGATTAGAACTTTAAAGATTAGTTTTTGTTGTATATTATTAATCCATATATATGTGCTAATTACATAACATTTTATAGTGGTAAATTTGTTCATGGTTGTGACATCACTATTCAAAACTAAAAAATCTAATCTTCATTTTAGGAATTGATGTGGAGTCCATGTCTGCCAAAGTGTCTGCTCCTTCAGGGATGGCAGCAGAAGCTATGGTCGCTGCCACACATAGGGACACCTATGCAGTGAGCTTTGTGCCAGAGGAGATGGGCGTGCACAGTGTGAGCATGAAGAGCCATGGCCAGGAGATTGAAGGCTCTTCTCTACAGTACACTGTTGGACCTCTTGGTGAGGGAGGTGCAGCCAAGGTGCAGACGTGGGGACAGGGCCTCCACAGGGCTCACGCAAAGATACCAGGTATCACTCCGCAGTCTTTAGTGGTGTTTTATAATCTTGGGCTAGACGTCCCCAGTAATTCACTGCTCGGTGTTTTCCCTGATTATCAGTTATCTAACATTTCCTGAGCTTATCAGGCCTGGGAGAAACTCTAAGCTGTGAAAAGATGTGGGAACCACTGCTGTGCAGTCTAGGCAAAAGTTTGGGCACCTCAGGTTATACTATGTCTTGTTGATGTTAGTCCTGCATTTTTTAAATGCGTAGTTACCATTTATTTGCTAAATTGAATTTTTTTTGTTGTTTTTTTTCTAATTAAAAAATTCAGCAAATAAGTAGAAATTGTGCATTTTTGCAGAAATATGGCATATTCAAGTTTGTAGCAGATGTCAACAAACATGCAATTTAAACAGGGGTGCCCAATCCTTTGCATAAGATTGTATATCGCTGCTGTCGGAAGAAAACCTCATATCTCCATTTTTGTCGTTTTTCAGGTTTTGACATTATTTGAAAATACCCATTGTCCTTTACATTGTGTGAAAATTTGATGAAGAGTGGACCAAAAGAAATGCCAAATTGGCTTGGAAAAAAGTCTGGTTCCATAGACTTACATTAAAAGTAAAGCAGGTTTTTTCCTTCTCCTGTAAAGTTATCATCTTGGAGATACGAGGTTTTCTTCCGACAACAGCGATATGTATGTGTAGTGTTGTGATAGTAATGATAATATAGTGTAAATGGTGTTACTTGGTGTAGCTTTGGATGGCCCACCTGTTTTAAAATTAAAATGACTTGCTGATTTTCCACAATGGATTTGCATGGATGTGTTTCATGTCTGCTGAAAATTATTAATCTGTCGTGTGACTTGAACTTGGGAACACTTTATTTTGATGGGCCACATTGTGACTTTGTAGGTGCTTATCTTGTCATTAACTTTCATTCAACTCAATATCTATTAAATTAACCCTACCTTTTCACTAAATTTAAACCTAACATCACTTAAATGCTAATCATTGATGATCTCCAGCTGTTGTCTAGGGGACCATCAATGTAAAGTTTGATACTGAAATGAAGTCACATCTTCTGAATTTACTGATTCTCCTTTGCAGCTGATTTTAATATCTGGGCACGTGAGGCTGGAGAAGGCAGCCTGTGTGTCTCAGTGGAAGGACCAGGACACACTGAACTCCACTTAGATGATCACAAAGACGGATCCTGCAGTGTATCCTATACTGTTGAAGAGCCTGGTGAGATTAGTTTATGAAGTTACTAAGGAAAGGATCTTGCGTCAGCAGTTATTTGTTAGTCCATTCTTTTATTAGTACAGTTGGAGTCAGAAAGTACAAGAGAGGTTTAGATGTGCAAATTTACTCCAGCAACATTTTCTGATATGCAAAACTGTTCCTGACAAACCACATACACACAACCGCACCTCCACTACTGCATGAGATGATTCAGCAATGCGGAAACTGGTGATGGTGTTACTGAAGTGCAACCAAATAGTCTAGCAGAGATTGCCAAATTCTACAAAACTGACTGTTATTTAAAGTAAATCTGTTTTTTTCCAAACCCACAATGTGCACTTGCTCACCAAGCCAAATATTAACTATAGGAACCTCTTTCGTTTTCCAGATATACGTTTTCTAGCTGTGAGGAGAACATAGGACAACATTTGCTGCTGGGTTCTCCCTAAGTGTTAATATTGCTGTGATATTCTTAAAATAATTGAGTAACGCTGGTTTTACACCTACATTCAGTAATCTTCATCAAACTTCAAAGATGTCTATCGTGCAATTTAGAGCAAAAAGCTGTGAGAAAAAGATGCTTATGTTAAATTAAATTTGTCACAAATTGGGGAAACATTTTGATAACACTGATGATGTTTTTTTCTTTGTAAACTATTATTAAAATATGTATTAATTATGTAATGCTTTAAACTGAATGAGACAATTCATTTTTCCCCAAGTGTTCTCTCAACAACATATATACATTCTCTCACAGTGACCTTATACCATCCAAAAAAGGTGTAAGAATAGCTTGTAAAAGGGCTTAAAAATGGAGAAAATGTGTCCTGCATTGATATCCAGTTCTAACCAATTATCTGTAATATTAGGGTATATTATACTGTAGTCCTAACACTGCAAGCCCTCCAACAAATGTAGTCTGGATGGCATAAAAAGGGGTTCCTAGCTGTGAGTAAAAGAAATGATGCGTATTCGAATATGAACTGAAATGCCAAATTCTGATTGTATTATGAATAATGGTGCTGTGACTATAAGTGATTTGCCTAATTGTACTGGTGAAACAAAATATTCCTTCTATATCATGTCCTCCTGCACTGTTCCTTTTCCAAATAAAGAGGTCAGTAGCATTATGACACATCCACATAATAATACCACGTAAGTTTGAGGCCCAATAATAAAGCTGAATATTTGGAAAACCACTTTAATATTTGAATTCATACAGATGTTTTTCCATATTTGGTGGGACTTATAACCTTATAAAAATGGATAAATAATTTAATCAAGTTAATCAATGTTTTGGAAGACAGTATTTGTGGGAGGAATATAATTTTATAGCATTGATTTGACCCACTAAGGAAATTGGCAGTGTTGTCCAGAAACATTTGTTTGATTTTAACTTAAAATAAAAACTAGATTTAAACAACAAGAAAGGTTGACTGGTAACCTGTCAGTTTATTTTTAAGAGTTTGTGTGTTTCAGGTGACTACCAGGTGTCCATCTTGTTTAATGAGGAGCACATTTCTGCAAGTCCTTTTCTTGTGTCAGTCAGCTCCCTCACTGAAGATGGAGAGAATTCTCTAGAAGGGTTAGAAACCACTGGTATGTACAAATATCACTTTCATTTGCACATATTGCGGAAATAATATAAAGGTTATTTGTAATGTGATAATTATTGTAATAACTGTAATTTATTCATTATATTTTGCTGTATTTTTTTACTCATAGATCATGAGCTGATGAGTAATGGCTGTGCTGAATCCTCGCAGCCTGGGTCAAGCCTAAACTCCACGTGCACCTGCAGTGCTGAGTCTGTTCTTCTGTCTAATGTCTCTGAAATCACCAGCCATGGGCCAGGACTGAGTGAGGCTAGTATTGGTCAGAAAAACACCTTCTATGTAGACTGCAGCAAAGCTGGTAAGTTCACCACCTTCCTCAAAGCCTTCTACACTGTGACAACCGTGCACAGCACTTTTATTACTAGTATTAGAAAATGTATGCAAAACTTTTAACAAACATCACTGGAATCATCATCATAATCTGATTACAGTAGTAGTGCCATTTTTTTAATTGTAATGGTGTACTGTGTATTTGTGTTCCACAGGGAGAAATATGCTGTTTGTTGGCATGCTTGGGCCCACAGTTCCCTGTGAGAGAGTGACGGTCAGACACTTGGGCAAAAATCAGTACAGTATCAACTACACTGTTAAAGAGAGGGGCAAATATGTATTAGCAGTGAAATGGGGGGATGAGCACATACCCGGCTCTCCATTCCACATCAATGTATTATGAAGACTTCCAGACCTTTAAGGCCCTAATCGGCATATTTTAATAACATATAAATGGATTGTTAAATAGTTTAATCTGCAAACTATTAAAATTTCTGTATATCAATAAAACAGGAGTACTCTAAACAATAAAAGTGAAAAATGCTAAAATACATTAACCAAAGTTGCTGCCTCTTCCACATTTAATATGCAGTGATAAACATTTTCAGGAGACATTTTTAAACAGATATTTCTGATTAGATATAAGATAACCAACTTGCATAAGGACAGAGAAAGTCAAAGGAAAATAAGTGAAAAAAAACATTAGAAGATGTAGAGAAATGGAACTTCTAACAACGGCACAAGACCATGTAGACCACCAATACTGTTACCTTCAGATAAATCCACAGGAGTTTCTGTCCATTTTTCCACTGTGAGAAGACAACTCAGCACTATGAGTCTGAAAATATGTGTAGCTGTCAGAAAAAGGAACTAAAGAAAAAACAAGAACATTTGCAAATCAAACATAGAAGCTGCGGGTGTTCTCAGAACAATGGACTCACCACACCAGACCTCAGATCACCAGACACCAGAACACCAGAGTCTAGACCTCAACATCATTGTGTTTGGGATTATTTGTAATGTGAGAAGCAGAAAATTCCAAGACTGAACTTCGGAGATGTGGAAAACTATCCCTGCACATTTCTTTGAAAAATGAAAGGAAGTCTCCCGAAAAGATTGGAGCTGTAGTAAAGACAAAATGTGGACACACACACATATATGTATAGCTATTGATGCTTCTGTGTAGTTTCTGTTAAATGTATGTTTTTTTCTGAAAGTTGGTCGTTTAGTCTGGCGAATAAATGAAGGGTCTCTGACTTTTACACTGTTCTATATGTGCATCAAAATAAAATAAACATCTTGTACTATTATTATTTACTGTAATGATGTCACTTTGTATGGAGTGAATTTTGTGCCAAATGTATCAAGTAAAATAATAAAATCCACAAGCAAAATTTTAAGTATCAAATTCTCCAAAATCTGTTGCAAATACAAAGTATAATTTTGCTGAAATCTTATTTTTTGCTTCTGGAATCTTTCTTTTGCTTCTGACTTTTGCCACTTTTATCATTCCAAATCAGTTGACCTGTAGAGAGTACAGGTGAACGCCCTCTTCTAAGACCCATAGCCCGTAAACTGTGAAAGCAAAGACTGGAATGAAAATGAGTAGCAATCTTTTGATAAAATTAAGTTTTTATTTTTACTGAGTCATTATTTGTATTTGCAATATATTTTTGAGACTTCAAAACGTAAAATTCTGCTTGTGGATTTTATAATTTTATTTAAACTTAAAAAAGCTTGTTTTTCCATAGTCAGGACCCCCATGGACCCTCACAGAGCAGGTACTATTTGGGTGGTGCATCATTCTCAGCACTGCAGTAACACTGACGTGGTGGTGTCTCATCTGATATCTCATCTGCTGCTGTACAGTTTGTGTTGGTCATCCTCTAGTCCTTCATCAGTGGTCACAGGACGCTGCCCACAGGACACTGTTGTCTGGATATTTTTGGTTGGTGGACTATTCTCAGTCCAGCAGTGACATTGAGGTGTTTTAAAAACTCCAGCAGCACTGCTGTGTCTGATCCACTCAGACCAGCGCAACACACACTAACACACCACCACCACATCAGTGTTACTGCAGTGCTGAGAATGATCCACCACCCAAATAGTACCTGCTCTGTGAGGGTCCATGGGGGTCCTGACCACTGAAGAACAGGGTAAAAACAGATGGTCTGTCATTGTACAACTACAAAGTGCACCTATATAGTAAGTGGAGCTGATAAAATGGACAATGAGCGTAGAAACAAGGAGGTGGTCATAACGTTATGCCTGATTGGTGTATATTTCAAGGTGTTGTAATGATACTAGTGAAATGTGTGAAATCATGAATATGCTACTATAAATAAGCACATAAAAATCTCAACAGTGAGTTTAATGAACTTATAATTAATCATAATTATAATAATTATCAGTATGTTAATATATTAATTACTTGTAATTATTAGTACATTGATACACCTAATATTATTGTAATCCTTCTGTGTCTGTGTGAAAACTGCTAAATATAGAGCAAAAGGAGAATGTTGTGGCCTAACTGCATTTCCAGCTGAACTGATCTGAACTGATCAATGAACATGTTTCTGTGAGAGACCACTGCACACATTTGTCTCCTGTGGGCTCATTTCATTGTTTGACATCACGGTAAGTGTCCAGAACACATGGAGCGATGAGGGATTATGAGAAGACACTATGAAATCTGAATGGGAAATTGAATTGTTATCCAAGTGATGCAGTCCTGCTGAAAACAACACAAACTGCGCTGAATCGTCTGGGAATTCTACAGTCAGGTATGTTTGTCATTTATTACCTCTGCTGTGATCCAGTGTTATGAAAACCCAAGATTAATTTTTGTTGTACTACATTTATTTGAGTAAATGAACCTTGATTCATCTGTGTTGCAGTAACGTTTGAACAGATATAAAATCCTCTTGACCTCATTGCTGTTACAAGACTGTTCAATTCTCTCTTCACACAATATTGCGTTAAATATATATGCATAGTATGTGAACTATATTTTTATTTTTATTTGTATTGCTGTTGCTGTACTCACAGAAATATAAGGACAAAAGGATTTGTACATTTTATAATCTCATGATCCAAAAAACTGGGTTATGTATTGATTAGTCCAACAGATGCAGACAACCCTCCCCCATCATCCATCTCTTGTTAATCTGAATGCTGGTGTTTGCATTGTCTGGTAATCAAATAGATGCAACCGTAGTGTTTCGAATTCATTTTTTTCTTAATGTAATCTTCAATCTGGATGTCTTTCTGAGCAGAATCTGTTGCACTTGGTTTAATAGACTTCTCACTGACTGCTGCCAGTCCTACAGCTGTCATGGATCTGGATGTGCTGAACTTGTTTGCCATTGCCATGGGGACGCTGGCTGTTCCCATTCTACTTTTCATGGCATCCTTCATGCTGTGGCCTTCATCACTCATCAAAGTTTATTACTGGTAAATAAACCTGCAGCACTGTGAACCTGATTTTCTTGTGTAATATGAGAAGCATTTATCAGCGCAGTTTAGTTTCCAATGATTGTTTATGTCAACAGTTGCCAACCCAGTAACACTTTATTATATACAGTCAAAAAAGTTCACCATTTATTAGCTCTGCGGTTATGAAAACCCAAGATCATTTTTTGTTCACAGTACATTCATTTACTTATTTAAGTAAATGAGCCTTGATTCAGTGTTGAAGTAATATTTTCATAGAATTAAAAAGGTTTTTTCCTTTCCTCTGAAAGTCTATCTTTAGAGACTGTTCAATTAAAGCAGTAAGACCTGAGAGGTTGTGCATGACTGTGGTAAAATGACTGTCTCGCACAGCCTTGAGTAGGATTTTATAAACAGCAACGATAAACCAATGTCCAATACAGATTGTAGTTTATTATTGACAATAATAATCACAATAAACAGTTATTTAGCCAATGTAGGTCATTAGCAGTAGGCTTTGAACATTTCCATTGAGGTGAATTCAGGGTGAATTCAGCCAAGTTGGGACTCTTTGGTAAATGACGTAAAAGCTACACAAATCCTTTGTGTTTTTTTTTTAGGTTAAAACTGTTTTGAATGGACTTGGCCATTGTAGAACAATCATCTTTTTGTTGTTCAGCCACTCCTGTGTTGCTTTGGCCTGAGCTTAGGACTATTGTCCTGCTGAAAGGTGAAGTGTCTCTCAAGCTTTAGTTTTCACTGTCCTTCAATTTTAACAAGATGCTCAGTCCTTGCTGACGAGCATCCCCACAACATGATACTGCCATCACCATACTTCACTGTTGGGATGGTGTTTGTTGAGAAATGGGCAGTGTTTGTTTTGTGCCACACACTGCATTTTTAATTTTGGCCAAAAAGCTCCAAACAAATTCTGACAAATTCTCCAAAAGCTCCAGACAAATTCTTTCCAGAATTTCCAACCAAAACTTAACAATGAAATGAATACAATATTTGCATAGTTTAAATACAATTATGACGATTATATTACCAAAAAAAGTAAGATTACAGACCCCTTTTTTATTTCACAGAAATCATTAGGCCTTTTCTGAAGGATTCCCCACTGATATATGATATATGATATATGATTTTGCTGAGATCATCCTACATTACATCCTACATACGTTTGAAGTAGTGCTCAACCATGTTTGTAGTCAGCCTAACTTTGAAACCATTACATACTTTATTAATGCTTTTCATAACTTTTACAGCAGTTTTGAATGTGGTTCAGCCACAAAAAGTCTGTTTTTGTGTTTTTGCCAAGGTACTGGAGGCGAACTCTCGGCCTGCAGGTGCGCTATGCTGACTGTGGAGGATATCGTTTCTGTTACTCTTACAGAGGGAAGCCAGGCTTCAGGCCTTCGATCCTTATGCTCCATGACTTCTCTGCACATAAAGACACGTGGCTCTCTATGGTGAAGGTGTGTACTGCGAGCTGTTTCAAGTGCTTTTTTATTGAAAACAACAAAGAGGTAATATGAGCCTGTGCCCTCCTTCTGAACAGTACCTGCCAAAGCATCTGCACCTCCTGTGCGTGGACATGCCAGGACATGAGGGTACAACACGTACCAATGTAGAAGACTACTCTATCCAGGGACAGGTTAAGAGAATACGGCAGGTAGGCATGTCAGAATTGCCAGCATAAAGCTTGCACAACAAAGCTTGCATTACAAAACATTACACAACGACAAGTTTGAACCCTTTCAACTGCACATGAGCAATGTGACAATATTTTATCAACATTGTGATACACAATATGCACTTCTGAGCATATTGATAGCATCAGTACTAAAAGAACAATGAACAACTGCATGCTTTATTACAAGAAGAGCAAAATTAGTCCTGCTTAACTGGATTGTTGAATAATAATCACTGTATCTATTATATGTAATAGCACTTTATAATGTGACACTACTAGTGTATTTTGGCTGAATTAACATTCAAAGATATGCATTGTGTATCATGAAAATGTATTTTCATGATATACTTTTTTCCATATCGCCCATCCTACTCATAACTATATAATTCACATATTAGATTTAAGTTTTTACCATATCATTTATAGTTATTACTGAACAATAAATCTTTAAGGGAGTTCCACAGATTACACAGAGATACACAAAATTTCTGCATAATTAAATCGATGAGATGTAAAAAGTCATTCTGTGTGGTTTGGTGTGAAATGGCTCATTGTAGAGGAAAAAACAACTCTGATTTCTTTATAATGGTGGTAATAGGAACCAGAAGTTGCAACGTCTAGAATGCAAATATAGCCATTTTATTTGCTATCCATACAAAAGTGAGTACCAGTGAACCTACACATCTTTTAAATTTTTAAATGTGATATTTAATTGTAAAACAGTGGTAAATCGAAAAAAAAATCTTTAGGGACTATTTTGCCTTATAACACCTTGCATGTACCTCTCCGCCATGAAATAAAAATATATGTTTTAGGCCAAAACCATAAAACTGTGTCAGACATCAGGTAACATATTCTTAACCATTTCATGTAATAACTTTTTGTGAAGTAGTTTTTAGAAGTATTGAACTCTTCAGACATCTGGTTCCTATTACCACCACTGTGAACAGTTCTGACTTGATAAGTTTCTATACAACAGAGCATTTCACACCAAACCACTCCAAATGACTTTGTCTGCATCTTAGTGATGTATTTATGCAGAAAATTGGAAGAATATGCATAATTCTGTCTTTAAGATTAATAATTTACTGGAATAATAAGCCTGCGTTTTTAGGGATTAAATGAATGCTGCAGTATCCTGTACATATACACTTCCTGTATCAGCCTGGTGAATCTGAGCTGTGTGTAATTTATCTGTTTGCCTCTTTAGTTTGTAGAAACTGTTCGACTGAACAGGAAGCCATTCCACTTGGTGGGAACCTCAATGGGTGGAAATGTAGCAGGAGTGTATGCGGCCTGCCATCCCTCTGACCTCTGTAGTCTGACACTCATCTGTCCAGCTGGTTAGTATAAACTCAAGTTATCGTGACAAATTATGTCACATCATGCTTTTCTTAGCATAGATATTGTGAGAACTTCTACAATGGTGAAGAACTGTTTCATAAAAAAGACAGATTAAGACCAATTTTTTAGAAAACAAAGATTTTGTTTGCGCCGTTTATTACTGCCTTCACTCAGACTGTAAATGAGCTTTTCCTTCTACCCCTCTGTTTCTTGTAAGGCCAAGAATATCATTAAAATATATACTTTCATGGTACTATAATGATACTGTGCACCAGTGTATCACAATTTAGGGTCCCACTTTATTTGGATGGTTCTCTGTAAATGATCTGCAGAGAAGAAACTTTGTGGTGAAACTTGATAGTTAGAGCCAGGAAATTAGGTTTAGGTTAGGATTGGTTCTGGTTTGAGGTTAAGTTCAGGGCAAGGGTCAGGTCAAGGTGATGTTAATAGATGTTTGCTCAAATGTAATTTAATGGCAAAGTTAAGTATCGCAAAGCCTCTAACAGGCCAAATAAATAAATAAAAAAGAGAAGAGTTGTGGAGTTTTGCTGCTCCACTCATGTTCTCCACCTCATGTTGTAACTCATTTCATCACTCCAGGTCTAAGGAACTCTTGCAAGACCAAGTTTGACAACCAGATGCATGAGCTGGAGAACAGCGAGTACACACTGAGCATCCCTCTAATCCCGTCTACCCCAGAGGAGATGGAGGACATGCTGAAGCTCTGCTCGCACGTACGCTTCAGAGTTCCCCAACAGGTGTGTGCAACCGTCTGGACATCTGTGGTGGGGTGCGTTTGGATTTCATGTCCAGACCAGTTCAGTATGTGACCATTTGCTATATTCTTAGATTCTTCAGGGACTGGTGGATGTACGGATTCCACACAATGACTTTTATCACGAAGGTCAGTCCTAAACAGTTTTCACTTAACAACAGATCTGCTTTTTGGTACAAATCTGATTCCAAAAATGTTGAGACAGTATGTGAAATGCTAATGAAAACAAAAGCAGTGATTAGTAAAATCTGTTTAACCTGTATTACCTTATGAACTTTTTTTTGTAAATATATGCTCATTCCTGCAACATCTTCCAAGAGGTTTTGGATAGGAACATTATTCCCTTTGTGTTACATCCACTTTCCTTTTAACAGCAGTTAATAAATGTTTGGGGGTTTGAAGACACAAACTCATCCACTTTTGAAAGCATACTTTTGCCATTTCTTTTCTAAGATACAAGTCTTCAGCTTTGCAACTGTACAGAACCTTTGTTGTTGTATTTTGAGCTTAATAAAACACATTTTCAATGAAAGACAAGTCTGCATGCAGCCCTGTCTAGCACATGCACTCTCTGGTTATCCAGCCATGCTGTTGTAACACATGCAGAATGTGGCTTGGTCTTGTCATGTTGAAATAAGCATTGACATGTCTGAAAAAAGACTAGAAGGCAGCATGTTGCTCCGAAGTGTGTTCAGTGTTAATGTATTCGGATGTGCAAGTTACCCAGTAATACTCCCCCAAATCTTGGCACACACTGTTCTTTGGCCCAGACAACACAACGTCCATCACTTCCATAAACAAGCAGAAAGGTTCACTCATCAGATCACAATACACGTTTCCACTGAGCATCAGTCCATTTCAGATGAGCCTGAGCCCAGAGAAGTCGGCAGCATTTCTGGACATTGCTGACATACGGCTTCCTCTGTGCATAGTACAGTCTTAACTTGCATTTGTGGATGCAATGACGGATGTACTACCAAGCCCAATTGGTGATATACATCACAAAATGCAGTATCGTCTGAGGGGTTGAAGGTCACGGCCATTCATTTGTAGTTTTCAGCCTTTTCCTTTATACACAGAGATTTCTTCAGATTATCTGAATCTTTTAGAATACTATGCGTTACAGAGGGTGGAATACCTAAAATCCTTGTAATCTGTCACTGCTGTTGGATTTTTTTGATGATGCATTTTTGCCAAAGTGGTGAGCCTCGACCCATCCTTGCTCATAAAGGACTTGGCCTTTCCTGGATGCATCTTTTATGTCCAAGCATGATTGCATCCCCTGTTTAAGATGTTTTTGAATGTTTCACAGTGGTCCTAGTCTTAAATTGCTCCTGTCCCAGCTTTTTTGGAAAGTGTCACAGGTATCAGGTTCAGAATGAACGTGTATTTACAAAAAACAATGAAGTTGATAAGGTAAAACATTAAATATCTTGTCTTTGTACTGTAGATTTAAAAATCACTACTTTTTGTTTATTATTTGCATTTTACCTGCTGTACTGAAATTGGTTTTGTATTTGTTTGTATAATTATAACCTTTCTGATGGTTATGAAATCTGAATTGCATGATTGTGCATTTCCTATACTTGTACATGCTTTTTTTTCATTTGTGTAGTTTTCATGGAGATTATGAGGGAGAACTCTAAATATGCCTTACATGAGCACATGCACCTGATAACTACACCTTTGCAAATCATCTGGGGGAAGCAAGACCAGGTATGTTTGCACAGCATGGATTACCAAAGTTGTAAAGTGAAATGCATTTGAATTCAGTAAAGGAGTCAGAAATCTTACTACTACACACAGATATGTACTTTTCTCACTTTCTCATTCTAGGTAGTGGACGTGTCTGGGGCATCGGTGCTTGCTGAGGCAGTGCCAGGCTGTCGTGTTGACCTGCTGGAGAAATGTGGTCATTCTGTAGTGATGGAGCGGCCGCGACGCACTGCCAAACTCATCTTAGAGTTCATTATCTCTCAGCAAAGTGTGGCGAGTGCCACCACCAAAAAGAAATTCTGAATAAGCATTGGAATACAGAAATATTGACACATTATTTAATGTGTTTCATCCCAAATACAGTTTGCTGTCCCAAAGAAGTAGATTACTTTATCCTATTGTCTTTTATTGTCATTTTTAAAGGTGAAACAGCTGCCAAAAAGAAAAATGCAAACATTTTTTGCATTGGACTCTGAGAGTGGTGCCACAAATGTCCCAAAAGTGAGATTTTTTTATTTTAAAGACTTGGAAACCCAGGGTGGGAGGAAACCGACAGGCACACTGGGGCAGATACATGTTTTCGTCTGAAAAGCTTTTCTTCCACTAGCTGACCACTGCAGAAGGAAGCCAGATTGCTTGCATTTCTGCTTGGAAGTTGAACATCATGTTTGTTAGTCTCTCCATCAGTGGTTGTTTGAGGTATTTGAGTAATGCATCCTGGGTATCGTAGTAAGAGAACATTGATGGATGAAAACACAGAAAGGATACAAAATCTGTGTTACAGAACACTACATAACATGACAAGTAACATATTAAAATTGCAGTATGTAAGATTTAGGGGGGATCTACTAGCAGAAATGGAATATAGTATACAAAACCAGGTTTACATTAGTGTTTAATCACCTGTAACTACGAACCGTTGTGTTTTTCTTAGCTAAGAATGAGCCCTTCATATCTACATAGGGCTCGGGTTCTCTTCCAACAGAGGTCATCATGTTGCTCCACAATATTTCTACAGTAGCCCAGAACAGACAAACCAAACACTGGCTCTAGAGAGCACCTTTCACGTTTTTAAGTGGCAGCTTGAATTTGGTGGCACTACAGCACCAGTTGGAATATAGAGAAAGAAGAATCAGTGGTTGCTGTCTGTGCTGGCTAACCATTTTGTGTTGTGAGAAGTTTAATGGCGGATCATGCTTATTATTTAATACAACAAAAAGGGAGGATGAATTCTTGTCTTCAAAGAACTGAAAACATGAAGAAACAAAACGAAATCAGGACAGGCAACAGCAGGAAACCTGACGGCCACTGTAGGTTCTACCACATTGGAAAGGGAGAGGTGAGGGAGGAGTATTCAGTTGGTTGCAATTTGCAACCTCGCCGCTAGATGCCACTAAATCTTACACGCTGCACCTTTAAATGCTAGTTTAAGCCCAGAGTGCCCCTTTAAATTATGCTGCTAATGATGCAGATAATACGATATGGGTACGATAATGTCTCCCGTAGACTAAATATTCATAGGAAATGTAGTATGATTCCTCCCCTCCCCTTTCCTGCAAATGCATTTAAAAGAATGAAATAAACAGAAAGTTATATGTGTCAGATGTTATGTGTCAGATATGATTTGTTTGCTGGTCTGGTTTGTGGGTTTGGTTGGTAATCTAAAGTTAAAAGCAACACTAATTTTTAAAAAAAAGGAAAAGATTTAACATTGCAGAAATATTGCACATAGAGATGTGTGCGGTTTGTAGCACAGATGTGCTCTTTTTCAGTCACCCACATCCATTAATGTGAGTGGCGCTTGTGTGTGTCACGTGACCAGCGCGGCTTCACAGCAGGCTTGAGCTGCATGCTAACTCACTACTGCAGTGCACTGTCCGCTCTGAACGCCAGCAGCCTCTTTTCCCATTCAAACACCCCGCACTGGGAATAGGTGAGCATGCGTTTTGCTTTATATCAGTTCGACGGTAATTGCAAAATGTATTTCTTTCATTTATTTATGTCCATTTCTTGACGTGCTGGCAGAAAGCTAAAGTTAGCTGTAGTAACTGCAGCGTTAGCCTCCCAGCTTTAACGGGCTAGCTCTGCTAATGAGCTACTAATGCTCATAGCTGGAATTTGCGGGATATAAACATCCGTCAGTGTGGTGAAATGTCGGTTAAATCACGAAAAACTCCTTAACAGATGAACACGACCTTTTTAAAAAGACTAGTAGCCATATATTTTCATTCCAAGAGCTGTTTACGATTTCAGTCACCTATATTATACCGTGGCTAGCTGGCTGTATAGAAAGCTAAAGGTAGCGTAACGTAGTGAGCTGCGTTACCTGGCTCCGTTACGAAGAGGTGTCCCATCCTTCCCCTTTGTGATGTGCGATTGGACATTTTGACAAAGATAATCGTCTTAGCTGAGGTTCTAATGTGGCTTATTAGATATTGTCTCATGTTTGTGGTTTGCTGACTTCAGTACTAACTGTACTGTGTCTCTCCTCACAGATCTAAACAACTATTCCCTGAACGTTCTCTGTGTGCCAGACCGGTCCAAATATCCTTATCAAATGGATAATGGGGACTGGGGGCATAGGGTAAACTATAGGGTTTTGACAGCTAAATAATGTTTTTTCTAGCTCTTTTATTTTTTTTTACTTCAATAAAAATTTCCACAGGAATCTAAATTCATTAAATATTTTGGTCAACATCACCTATCTGTCCTGTGTTTGTCTTCAGTGTCTTGTCAATCATCTTTTATAGATGACTCACCCAGTCACCTTAAATGTTGGAGGTCACCTCTACACCACTTCAATCGCCACGCTCCAGCGTTACCCGGACTCTATGCTCGGAGCCATGTTCCGTGGCGACTTCCCCACCACGCGGGACGCTCAAGGAAACTACTTCATCGACCGGGATGGGACTCTTTTCCGCTACATACTGAACTTCTTACGCACATCTGAGCTCACCCTACCAGGTGACTTCATGGAGATGGATCTTCTTCGCAAAGAAGCTGACTTTTATCAGATTGAGCCCTTAATCCAATGCCTCAATGACCCCAAGCCGCTCTACCCTCTGGACACCTTCGAACAGATGGTGGAGCTGTCTAGCACCCGCAAACTTTCTAAGTACTCAAACCCTGTAGCTGTCATCATCACACAGTTGACCATAACCACCAAGGTTCACTCCCTGCTGGAGGGAATTTCCAACAACTTCACCAAGTGGAACAAACATATGATGGACACAAGAGACTGTCAGGTGTCCTTCACTTTCGGTCCATGTGACTACCATCAAGAGGTGTCTCTTAGGGTCCACCTCATGGACTACATCACTAAACAGGGGTTCACAATCCGGAACACCCGAGTGCACCACATGAGTGAACGTGCCAACGAGAACACAGTGGAGCACCACTGGACTTTCTGCAGGCTGGCTTACAAAGTAGAAGACTGACAAACCTCAGAGTTGAAAACTGTGCTACATTTCCCATTCGGTTGCTGCTGATGCCAATGTTATAACTTAATTAAGCTGTATATATTTTAATGTTTATGTGACCAAACTCATTAATGAGGGGAAAGGGAAAAAAAACAAAGGGGAACATCAGGCAAGTCAATGTTATATTCTTCATGAAAGCAAATTTTTTTTCTCTTAAGATCTTTCAAGGAGGTCAAGACATGTTTAAATCCATCTCCAGTAGGAAAATTAAACTACCAGAAGTATACAAATCTTCAATCATGTAGTCAGTAAAAACAGGCACCAGATAATTGTTGCAAATAATCACTCTAGACAAAAAAAAGTGTGCACTATGTGCAACATAAAGGTGTTGATTGCATGTGTGCTTTTACCATATACCTGAAGTATTAAAATATCAACGTGTCCAAATGAAAATCCATTCCATTATTTTGTTCAGGGCAAGGTTATTGCTCACAGCTACAGTCCTACAAACGTGAGGTTTGAGTACTTGATGTTGGTTTCTGCAGGAAGCAGAATTTTTTTCTCTTTGCGAAGTTGCGATAATTATTTCTGATCTCTGTGCAGAAATTTAATGGTCTCAGTGTTAAAGATGTGATGATTCCACTTTTTTCCAATACAGATCTTGAAAACTCTAGCGTTGACCGATGTTGATCTGCTATTTTTTCTTTGATTTATTTATTTAATTGATTTTTTTATCAAGACACTTAAGAAAAAAGTAGGCCGTCATGTTCAGTCTACTTAAACACTCTGCCAACCCAAAGGAAGAGATGCACAGATAACAACATGACGTCACACGGTGTGAGAATGTGATATGCCAACTCTGCTAGGTATACAGCTGTGTTCCCCTGGGCTGCTTTTGTGATAATCTGATGCAGCTGTGCGGCTTTTTTTGTGAATCGTGTCCCCCCCAAAAGCCCACTTGGTACAGTCCTTGACTGGCCAATGAACGCACCCCATGACGTTTACACCGCCATATTCTGTAATGTCAGCCTCCAGGAGACATGCGAGTGTATGAAGAACGACGGGAAGGGCACGGAAATGTAACAGCCTAGTTTAAGTGTAACAGAAATACTCTTAATGGCACAAGAGTGACAAAGTCGTAGGCTTCATTGGCAACTAGGTGGCGGGACATTTCGAAGGAGAAGACATGATTAAAAAGAGCAAAAACCTGAAATATATCCTGAGTCTGGTACCGGGCAAACAGCGCTTTGGAATCTACAGATTTTTGCCCTTCTTCTTCTGCATTGGCGGCGTTATGGAGTGGGTCATGATAAACGTGAGAATAGGAAGAGAGACGTTTTGTAAGTAGCTCCTGATAAACATACAGCCTTCATGTGTTTCTGTGCACCAGTTGCTGCGCTGCCTTTGCGCAGTATGTAGTGCATGCCAGTCTTGGTCGGCCCGCCAGGGACGCGAGGCTGCTGAGGGTGCAGCTGCATCCCCAGATTTCAGGATTGCAACGGCTAAAAACAATAATAATACAGAGTTTTGAACTTTTTGATAAGTTGGAAGTAGCAAAGACCCACGTGTGTTTGTTTTAGAGGGGATTTTTTTTATTTACATATTATATTTTCACAGGTTGAAGTGCAAAGTGTGAAACTGTGGGCGTGACAGTCAGTTACCGCGTCACATATCAGCAATCTGATTGGTTGCCGCTCATTTCATTTGCATAATGATGTGCAGCCATAACATTAAAACCACCACCTTGTTTCCACACTCGTCCATTTTATCATCTCCCCTTATTACTATATAGGAGCACTTTGTAGTTGTACAATTACAGACTGTAGTCCATCTGTTTCTCTGCATTCTTTGTTAGCCCCCTTTTACCCTGTTCTTCAGTAGTCAGGACCCCCATGGACCCTCACAGAGTAGGTGCTATTTGAGTGGTGGATCATTCTCAGCACTGCTTGGTCGCTGCTCAGTTCATTTGCATAATGATGTGCAGCCATAACATTAAAACTACCTTCGTTTCCACACTGGTCCATTTTATCATCTCCCCTTATTACATAGGAGCACTTTGTAGTTCTACAATTACAGACTGTAGTCCATCTGTTACTCTGCATAATTTGTTAGCTCCCGGTTACCCTGTTCTTCAGTGGTCAGGATCCCCATGGACCCTCACGGAGCAGGTACTATTTGGGTGGTGGATCATTCTCAGCACTGCAGTGACACCGACGTGGTGGTGGTGTGTTAGTGTGTGTTGTGCTGGTACGAGTGGATCAGACACAGCAGTGCTGCTGGAGTTTTTAAACACCTCAGTGTCATTGCTGGTCTGAGAATATCTCAGAAATCTCCAGACAACAATGTCCTGTGACCACTGATGAAGGACTAGAGGATTCTCTACTGCTACAGTTCTCTACCCCTGGTCTAGATGCTAAATGTCTATGTTTGTCTTTCTCTTTAGATGATGTCTACAGGAGAAAACGCTCTGAGAGGGAGTACCAGCAGAAGATTGAGGACGGATTGATCGTACTTCCCGAGTCCGAAACAAAGCAAACTTAGGGATCATCTTCTTGGAAGTATACAAACCCAAACAGAATGAAACAAGGTGGAAGCTGAAACAAGATGCGGCTTTTCAGTGTGGTGAATTTAAGACTTTACTGCTGTCCTGTCAGTGAAATTTTCATCTTTTGCTCATGAACCAGTTCTGTAAACAGAGGCAAGAGACCATATCAGGAAAATACATTTCTTCAAGATAAATTTATTAACAAAAGATTAGAATATTGCGTCATACATTTACCAAATTCATGAATTTACTGTGAAACGTAATCTCACTGTATATGTTGCAACTTTCCTTGCCCTTTTCTTTACCTGTACCATGTTAAATAAAAATGAAGTAAAATGATTAACATTGCAAACGTTTACTTTCCCATATACCACATGCCCATAAAAACAGTATCTTACTAAGCTAAGTAAACACTTAGAGAACTTTGGAAAAAAAAAAGCTTCTGAAGCCTTCGTGTAGATGCTAAGAGTGCTTGGAATAACAACCAAACTACATCATAGTGAGGCCAGTTGCCATTTGGCCAGTCACAGAGGGAGTGCTCTCCAGACGTCCTCCCTTCTGTCTCTCCAGCTCACTTGTAGTGTCCAATTGGTAGAGCTCTCAGACAGATAAAGCTGTTGGGATGCTGGGCCAGTACCAGTGGATTCCCGTCCAGCCGCACCTCCTGCATGTTATACCTGATGTAGTGAGTGTCGTTGCCCTTGCAGAACGTTTCATCCGTCAGGGTAGTTATGTTATTGTTCTGAAAAACAAGAAAAAGAAGAAACGGCACAATTATTTTGTCAGTAGTGAAGAAATGTTAGTGGTGAGCTGCCTGAGACCAGATCTGTTTTTATTTTTGGACTAAATTTACTGTTGCGTGCTTCAGAAAAAGAGCCAGTCAGGCATTGATTGTACAATATATTGGTTAAATTTGAGTTACTTGACTTGCAGTTCTTTGTAATGTAATCTGTTTTTTACTTGCTTCCAGTTTCATAAACAAGTTGTTACATGGAGCAGCAGATTCCTTTCATTTTGGACAGTGTCTATTATCATATTGGTTCTCATATTAATGAATTGGGCTTGTGGAAATATGGGGCTTGTGTCACTAAGCACTCAAGCTCCTTTGGATTAGGAGGAGCGATAGATAAAGTCTAGCTGTCTAAAGTTGTTGATGCTACATCATGCAGTCATATGCAAATGTTCAAACTCCACTGGTGAAATGATGTGTTGTTGATTTTCCAAGTAAAAAATAATTTAACACATTGTCTACAGGAAACAAATTTAATGCTGCCATTTTTAGGCAAATTTTAATGCACAATTTTTATGTGCTGAGTTTAACATACTGTTCCCCAGTATGTTCAATTCAGCAAATAAGCAGTAACTGTGCCTTAAAGTGAGCAGAAGTGTGTACTTATTTTCACTTAGACAATCAACAATGTAATCTGACCTGGGGGCGCCCAAACTTTTTCATACAATTGTATATCATCGCTGTCCGAAAAACCAAGTGTCTCTAAAATTACTTTACAGGAGAGGGCAAAACCCTTTTTATTTTTAATGTTAGTTAATGTAAAGAGTTTTTTATTCCAAATGAATTTGGAGCATTTCGATTGGTCCATTCAAAATGTTCATACAATGTAATGGGCCGCTGCTGAGTTCAAAAACGATTTAGAACAGAAATAAAGCGGAAAAAAATTGGAAAAAAAAATTCTTTTGATAGAGATGATATATGACATGGAAGAAACTTACTACACTGGCATCTGGATTAAATTAAAATAGAAGAAAAGCACAAAAATTTGATACACATGCTTTTAGAAAGACAAATCACTCTTTAGAAAAGCTAATTCAATCAGATGCACACTGGAAAGAACACAGTTCCAGTTTTGTAACGTAATATATTACATTACTACACAACAATGTCAGCATGTGTATTTAAGTATAAAAATAATGAACAGACGTGAAAGTGGACGACTCGCAGACTCTCAGGAAGTGGTGGAATGGCCTCCAACTCGTTGTCACCAAGGTAGAGGTACACCAGCTTTTTGAGTTTCTATTCCAGAAGATGAAAACATGCCATTACAATGAACTCAGGCTTTATAAGTGAAACATCAAAGACATTTATAAAACGTTTACTACCCCTCTGAAGTTACCTTAAAAGCATTTGTTTTGACGCCTTTCGTTTTGAGTAGATTGTGATTAACATTGAGACAGGTAAGTTTTGGAGGCAGCATTGGTAGTCTTATGAGCCGATTCTCCGCCAGAGTTAGTTCCTCCAGTTGGTCCAGTTTGGAGAATGCTCCATCCTCTATCTCAGAGATGATATTGCCAGTCAGGTCAATCCTTTTTAGTGTGGCTGTAATGAATGTAAATAGAAAAGCATTACGCAAAAACATCATACAACTATTAAGAGTCCATCACTGTGTGTCCCAATTCAGGGGTTGCATCTTTGGTTGCCACTGAAAAGAAGGACACATTTCTCTGCTGCATATGAAGGAGGCTTCAAAATGGGACAGCCTAGTCGCGCTGATGTGACGCAGTCGGCCTTCAAATGCAGCCTCCGAAGGATGCAGCCCCTGAATTGGGACACTGTTTATATAGTGTCCAGTTCTGACTGCTGGCCAAGCCACTGATCTATAGGCTAATAAACACAACAAGCTAACATTAGCATAAATCCACTTTAGTTATCAGAAAAAACAATAAAAAATAATCATTTGATCTTGATTCAGCACAAAATGGTAGACAGAAACAAGTTTTTTACGCTTTTAGCATGAAAAAGAAAACAAATTTAGCTACCTTGCTGAATTTAAGCCGTTACCTTGTTATTGTTGCCATGTGATGTCACTTCTGTCGTTCGGTAATCCATTCTCTCCATTGTAATGATGATTTAAACAGAGTTGCCACAGATATACAGTTGCAAAAAGATTTTTCACTTCTTAGCAGTTACTATCTTACCTAGTCCCTAAGGGGCCATCATTAAAAATCGCCATTAAGCTCCCTCAATTTTTTTTTGTATTCCCTTACAAATGCAATGGATTTTGCAAGGAAACACAATATTATTGCAAATATTTTTGTTTATGATGCTATTTTAGGGCTTTTTCCTGCATTAAATAAAAAATGTTTCAAACAGCCCATCATCAAAATCCACCCAAAGCAGGTACAGTTTTCCAAAGGTCCTCCCACCTTCAATATGCCTTATCAGATGTTTTCCTAGTCCTTAAACTAGAAAATCTCACTCCAGAGACAACTGCAACACTGATGTAGGATTCAAGTAGGCATGTTTACAACAGATGCAGCAATGGTTAAACTCTTCATTTTGGTTGGAGTCCCCCTTTAACAATTCTAAAATTAGCCAGAAAGCTCTTACTGATCTCAGAACACCCCCCGTATCAGAAACTTTGTTCTGGTTTGAACTGGTACTAAAAAGCATTTGGAAAATATCACACGATAGCTTTGATTACACTGATTCTGGGCCAGGCATTACACAGTCCATTCAGCCGCACCCCGACTAGTTCTACTCACCAATGTCAGCAAAGTCCTTGTTGGTAATTTTGGCAATTTTGTTGAAGCGTGCATAGAGGTACGCAGTCTCCTTCGGCAAAGCTGGCACTGTTTTCATCTCTGGGTTGACCTCCTCGCAATACACAGATCCAGTCAGACATACACACAGCAAGCAAGTGGGCAGATCTGGGAGGATAAAATGTTGTACTTGGTGTTCAATACTCTATAAAGTTTCAATATCCAATACTCTATAAAGTTTTAATACTCAGTACTCCATAAAGATGTGAATGTATCACCTGCATCTTTTTTCTCCAATGCTGAGTTTTGGTCATCTTCAGGATTTTCATAGTCTAAGACAACGACCTCCTTCTGTTTATCCAAAGAGTGACAAGATAATCACCACAGATCATAATATACTTCCTACATCATGCACCTAAAATCAGAAGCTTAGTTCCATGGTTGTTCATTTCAGATGAGTTACAGTATATTGAGCTGCTTACGCTACAGTGAGTTGGACACCATCCCGTTATGGATTTAACAGCTTACGCTTTCCATTGCATACCATTCCTGGATCCAGATTCATGATATCTGGCGTTCTGTGCATATATTTGTGAAAGGTTGATTTTCTCTCCAGTATTTTAGGATATATTGAGGAAAGTGCTGATGTAAGGTCATGATTTGAGGTCCTGCTTCTTTTCCTACAAAAGGCAGCAAAAGCTGCAAATAATTTGCTCCAAACCCATAATGGCACTGGCTTTTAGAAAACAGCCAGTTCTACTCAAACAAAAGCCTCATCAGTATCATCAGTATCTGACCTGAGCAGGGTCTTACCTTTGGTGACCTGGCCTCCATGAAAACTTCTTCATCTGTCTGGAGTCCTTCAAAGTTTTGTACTTCTGATAAGCCTCTGTTTCGAGGCTCCGTTTTCTGATTTCGTGCTGTTGCACAGAACGTCCATGGTACAATCAGAAGAGAGAAGAGTAACATCCTCATGTCCATCCTCTCAAGCTCTGTGAAGGAGCAGTGCTTGCCCTCGTCAGTGTGTGCGCAGAACTGAGAGGGGCAGTGCAGTGTGTGTCTGAAAGGAGAGACCTTTTAAAGCGATTTTGCCTCTCAACTACTGAGACTCTGTGCAAACGACTCTTAACCCACTGTGTGCTGTTGCATGTCAAGTCAGGTAGATGTTCCCTTATATTAAGAAGCACCACTTGCATGTAATCATGTTTAAGTATGCTTTTTGGCACTCTTATAAAGAGACGTGCAGGATTTAAAACTTTGCGGACGTGCTATGCGAGAGGGAAATATACAGTGCACCAGATGCTCTCAAGGAATTACAATAGGCAGATTTATTTGGGAATCTGCTAGTGATTTATGTACAGACGGTGTAGGCCTGGAAGTGAAATGGAAGCCCAGTGTTTACCTGGTTTAACGAGAGAGAAATGTGCAATGAAGTACGAAAGAACACTTTCATGGAAACACAGATACTTTCAGGGGGAGAAAACTTTGATTTGGAAAATGGGTAGAAGTTTGTCGGGAGGAAAAATCGAGTCAAGAACGAAGCAGAGCACCAGGATTGGAAATAAAGGACAGTGAGTTCAACAGGAAATTATTATTAGTTCAGGAATCTTGGCCCAGCTCATTTAAATACAGTGAACATTAAAGGATCCAAAGGACGTCTTACATGAAAAGAGTGTCACAGCTTTGTTCCACTGCCAGCTATGAAAAAATGTTAATGTCTGTCCGTCTGCAGCATCCAAAAGCTCTCTTCCATTACCCAACACAGCTGAGTTTATTGGAGGCATGGTGTGAGAAAGAAAAGCTTTTTGCTGTCTTTCTGTGCGTAAGGGGGGAAAGGAAAACCTGATGCAATACACTACTAATAAATTGTCAGAATGCATGAAGGAGAAAACCTGCACATAAAATTAATTTTTCCCAGACCCCATCCCCTTGCTGAAACCTCAACCCCTCCGCTGGTCCCCTGGGGTTAGCAGAAGAGACTGTGATAGATTTAGCAGGACAAGGTGTCCTCACACTTCATGCTGTGTTTACTTTCTACTTTAGACATGAAGGATTTTAATGAGAGAACATTTTGTTTGGACATTTAAACTCTTTCCATTCATCACTTGATAAGAGGAAGATAGATGGATGGAACTGGCAGGACAACATCTGCTCAAACAAATAGACTTTTAAAAGGCTCTTCCTCTCGCCTCCCGTTGGGTACTGTTACTTAAGCTAATGGAGAGGACCCAAGAAAACAGAACAAGAAACAAAAGACCAAAGATCCTCGCAGGCCGACTTACAGAGAGACCAACAAAAGCAGAAAAGAGGCAGAGAAAGGCTTGGAGAGAAAGATTCGACTTATTATTGCAGGCAGACCTTTCTTTGCCGTGCAGTCCGGATATTTCAGTGCCTGCAGCTGTGTATCTGATTCATCATGGGAACTGTGAATGGCTGAACAGATGTGAAAGTGTGCAGGGAAAGCCTGGCAGAGCAGCCCTGCATCACATGGTGCTGCTCAGCCGTTAATACATCACTGCAGGTTACATAAAGTGGCTACCTAGTTAATTTGCTGAAATTAGGCTTCTTGACCGCTAGGTATCCATAGTGTTATCTTCTCACAGTGGAAGGATGGACAGAAACACCTGTGAATTTTTTCAGATCTGAAGAGAGAAGCTTGATTTTCTCCTCTCTCTCAAAGATGAATGCTTTAAGGACTGTTTATCTGATGGTGACAGTTCGGGTGGTCTGCCAGGTCTCGCACAGTAGTTGAGAATCAATTGTTTTCAAACTTCAGTTCCAAAAATTCCTCTTTTTATTACTGTTTTTTCTTTGACTTTCCCCTTGATTATGCAAGTGGATTATCTAATGTCCCCAAAATATCTCCTGAAAAGTAAATAGCTTGTACTTAATAGTCATCTTGATTGTAGTTCAAATAAATGAAGGGAGGCCTGACTTTTGCACAGGACTGTACATCTGATTTTATGGAATGTGTACATTCTGGCTCTTCAAACTGCATAATGTTTCAGGCATATTATTTTATTTATTATAATGCTATAATGTTATAACACCAGACAATAACATTCTCTCCTAGAAGCAATTAAATTAATCAGCACGTATTTGAACACATAGGATCCCATCTAAAAAAAAAAACAACTTCTCAAGCTCTATTTTATGATTCTTGTGCAGTCACCTACTGCTGCTTACTGTTTGGCATGGCCTCTGAGTTTTAGTCTAGGTCCAAATATAATATTCTGCTCTGAAGAAGAACAGCTGTTTCTAGACCGGTTCTGCATTTTCCACAAAGTCATAAAGAGCAGTAAGGAAAGCAGCAAGACCACTTCTGCTCTGAGATGGAATATAAATGCAGGCCAAAAATGAAGGTTTCACAGTAGAACAGACTTGAATAGCATTGCTGTTTTTTGCAGCACACATTTGCTATGAGCTTTTGCATCTTTGTCTGTTATAGATGCTGTTTACCACCCAGTCGGTAATGAAAGTATGAGGAAGTATCAACTGATGGTGCTAGTGAATGGTCAATGGTTTGTTATCTAAGCGGTTGGTGTAGCGTAGGGAGTAATACCCCGGCCCTCTATGGAGCTTGCTGGGTTTCGATTCCCTTACTGGGACAAGCACACCCTTGACTCCAGCATGAATCCTTGATAATGATTCCTTATGCTGCATTTGTCTATCTCTGTAAGTCACCAAATACATACATGTAAAGGTATGTTGGCTTTGGTTGACTTTGGATCTAAAAACCTCTACTTGGCCCAGCTCTGGAAAATGATTGGTTTCAAGATTTGCTGACCTACATTCGGCCTTCTCACAGCTCAGACACAGTCCAGTAGCACACTTTTCAGGTCATTATTTTGAAATGCTCAGTAAAAAGATTATAAAAATCAGTGCCATCAATGAGGCTCCAGCACCTCCCATGACCCAAAGAGATAAGCGGTTTAGGGAATGTGTGTGTGTGTGTGTGTGTGAGTGCCATCAGTGATGGGAGGTAGCTATTGAGCCAATTCTCAGTTAAGGTACGTGGTTATGTTAGCAGCACCAACTTTCCAGATTCATCCTGTTGTCAGATTGATGATATTCTATCACCATCCAATAGAGGTGTGATGATACACATTTTCAGGTTTGATATAATTCTTCTGGGTGTCACTAGAGATTTATGGATGATGTGGGTTAAGCCTTTACTGGGGGGTTTGGGGGCATGCTTCTCCCAGAGGATGTTTTTAATGGCCCCACAATGTCTGTTCCTCTTTAACTTTTGGAGTAGAAATAGGTGGAAAATTTATTTTAAAAATGGCTTTTCGGTCAAGTTGGCACACAGAAGAGCTGTTTCTTCAGAGTGTATTAAGCACAGATCTTTTATGACCCACATACTGTATCTGTTCACCTACACACATCACAGATCAAACAAAGATATTACAGTCAAGCAATACTATCTACTCTCTCTTAGATACGTTGCAGGTCCTAGATATGCTTTTCAAATACACAGATTATAGATACAGTCTCAGTTTGTGCAACCAGATAGAGTGTGATTTTGTTCTGTAGTTGCAGCACAAAAATTCTATTTCTCAATTATTTTTTTTTATTTAGTCACACAAATAAGGACTATATAAAAAGGGAATAACATTTCTACAAATTCAGTATTAATTCTTACTGAAAGCTTAAACAACACTCACTTGCTTATCTTTATCAGAACTGCTTCTTAAGCTTCTTTCTCTCCCTCTTCATTCTAACATGTTATTTTTATTAAACCTTACAAGAACTCAGGGATCAGTGAGTTTATTACTGTGTTTGAGCTGCCATAAATCCTCTCCCTTACTGGCCTTCTACAGTGCTAACACCTCTTAACTAATGACCTTCTACAGATTGAGGAATTCAGAGATATAAAAAAGCATTATATAAACACCAGAATTAGCTAAATAGTAACAACAACTTGTGTGGTCATTTCAAAATACTTAATAGAAATATGAAAACAAATAATCCATGAAGTTTCTTAAAATTCTTAAAATAGCTGGCTCTTCAGCTGTCGTTTGTGCTTTTCGGCCTATCCACTTTTCCTTACCTCATGTGAACTTGAAGGTAGCTAGCTAACAAGCAACCAGCTAACAACTTGATAGCCAGCTATAGTGACCCTAGTTTGCACAAATCCATATTGTGGGTAGATACCTTGACTCTCTAACTACTTACTGGTTCAGACTGTTTATTACATATTTTTAATAAGGTCTACTCTTTATTTTAACACACTTTTTGCTAAAATCCTGCCACGTCAGTGTTTGCTGACTGACATTGCAACATGAGTAGCACCAAAGCCCTCCCCAAGGTCTGATATGATTGGCTTACAACTTATGAGGCCTGATATGATTGGCTTACAGCTTACAAGCTCTGATATGATTGGCTGAGTGGGCATTACACTTTTCCCCAAAGCTAAACAGCCATCTCCTGTTGTTATTTTAAAAACTGGTCAGCACCATTTGGTAGCACCAGAGCCAGTTTATGGGGAGCCTAGTCACTTGCTATTTCAAGGAAATAGTTACATCAAAAACATGCCTGCAAAAAGGCAAAGGGCACCTGCGAGCGAGTCCTCAATGAATGGGGATGAAAACAAAAAGTTAACATAGTTTCTAATCACTTAATCAGGACTTTCCTTTAATTTTGGAAAGTAACAGGATGTATTTAACTAAAGAAAAGCAAAGAAAATGTTTCTTTTTCTACAGCGAACAGTTTTTGGGGTTTTGGGCAGTAGGATGCTAGCATTACTGCTACTGAGTGCTGATTAGTGAGCTGAGCGGCTCTTTTCACACCCACTGACGTCACGAACGTACATGAGGTGCCATTTTACACTCCTGTTTCAACTCCTGAGTTCAAAAGTGCTTAAAAATATAACAGCAGTGTTACAATGTTTAATTATTTATAAGCTACTGTTTTGCTCATATGCTCCTTATTAACCCATTCATTTTAGACTTAATCAGGAGGCCCTCTAACGTTAGACAAAGAGGACATTACAGAGTGGTGATTCTCCTCTCTATAAATTCTCTGGTAGCACTGCCAAGGCAGAGGCAGGTTAGAGCAGCAGCACCTCCAGTTTGTGCCTGGCTAATCACACAGTTGAATAATGAAGAATACATTAAAAATCCTGTTTTTAACTAATAATGTACATTCATTTAGAGGGGCTAAGTAATATTTAAGGGGTGCTAAAGCCCCTAAAACCTGACCAAGTGACAGCCCTGATTCTGAGATCATGATTCGATTCAATTTTCAATATATTTCTTGATTCTACAAAAATACAAATTTTATTTCAAAACAGCAAGTAAAAAACCTGTGATCATCACACCCATAGTACATAAAAATCCAAGCTCCTGATCCTCATAAATATTTCCACTACAGTTGCAGTTTAACAACATCAACAAACTGTCAGAGTTTAAAGTGTTTAATGTTTTAAAGAGGGGTAGAATTTACAGCAAAGTGAGGGTGTCCAGTACAAAAGCTAACTGATCAGCCCGAGGCAGTCATCATTTTAAACTGCTTGGATGGGCTTGACTGTCCAGTTCTCAGTGCCCCTTTGCAACTGGGTCCTTTATCTGTCGAGCTGGCAGTCCTAGGCTGAGATACCGAAGACTCGTACAGAACACAAGTGGATCCGTCTTCACCTATTCGATATGACACTTCATAGGGGTCCACCCACAGCGTTAGCTCTCTTGGAAGCAAAGCGAAAAGCTGCTCTCGTGAAAGTCCGACAGCACAGGCAGCTTTGCCTATTAAAGGGTCCATTTTGTGGTTGATGCGGAGGCATCTGTAGCCAGACCCTCGGCAAGGGGCCTGAGGAAACCAGTGGTGCTGATAGTGCCCTGAAAAAAAGAAACATGAAGAAATGACACTATTTATAAACTTATAAACTTATTCATGTTACTTTTCTGTATAATTGAACATAGACTTGTAATCGTATGTGTAATCATGATCACACACTCGGTCTTAAATGCCTGTTCTAGACATTCTGAAATCAAATTTTATGTAGATTAACCCCTTAAATTCTCAGCCTTATTACACAATAAGGCTTATTATTCAGTAACTACATAGACTAATAGATGTAAATGGACTAAATTGTTCCTGGGGTTATAGAAGTCTGTAATGAAAGTTACTATAGTAGGGGTTTAATAGCTTTGCAGGCACTCTGAACTGTACTTCTAATCCTGTCTACAAAGGCCTACAAAATATGACTAAATAACATGAAGAAAATATGAATGGTTAGAAATAAAAAAGAGCATTTCTTAATCAGAACACAGTTATTACCCTGCATAATTAAACAGTAAAAACAACAACAATAAACATCTCACCGAGCAGTGCTTCCTCCAGTGATAGGCTGAAGTGCTGAAGCTGCTCTTCAGTTAAGAGCCCAGTCGTCCTCAGCAAACTAGTGACAAAATTCGCAGCTGTTGAGATTTCCGTTTTCATCGTGTCGCCAAATGCTTCCTATCTTTCATTACACAGACGAACAAGGGGAAAAAGAGAAGCCCCTGCGAAACAAAATGAAGAAGTATTAAAGACGGAACTGAGGAAAAACACACAGTTTAGCCTCAAAAGGTCGAAAAAGAAAGACTCACCAAAATAATTCAGCGACACAAAACAAGGCTGAAGTTTGAGGCGACTATCCTATAATCGTTTAAAACTCGTTTTCTGTAATAGTAACTGTTATTTTTATACTTCTAGCCGGAGGTTATGGCTGAGGGCTCTGAGAAGCTGCTAACGCCACAGAACTTTCACTGGGCAATTCGGCTCATTGTATCAGAACCTCTGTACGAGTCAGCGTCACAAAGCCCGAGCTTCCTAAACATCTGACGTCATAACGTGACTCACGAGCGCCATCGCGTGCGTGTTCTTGGTGTTTTGTCCAGGGACGGATTATAGTCCTGTATTGTGGGCACCAGCATTTTAGGAGCGCCTCTAAACTGCTACAATAACAATAACAGTAACAAACACACAAACAATAAACAAACAAACAAATAAAAACCTGAAAAATGAGATTGGACACTAGTTCACGTTCGTGGTTATGTGCATTATCAACAATGCGATTTTTTTTTTTTGTTTTGCAAATAAACGTTAGCCTTATTAATATTTTATGTGCGATACTAATGCTATTGTGTGCCCATATGTTTTTTGTGTAAGACTTGTGTACGTCAACACAAACTTCCATCAAGATTTGTTTCTTTTCTTTTTCCTTTAAGCCAAACTGAGTCATAATGTAGAAACAGAAGCATTCCTACATACAGCAAAGGCTAAAACACCACATTTGTATGGCAGGAACAAAAAATTATGGGTCTGGAGAACAGATAACATTGTGTTATTTCATTTATTTAGTCATTTGTACATGTTCAATGGCTGTTTGTTCACCTTAAACTTGTATCTGCAGTGGATTGCCCTCAGTATTTGAGTCCCCTTGGGCCCTGTGGTCAGAGGCCTCCCGGGACCTCTGGCAGTCAGAGGCTCTTGGGCATTAGCCCCACTGGCCCAGTCATTAATCCATCCCTGATTTCTTCCAGTGTGTGATGTTCAGAAACAAAGTGTGAAAACCACAGTAAAAATACTCAAACACATGACAGCTGTGATTAACTACAGTACATGAGAAAATCAAAAATAAATAGTTCATATGAAGCAGTCTCTCCGATTTTGTCACCTCAAGTTTAACAGCTTTTCTAGCACAGCTAACCTGAAGAGTTTTGAACAGTTTAACCCCTTAAAATCTCAGGTAGTCATGTGTTGCTCAACATTTCAATAATTCAATCTCAGAACTGCATATATATCATAGTTCTGTAGTAGTTAACACATTATTCACAGTAGTTGCTGAATAGTAAGTCCTAAGATGAATAATAGAATAAGCCTTGAGTTTCAGGTGTTTATTTTCTTGTAATGACCAAAGGAGCAGAAAAGAAAGTGTAGGAGGAGGAAACTCAGTGGAATGTGATTACTTGCTTGATCCTCAGTCTTAATTAGACTTGTGGACATGTACAGCCTACATGTCCATAATTTTTTGGTAGGTGGCAGAGCAAATGGCTGGGTAGTGTAAGAAAGGTGCCAAGAGATTGGCAAAGTACTGCACTGTCTCTGCTCTAATAGGGAGACTTTTTGCAAGTGTAGTAAGCTATAAAGATCTATTATCTTCTGCATAGAGTTGCATGAATATGCAAATATGCCTTTCTATTTTGTTTTTAATACAGTAGTTACAAGAATGTTCTGTGTCATAGCGAGACATTTATGCAAATCCACATAAAAGCAAAGGTATGGCAAACCATTTCAGCTTTTAATCCACAGCTTTACTTGATAACACAAATTCTGTTTAAACAATATACAAATGTTATTATTACTATAGCAAAATATAAATACATATATATGTATTTATGTTATATAAAATATATATAACATCAAATTGACATGTCAAACATATCAAAATTCAAATAATTGTAATATTTAAATTTTAGCACGTAACATTTAACTTTTTTTATCACTATGAATTCAATGACATGTCAGTTCAAAGTAAAAAACAAAACATAGTTTCTAAATTATTCATTTAAAAAGGACATTACATGTTCAAACTGAAATCCTACTAAATAAAATGTAATTATTACATGTTATATTTTGTTTACATTTAACACTGGAAGGCTGTATTTGCACATGTAAGAATTATTTTTCATGTAACGATTATCACTAATAACAGCTCAAAAATAATTTTTTGGCAGATTAAAAAAAGTGTTTTTCTTTTTTAACTCAAAGTTCTTGTGAAAACCAAAGCTGCTACATTCTTTTATATCTACTCTTTTTTATTTTACTTTCTATGATTCTATTTGAAGTCATTTCATACTTTCATTTTTTGTTTTACTTTTTTATAATTTTAAGTTATATAGTGTTTCTTTTAATTTCTTGCATTTTATATTTTACATTAGCCTATATTTTTGTCCTATTCCTAGTTTAATCTTTTTTGTCTATGCACCATTAGGATTGCTGCCCAATTTCGTTGTACCCTGTGCAATGACAACAAAGAATCTTGAATCTTGAAAATTTGAATCAGTCCTTGTTTAAATTTAATCCATACCGGTATCAAGAATTTAAAATTTGCTCCTAAAAAACAATTCCTACTACTAATATTTGACATTTGACTTGTCAGAATTTGATTGTTCTGTCAAATTCAGTGTTTTTACTACTATTAGTATCCTTTAAGTAGTTCAAGGGGATTAAAAGCTGACAAGGCTTCCTATAGGCTAAGGCTACACGTGGGTTTTCAAGAGTGGAAACACTCCCTCAGCGGCAATTACAGTTTTAGAACCTCCTCCCGCTGACTGAGCGTCTCAGCGCTCGACCTAGAAAGGGCGGATCAGAGATCTTCCAGTGAAAACACTGAGCAGAAAACCAGCCGTTCCAGAATTCAGACTCTCACTGAAGCCGCTGAAGTGACCGGATCTGATAACTGAGGTAAAAACCGACCCTCTCTCATGTTTCTCACTCGTGTGTAAGCTGTGATTAAAGCCTGTATGGGGGGTGCAGGAACTGAATAACAGTATCAACGCGGCTCCAAAAGAGAAGTAGAACTACTTGGAATGCACACCCAGTGGTTTGGAGAGGAAGCATGACTGTATGTGTTTGAGAGCCTGGTGAGGATTATGAACTTGATCTTAGAAATGTGGTCAGGATCTGAAACAAAAAAAGTTTTGTTCTTTTTTACGAGATGTTTATGAAGGAAGAAAAAGCCTAAGCTTGCCGCAGTTGGCACTGCCTCTCACATCATGTTGTGACTCATCAGTACAGCTGTCCATCAAGGTGTTCTCCTTTCAGGTTGTCACTTGTCATAACTTGTGATATGCTTTAGTTTGAGAGAGAGAGTGAGTGAGAGAGAGAGAGAGAGAGAGAGAGAGAGAGCACTAACTCTGAGGCCAGGGGAAATATGATCCAGTCTGTTACTCTATGATTGCATGTTTATCTTAAAGTAACAGGCACATGTGGGTTAAATAAACAAACATCAGTAAATAGCAGTGCTGAAAACTCAGCAGTAAGGACATCAGGGAATCTGTAAAAATACTTGTGAGCATACATAACTGTACATAAGAGAACCGTGTACACTAGATATACTTTGACTTCGGCTCAAAAAGAAAGAAAGAAATAACAGGCCTGAGATGACTTACATAGAGTAGAAGTGTATCGACTAAAAAGCACTTTAAACCATCACCAATATCGCTGCTGTTGGAACAAAACCTTGTATCTCCATTTTTGTCGTTTTTCAGTTTTTGACTTAATTTGAAATTACCTGTTGCCCTTTACACTGTACATTAATTTCACGATGAACGAACCAAAAGAAACGGCCCAAATTTACTTGGAAAGAATTCTGGTTCCATTGACTTACATTAAAAGTAAAGTAGGTTTTTTCCTTCTCCTGTAAAGTTACTATTTTGGAGATACGAGGTTTTCTTCTGACAGCAGTGATATGTAAAATGATACTTGTAATTATGATTGTTCTTTTCTAAAGTAACACTCTTAAAAAGATGGTTCAAAAAAAAAAAGTGTTCTTTAAAAAAATAATAAAAAGGGTTCTTTAGTAAAGGCAGTGATTCTAGAACTATTTGCATGCTTAAAAAGTTCTTTGCATGGGGAAATGGTTCTTCAGACTGATGGAGAATGTGTAGAACCTTTTTGAAAATGGTTCCTTATAGCACCAAAAAGAGTTCTGCTATTGTTACAAGCTTGATTGCATCATTGCTCTTTGATTGTAAATGGTTCTAAACAGAACCATTGTCTTTCCTAAAGAACGCATGAAGAGCAATCTTTTTAAGAGTTAATAATGCATTTGAAATCTTTTGGTGCTGAGGGATAGATAGCCCTGTAATGTGTGTCCGTTATCATATCATATTATATTTGCCCCATCTGATTACCTCTTTTTGACCATATTTGTCCCACAAGTTTCAGATCCTCGTACAACATGTGATGTAAGACTAGGAGAAAACAAGGGAAAAACCCTTTAAAATGGTCATTTGTTTATTGAATGAAAACCCTATGCAGCATCTATATTCGCTGTTTTGCAACACAAATATTAGCCGCCAGACTTAATAACTGGCTGGGCCACAGAACCGCAACCAAACCCTTGCTATAACTGGAAAGCAATCTTTCTTATCAGTGTTCACTGTGAAGGAACAGTGGCCCATTGCTTTAAATCAGCAACATTGGAGAGCTTCTGAACATGAACTGCCAGTTTAAGGCTCCTACTACAGCATCTGAATGGGGTGCAAGTCAGAATTTAACTAGGCCACCACAGTACCTTCATTTTGTTTTATTTTGAGCCATTCAGATGTGAATTTATGTACTTCAGATCATTGTCTTGCTGCATCACCCAACTGCGCTTGAGCTTCAGATCATGGATGGATGACCGGACATTCTCCTGCAGGATTTTCTGGTAGAGAGCAGAATTCCTGATTCTGTCAGTTACTTAAAGTGGCCCAGGCCCTGAAGCAGCAATACATCCCCAGACCATCACACTGCCACCACCATGTTCAACAACAATGACCTTATCTGAGGCAAGCGTGGCCTGTAGTTCATTATATGTTTGTCTGGGTTCTTTTCTGACTGCCTGGGTGAGCTGTTGCAGCACCCTTTGAGGAAATTTGGTGGGACGGCCACTTTTGAGAACTTTGGCAATAATGGCTCTCACTGTCCCAGAGCCTTAGAAATAGCTTTGTAACCCTTTCCAGACTGATAGATTTCAAGAATTTTCTTTGATTGCAGCACAGTGTGCTGATTGTTGAGACGTTTAATTTTTTTTTCATGTTTTCTTCAAAGCTTGTTTCCACTTCCCGATCCCTAGTCTTATTTTAACAACCTTTTGACTTTAAAGAACCTTTCAAAAAGCTGGTCTATGTATGGTTACATTTTTCATTTTTATGCACTTCTGCTATATTAAAGTGGTGTTCCAGTCTAATACTATCATTTGCTATGCTACTTGTCATGTTCTGTAATAGTCTGTAGTACCAGGCTCACTGGTTTCACAGAATTCATGATTTTGTATCCTTTTTGTGTTTTTGTCTGTAAATACCCAGCAGTTATCACAAATAATTACCAGTGTACATTCAGTGGCCTACTGTGGTGAAAAGAATAAGACAGAGTGAATATTCAGTCAGTTCAGAGTGGCTTTCCTGTGCTTTGCATATAAAAGCTGAGTAATTATTTTGCCTGTGCTTAAATCAAGACAGTTTAATCTCTTTTTTACATTGTGCACTCGAATCACTTAAGTTTCTCTGGCTTTTGTTTCAGGATCAGTTCAGGTAAATAATTCATTTACAGTATTTCAGTGCAGTAAAGAACCTGAAATAGAATTGAAGCTACACAGTAAAAAAATAAGCGTCATTCAGTGATGATAAAAAAAAAATGTAGTTCAGCTGGTGAACAACAATTAAGCAAGTGGTTTAACTGGTTTTATTCAGGTCCAACTCTGTTGGGTCATGTTTACACAACCTAGTCAAATACAATATTTGATTAATGATGCAAAGCAAAATAACCCTTCAGATGAACTCAATCCAAGTCTCACAGAAACAACCTCATTTACCACCATCTCTCTCTCTCTCTCTATCTCTCTCTCTCTCTCTCTCTCTCTCTCTCTCTCTCTGTCTCTCTCTCTGCAGGTCCAGTATGACTCGTCCTCTAATGCTGCTCGTCCTCATTCACCTTTGTGGCCTGCTGGCCTGCCATGGATTCAAAATCTGTGCCTTTAATGTTCAGAGTTTTGGTGACTCGAAAGCAGCAGATAAAAAAATTTTACACACACTAACGCAGGTGTGTCCCACTTTAGTGTGGGCTTTTGTTTAGTCTTCAATCCTAATACTATCATCAGTGTAGAAAAGCTCTAGACAATAATGTTTGGGCTGTCTGTGGTTATGATTTTCATTCTGTAAAAAAACTTTCAATTATATTTAATACTTTAGTATTCGAATAATATAGTTAACTACAGAACCATATGCAAAAGTTTGGGTGCCCCTGGTCAAATGACCGTAATCAACATAATTTTGTACTACACTGTAAAAAATGTGGTAACAAGCAAATTGAATCGTTTTATTCAACTCTAATAAATACTTTGAATATAATGTTGGTTCATTTAAACTATTTAAGTTGAATAAAAGTTTAATTACTTGTTCCCAATTTTTTGGTTGAACTGACAAACCATTTTTTAGTGCTGCAGATGTAGTTTAGTTGTATTAAAATGTTGGTTTCCACTATATCTGACTTATTAATGTATTGATACAATGACAATTTATTAAATATTAATTAGTAAACAGTTTCACACATTTAAGAATTCTTAAGAATGATTAAAAATTCGATGTGATTTCCTCAGATCGTGTCACGCTGTGATGTGTGCTTGCTCCAGGAGGTCAGAGATCACAAGAAGAAGGCCATTCCTCAGCTGCTCAGGAGCCTCAACAAGTAACATTACTCTTCACTGCTACAGTCACAGTTTAGAGCACAAAAAACAATCGTTTTCTTTTACTTTACTTACTTTTGACAATAGTGTAAACGTAATATATTTTATTTATATAGCAATGATTACACATTTGAATCATAACAACTTTTAATTTGTACAGACCCTTTACATTATATAGGGGGTTCTTTAAAATGAAAAGGCCTCATTTACAAAAATGCTTCTTTAAAGAATCATCCACTGGAAGGTTCTTTAGGGCAGTGGTTCTCAAACCGGTCCTCAGGGACCCCCAGACAGTCCACATTTTTCTTTGGCGAATGACTGCTTTAGGGAGCCTAAAGTGGTTTTCTGTGGCACTGCTCTTATTGGCATCTTTATTTCTAAGATGTATGACACTGACAGGCATTCTCTGATATATATACTATCAAAACACAGCATGTGAGGGAGATGAGTTGAAGATCAACACATATGCAAAGGCCTACTTAAAATGGGTTGTATTCAAACACAGTGAGCACCTGTAGTGCTTTTTGATGTACTGTCCTCCACATGCTCAAACTGAGAGTAACATCAGTGATGTTTTATTGCTTTTTATTCAGCTTTGACAGCGGTCACCAATATGACTACGTGTCCAGTGGCCGTCTTGGCAGATCACAAATATATCAGGAGCAATATGTGTTTGTATTCAGGTAAGACATTTAGTTTAGAATAAAATAAGGTATGATTATTTGAAGTGAACACTGTATGTTATTGTGATTGTAGTAAGAGTAATTACCGTGAAACTTATGTTACATACGTGTGTTTAAAGGGTTAACATGTTTTTAACATGGATATTACTCTGTCATACCCTGTTCTCTCTCATAGGAAGGACTCTGTGAGGCTGAAAGATCAGTATCAGTATCCTGACATGCAGAAAGGGGACGAGGATGCTTTCGCCAGGGAGCCCTTTGTGGTGCGCTTCCAAGCACCTAAAACAGGTAACCCCACAGATAGACACAGTGCCTCCAGAGTTAGACTGCTGAGTTTTCCCTGTCGTCCCTCATTTCCTTTAGTATTGATCTTTCTTACAGTGAATGGTTTCAGATCTTCAGACAAAGTGTATCATTAAACAAAGGGAACCTTAAGAAACACAAAACATTTTTTTCAATGATTATTTAATTTATAGAAGGAACAAAGTTATCCAACACACAAACATATAGGTGAAAAAGTAATTGCCTGCTTAGTTACTTAAGCAACATATTAACCAAATGTAACTGGTGAAGAGATTCAGAACACAGCCAGGCTTCAATGCAGCCAGCTATGTTGAATATAAACCTTCATATTAAAGTTTACCACCAGAATGATGACATTGCCACAAAGTTTCACAAGCATTCTGGGCCATAAGCAAAGGAAAATTCAAATGAGATGAGGAAAAAAGCTGCTGAATTCATTGGTTTGGAAAGGGTTACATAAACCAATTCTGAGGTACTAGGACATTGTGAACTATGGCGCCCCTAAGGGGCCATGCTTGAAAACAATGACACTGTGTTGCCTCACAATAATTTTGCATTCCCTTGCAAGTGCAATGGATTTTGTAAAAACATAAAACTTTTGTAAGGGAATGTAAAACTATTACAAGGGAACGTGAAATGTTTGCAAGGGAATGCAAAAATGTTGCAAGTGAACACATAATTATTGCAAGTGAAAGCTAAATTGTTGTGAGGGAATGCAAAAATATTGCAAGGGATTGGGCTCAGATTCCTCCAGAATAATGTGAAAGTGATATATGTAATGCTGGTTGCAGTTATTGCTTCTAAGTGTCATGAAACAAGTAAGTTCCCATTTTGAATTAATTGTTTTTGTGACGTCACAAAAATATATACATAAATACACTTAATATACACTCATTAAGTACTTTATTAGATACACCTCCTTGTTTCAACGCTCATTGTTCATTTTATCAGCTCCACTTTCCATATAGGATACAGACTGTTTCTCTGCATACTTTGTTAGCCCCCTTTTACCCTGTTCTTCAGTGGTCAGGACCCCCACGGACCCTCACAGAGCAGGTACTATTTGGGTGGTGGATCATTCTCAGCACTGCAGCAACACTGACGTGGTGGTGGTGTGTTAGTGTGTGTTGTGCTGGTACGAGTGGATCAGACACAGCAGTGCTGCTGGAGTTTTTTAAACACTGTGTCCACTCATTGTCCACTCTATTAGACACTCCTACCTTGTTAGTCCACCTTGTAGATGTAAAGTCAGAGACGATAGCTCATCTGTTGCTGCACAGTTTGTCTTGGTCAACCTCTAGTCCTTCATCAGTGGTCACAGGATGCTGCCCACAGGATGCTGTTGGCTGGATATTTTTGTTTGGTGGGTTATTCTCAGTCCAGCAGTGACACTGAGGTGTTTAAAAACTCCAGAAGCACTGCTGTGTCTGATCCACTCCTACCAGCACAACACACACACCACCACCACGTCAGTGTCACTGCAGTGCTGATAATGATTAAACACCCAAATAATACCTGCTCTGTGGGGGTCTTGACCATTGATGAATGAGGTAAAGGTGGGAAAACAAATTACACAAAAAAAAACAAATGTTGATACAAGGTAGGTGTACCTAATAAAGTGCTCAGTGAATGTATGACAGGTTATCCCCACTCAATCACATTGACATTAAGGAGTGTCTCAGCCTGGACAGCTTTTTGAGACACAATACAGGACAGCTAATTAGAGGCTAAATCAGTCTTAAAGGCACAGTAACAAAAACAGCCTGTTGAATTCCAAGGGATGAACAGAGGTTGGAAAATGACCATGTAAAAAATTGAATTATAAATGTTTTTGTTACGTAAAACCACACAATCATCATAAGTGGACATAAAGGAAACGATAAAATTTCAAGAAAAATGTTGAATATGGGCTTTTTAGTCAACATGAATCAGAATTTATAAAGCATTTCCTTTACAAACAAGTGAAACGCAGTATCAGGTAGGGTCTCTGGGCTAGCTGTGGGTTTTTGCTTGATGGTGGAGGTGGTCAGAAGAGGAAGTGAAACATGATACCGTTGTTTAATATTATGTTCCCTGCCCACTGGTACACGGTGAATTAATCGAAAATCTGACGGACAAACGTCACCACACTTCAACCAAATATTACACCAAAACAAGCATTTTTCATGATATGATGCCTAATATAACTAGGGACATTAACTAACCAGTTTAAAAAGGTCCGGTTTGATTTCAGGGTGACTTTAAGAGTGTAACTGATTGTTTAGTGGGTGTGTTTTACAGTGATTGGCGAGTTTGTTCTGGTTCCAGTACACACATCTCCCACAAACGCCACCAAAGAGATTGATGAGCTCTATGATGTCTTTGAGGAAGTTAGACAGAGGTGGAGGACGGAGGTAAGAGTGGTACAGAAAGCATACTATAAAGCTTAATAAATAAAGCTTATTGTTGAATAAAAAATCCCACACACACACACACTGCCATCTAGGTTTCCATTGTTCTAATGACCTCTAAAGCTTCTGAAAATTAGACATATTTTTCACCATTACCTCAATTCTGATAGGACATGATGTTTCTCGGTGACTTTAATGCGGCCTGTGGATACGTAGCCAAGAAGAACAGGAAGAACATAAGACTGTACACTGTGTCCTCTTTCACCTGGCTGATAGAAGACAAACAGGACACTACAGTGAGAGAAACCACTGACTGCGCCTACGACAGGTAAATCTGTCCTGCTCTGTTTAGATGGTACGACACAGTTACTTCATGATCTTCTGAAATCTTACAGTGTTGATTCCTGGCCTGCTCCCACAGGATAGTTGTGCATGGAGATCACTTTCTCGGAGCTGTAGTGCCATTTTCAGCACGGCCGTTTAACTTTGCCAGGGAATACCGTCTCACTGAGGAGGAGGTAAAGTGCTAATTTTCTATTACTCTCATTCATTAAAGGGCCCATTTTAATGGAAAGTAGAATTATGATTGTTTTTTTCATAAATAAACCCACAGAAATGTCGTAAGTGGACTTAAGTGGACATTCAAGGAAAATGGAGCATATGGGCCCTTTAAGAAACACTGAATCGCCTGTTTATTAGATTCATCTACCTTGCACCTACGCTCAGTTTAAATTTGATCAGATACAATCTACCATATACAAACCTCAATTCCAAAAAGTTAGTACATTAAGTGAAATGCAAGACAAAATAGAAAGCAGAGATTTGTAAATCCACTCTGACCTGTATTCAAATCAAAACCGCATAAGAAAAGATATAAGATTTAATATTTCACCTTATCAGCTCTTCTAATCGAGACATGGGCTATTTAAGACCTGAAACGTTGTGAAATGTCTTAAACAGGTCTTGCAATCATGCTTGGGTATAAAGAGAGCATCCAGGAAAGGCCTAGATCTTTCTAGATGCTCCTTTCAGAACAAGGATGTGTCAAGTCTCGCCACTTTGTGAAAACCACGTCAGCAAATAATCCAACAGTTTAAGAATAAAGTTCCTCAACGAGTGATTTCAAGGATTTTAAGTATTTCACCCTTTACGGTGCATAATATAACCAAAAGAGTCAGAGAATCCAGAGAAATCTGTGTGTAAGGTCAAGCCCTCAGACAGCATAGCACAAAATAAGACAATACAAGCCCTGTATGGGTTGCACAGCTGAAGACTTGTTTTATCAAGGAAGGCCAAAAAATTCCACTTTCAAAACTGGATCAGTTGGTCCCTTTAGTCCCCAAATGATCGTTGTTATAAGGAAGCTGATGTAACACAATGGTAAACATGCTCCTGTCCCAACCTATTTACAACATTCTATAGGCATCAAATTCGGAACGAGCATATATTTACAAAAAACTAACACGTTCATAAAGTTAAATACCAAATATTGTGTTGTACTCTTTTCAATTGAATACAGGTCAAACAGATTTTACACTGCTTTCTGTTTTATTATCATTTCATATAATGTCCCAACGTTTTGGATTGAGGTTTGTAGGTGCACTTTACTGGTTTACAGCTACTGACTTTAACCCATCTGCTTCTGCACAAATTGCCAGTCATCTACCTAAAACTATTTTTGAATTATATTTAATGCCTATTTTGCTGTTACAGTTCAGGCATATTTTGAATAAACAATGGCCAGTTGGGTTCATAGCAAAATGTTCAGTAAACATGAAATATGGACCTTTTAGTGGTTGAGTTTTGACACCCCTTCAGACCTTATTAGTGGTGAATTTCCTTCTAATGTTGTGCAGTGGACAACTCTCAACCAGACACTGAGGTGTTTATAATTCTCCTGCAATGCTGTGTCAGTGTCACTGCTGTCAAGAATGATCCACCACCCAACTAATATCAGTCAACATTGGTCCTGTGGTCAGAAACTGTCCAATGAGATTATATATATATATATATACACACACACACACACACACATATATATATATATATATATATATATATATATATATATATATATATATATATATATATATATATATATATATATAGAGGGTGGAAGGCAGCTGGCAAATTGTGCACAAAAACAGGTTCAGCTCATCACTTAACTGTGGATTTTTACTTCTAGGCCCTAAAAGTTAGTGACCACTACCCTATAGAGGTTGACTTGAAGACCCTGTCAGGAAGCACACGGGAAAGCACACCTCCGTACCTGCTACCTCTGACCTTTGGCTTCTTCGTCCTGTTGCAACTGAATGCAGACTGAGGTGCTGAAGGTGGACAATTTTCGAAGCCAGTATAAGATGAAATAATGCACTGATGTCAATACTTGAATCTCCTCCATGCCAAAAATTTCACCAAATCTAGCGGATACACCAAGTGCCTTAAGTTAAATTATGATAATCCAAGTCCCCTCTATGCATTTCTCTACCTTTTGAGCTCAGGACTTTAATACCTCAGCAACAAATGAATTTAAGTGTGTTTTTTATACTTTGTAATAAAATGTTTTACTTTGTCATGGAAACTTTTCAATTCCCCTCCTCCCCTCTCAATTAAATATTTTCATAACCACAACATGATTAGTCACTACATGGACAAAACCAGTTGATCTAAAAGGGGTTATATACTGAAATGCTTGATTAATCATGACACAGCAGTTTGACTTTGCATTACTGGACTCTTGACCTTATTTCTTGTCAAATGGATATCAAACATAAATGAAGGTCCAAATACACCACCGAGATGTGTACATATTCATTTTCTTACTGATCTCCCACAAGACTTGGAAAAAAATCGGTTTTGAAAAAGCTTACAGCAAAAAATTTAAAAACAAACACTGAGGCTGTAATTTTTTGTAATCAAAACACGGTTTGATTTTATTGACTACTTCAGAAATCTGAGAGCCCTCTCTCACACAGCCAATGATCTGGCCAGTGTGAAGTGCTTAGTTGGCATGCAGGGCCTTCCAGCGGGTCAGCGGTCCGCGGTTGGGGATGTATTTCACCCCACAGCCATCAGGAACCAAACGCTTCTCCTGCAGCAGGTCATCAAAGTCAACGGCATTGAACTTGGTGAAGCCATACTTCTTGGAGATGTGGATCTAAGCAAAAGGAAAAGAGAATACTTGTAAACCCAAGTTTATATAGAAGTACATCCTTAAAGATGATTCTGTTTAGTTTGTTTCGACGGTCCCTTTAAGGACCCAGCACCTCCCAGCTGGGCACATACACAAACCGAAGAATTACTGTCTGCAGCCTTTGCACACCAGAAGGGCACAGTGAACCAGACTGGTCGGCTTAATAAGCTGCAGACCATCAATATGAATGGTGTTTATGGTAGTCAGGATGACTACTAAACATGATTTTAACATTTTCAACGAATCAGCAATGACTAGTTGCTAATTTGCATGGTAATATATATTACAAACCCCCTACCATTCTACTATAGTAACAGAGCCTGATGAACACATTTATGTACATTTTACACCACAGTGAATTTAAAGCTTCTTTGGTAACTTTTTACTAATATAAGATGCAACAAGTACCTTCTGACGGCCAGGGAACTTGAACTTGGCTCTCCTCAAAGCCTCAATGACGTGTTCCTTGTTCTGGGCCTTAGTGCGCACAGACATGATCACCTGTCCAATGTGCACACGAGCCACTGTACCCTGGGGCTTTCCAAAAGCACCACGCATTCCAGTCTGGAGCCTGAAGACAAAAACATAACCCAGGTTACTCCCAGCTAGACATGTGGACCAAATGCAAGATGATCCAAGCTTAAGGCAATGAGTGTTTCAATGGTCCCTTACAGGACCCAGCACCTCACAGCTGGGCTCATACACAACCAAAGATTCAATGTCTGCAACTTTTGCACACCAGAGAAGTACAGGCAACTAGGCTGGTCGGCTTAATAAGCTGCAGCTGAAGCTTCAGGTCTAGGCACAAACCCACCTATCAGCCCCGGCACAGGATAACATTTTGTTGATGCGGATGACGTGGAAAGGGTGGAGGCGCATGCGGATGTGGAAACCATCTTTGCCGCAGGTCTTCACCATGTATTTGTTAGCACAGATACGGGCAGCCTCAAGAGCTAGAACAGAAGAGAATGATGTATAGTGATTTTGAGCAAAAGCAAGAGACATCAAGACAAAATTCTTTCCACAAGAATTTCATTTACAAAACATTTACTTTAGCACCTCCTTTCTAAAAGCTTTCAGTGACGTGATGCAGTCGTGTATGGAATATGAAAGTGTACGTCAAGGTGGTACACCATGCCAATCAAAACAGGCCAATGATGTTACCATCACTCTCTCCTTACCTTCAGAGGACAGCTGCTCGTACTCATTAGACACCATGTGACCGCACAAGGGGAACTCATCCACCTTAGCCTTCTTCCTGCCCAAGTCGAAGATCCTGATCTTGGGATCTGGGGTTATAAGAAAGATTCTCAGACACAGCTGACCCTCATAAAAGTCCATTTTAAACAATGTATGGTTTACCAGTGAAGTTGTCAATAAGTAGTTACATTATGTGATGCAAGTTTGATTATAAATGTTTTTGAAAGACACTTAATTTACCAACTCAAAGTAAGTTTAATGCGGAACACGATAAAACTGCACCATCAATTCTACTGATTATTACTCAGCATTTACAACATGTATATCTAAAATTTGTCATCTACTGTGCTATTACATTAATGCAACATCCAGTCAACATGATGTGCTTTGTAGTCAGAAGTTTAAAGCCTTACCAGGCACACCCCGACAGAAACGGGACTTGGGGTAAGGCTTGTTCTTGCAGTATCTGTAGCTGTGGGTGAGATGAAGTGTCATGAGTTTAACAGTAAGCCTTGACTTGGGACAAACATACATAATATACAACAAAATGCAGACGAGTTAAGCTACAAAATGACTGCAAATACCGTTTAAAAACGCTGGCACTATTTTCCAACAATCACACTGACAGCAAGTGAGTATTCAAGTGACTAACATTGCTCGACTACAAAACTAAAGCTGCGTCCAATACCACAGAATACCACACTACACATTCTGCACTAATAAGTGGACTTCCATTGGTCATGCACTATTTTTGACATAATATTTAGGACAGTAATATACAGTTTTGGACGGAACCACAAGTATTTAAGACCCAAGTTAGTTTACCTTAATGTCTTTCAAATGCGCAACGTAGCTAGCTTTTGGAGTTGGCTACTGAGCCAGCTAACTAGGCTGAGCAGTTTACAAAGGTTGGCAAATCTATTAATTAAAAAAAACATAATGCAGCCATCTAGCCAGATGATGAATCAATTTAATTCAGTATAAATATGTAAACCCCTGTTAAACTCGGTTAGCCGCTCTCTTGAGCCACATGGTTAGCGGCCCTGCCATTTTCACCACCCTCCACACTCCTCACACTAAAACTATAAATACAGCACTTACCAACGGGCTGGACGGCGGCCCATGGTTGCGATCTGGAATAAACACAAGAACAGTTACTTTAATGAAAATAAGTGCGCCCTAGACCTCATATATAATATATTTTTCGATAATTTGCTGAAGAGCGAGACTAAAGGCGGCCGCACCACGCACTCACCTAATGGAGGAAAGGAAGTATCCAGAGCTTCCGCTGCGTCATATAGTGAAGATGGAGGAGCTCCGCAGAGGAGCTGGGTGATTGAACACAAACAGTTCCAGACTTTACATTATGGTCACGACTTTAGCGTGATAAATAGAAATAAATCCGACCAGACCGCGCTAGACAAGACGATTCTCAGAATAATCCCCGCTGTAATAATGTTTATGACCATGGTTTCTCTCCCTCTCGCTCACTTTGTTGCTTGTACTCGGGAAATGTAGTTTTCTACCAAAGGGCGTTTGTAGTTCATTTGTAGTCCATCTCTGAGAGCTGCCTGCTGTCAAAGAAGTTGTCTAAAATATAATGGGTGAGGAAACCTTTCCCTCCTGCGTGGTGGTAGGTGGTGGTCTCCACTTTTGTTAATTTTTTACACGTCTGGACATAAAATCATCAAATATCTCTCGTCCAAAAACAGTGCGCTGTAGTCTTCATGTGTCGCCACCTCTGCGTGGGACCGACATAGCTTTTCATCCAGTCTTCGTAAAATAGCAAGACAGTCAGGAACTCTTTTAAGAGACTGTTACAGTCCCACCTGTGCTTTTATATTGGAGCACGTTTGATAAATGGGTCCATTGCAGCAGCAAATGTCCAACAATTTGAAGCAATGAAAATGACTTCAGAATAAGAGTACACCAGAAGGTTGATGTGTGTGTATTCTTTGTTCTTTGTCTAATAACCTTCAAAAAAATAATAAAAAATAAAAAATGAATTCTTCTTTTCAGTTTTTATTTGCATCAATTTTAGTCATGTTGTGCAAGAGACACAGCATCTCACAGCAGTCATTCCACAGATACTGTAGTATTATTTTTTATGCAAAACAACAATTTAGATTTTTTTAGCTCAAATTGTAACAATGCATGACAATAATTGTCTGTCCTGTATCAAAATTATATAAATTAGTCATTTGCCTAAAATTCGGACAGACTCATTTGTCACAAAAAGGTTGTCAGTGGTGTTACTCATGAAACATTCACACACACACACACACAAAAAAAGATATACAGTCATATGCAAAAGTTTGAAAGTCAGTAAATAAACCGTAGTTGTGCGTTCAAATGTGGGAAGTGTGTTCACTTATTTTCAAAATTTGACTGTTTTCAAAATCAAAACGTTTGCATACAACTGTAAAATAACAACATAAATAAAAAAAAATTGTGTATAATGTGGCTTTTTGAAATTAAAGATTATTTGAAAAAACTATATTTTAGAATAGCTCAGTCAGTGGTATTACGGTCAGTGGTACAACTTGACTGATGATGTAATTCAGTATAACAGACTACCTGACTTACAATAAAATGAGTGGGCCCTTCAAAAACAGCTATTTATTTATTTTGGGATATTGAGATATTCTGATCTGATTTATAAAAATTTTCTCCTCATTTTTCTTGCACTCACCCTGGCAGAACTGTAGCATCACCTCTGTAACTCTGATCTCGTTGACCTAAAAAGATCTTTTTGAACTTAGTGCCATAATGCTGAATAAACACAAGAGGGCGACAAAGGCCAACAGCACCTCCGCGTCAAAATCGGCCGTTTCCTTTTTCCCCAAAAGGGGTCTCTGTTGTGTCTTTAATATAGGACACCATGGCAGTGATAAAAAAAAAATCCCCTCTCCCCTCTTAATTTTCTGGAAGAGGAATGACCTCATATTTCTAAACTCTGGCTAATGAAGAACAAATGTTGGGGGTGGCCTTTGGAATCTGTGGAATCACTAACATTTGTTCTTAGTCAAGCCAGATATTACATGACAGTCCAAACATCCCCTATCTGACCCACCTTTGATGGAGACAGCCTAACATCAGTTGTGTGGTCTGTGGAATTCAATAGAAAATAAAAAAATGTACTGAAAGGTGAGTCAATAAAACAAAAAGGAAGAGAAAGAGAGAGAGAGACAGACAGTGTCTGTGTGTGTGAGAGAGAGAGAGATAGAGAGAGTGAGAGAGATCTTGTTTCTGCAAGGCCACGGCAACCAGCTTATGATTAATCAAGCCTGTACTGTAGCCACAAAGCCGAAGCTCTTTAAACAATCCAAACTATTCCTCTTGTCTCCTCTTGCATTCCTCGCCTAAGTGGGGCAAGCAAATATTCCTTGCCTTAGAAGGGACTGCGCTCAGGTCAGCTCCAGCTCACATTTACATACATAACTGTTCACATCAGCTCAGTCAAACCTGAACCGCAGTCAGGCCAAACCCTCTCTTCTGCTGTTTTTTATCTCAGTTTAGAGGTAACCATCTAGAAAAAAAATTGTGTCCTTGCATTTCTCACAAAATCCCAGATAGTCTCACTCAAGGCTTAAACCATCTGTCAGACTGATGCAGTACAGAGAGATGAAATCTGTTGGTCCTTCATCCTCCTTCACTG